GCAATACTACTTGTAATTTCCTGTGGTTAAGTCGGGGGAGTGAACTGGTTGTGTTTTTATTCTGATACCACACTTGAATTCTGACAAACACCGATAACATTTCTCAAACTCCAGAGACGCCCATGCTGACAATAAAACTATAGCACATTTTGATTATGAATAGGAAACGCCTGTGTGTACCCTTTAATACTCACATTAACATAATGTCATATCCTTTATTTTACCTAAGGGCTATTTTATATACAACATTGAGTGTGTATTGGTTGTAAAATTGATGCTGAGCCATTATTTCAAAACACCAGCCATCTTGCCTGAGCAACACACATTTCATGATTTATTAATGGTTTATAAAATCCCAAATGTTATTTTAATGTTCACCTCAATACACTTCAGCATAACTTGTCTTTAATTGATGTTCAACTTGATATCAGAAAATTGACTAAGTTAATTCTTCCCTATATATTGGTGTCTTTTCATGAGACATGAGCTTTTTCTGCAGAAAAGTGGAATTCGCTTTTTTTTTTTTAATTCAATTCTAATGGTACCTGAAATTGTCATGGTTAAGGCTCCGTTCACATGGAAAGTCTATTTTCTAAAAATCTATTTTCTATTCGCAGTATATCTTGTGATCACGGTCTATGCCCTGAATATCCCGCGGCGTAATTATTGGCAGCGCGAGCCAGTTACTTCCAAAGCTGTAATTAATTCTCGGCTGTGCTTGGAAGAGATTCTGATACCTTGACGCATGGGCAGTAGGAAGTTAGAAAGTTAATGGCGGTCGCGGTTGCTTTGAAAAATGTGTCTGTCGATTTTGTGCAACAACAAGACGAAGAAGATGAAGAAGCTATACACACGACAGATACGAGTGCAACCATCATGATCTGATGGCAAGCGATACGGCAACGGAGGATGAGATCTTATAGAATGTGAGCACAGCCGAGAATTAATTACAGCTTTGTATAAGTAACTGGCTCGCACTGCCAGTAATTACGCCGCGGGATATTCAGGGCACAGACCGTGATCATAAGATACCGCGAATAGAAAATAGATTTTTAGAAAATAGACTTTCCATGTGAACAAAGCCTAAGTGTTGGGTTCCGTGATAAAGGTTCAGAGTTTTTTTTTAACCTAGGCTCATGTCTATTTCATGGATTTAACATCATAGCTCCCCCTGGAACAGTATGCTGTTTCAGATTAATTTTTGGCTCACATATTTCTACTTTGTCATTTTTGGATTGATTGATTATATTATTATCTGTATAATATTGTTACTATGCCATGGAAGGCAAACGAGGTGGTGTAGCTGGCACTCTTAATGCAATGGCTGAACTGTCTTCTCTGTCACAATTGGTGTTGTTGGACCACAACAAATCTCTTCCTGAAACCAATTAGCAGTGTCAAGCTTTTAAGATGAATAATGTGATATTTTGCAGTAGTGATATCATAACTTATATGGTGCATGCTATCCATTTGAGGCCATAAACTTAATAAAAGGTATCCTAACTGGAATTTCTCCTTCAAATCAAATTTTCCTTTGAAAACAAATTTCTCGTACTCGTGGATAATTTTTAAATCCATCCCTGCAATTGAATTTAATTTATTACATCATTACTAATTAATTAATTTAGTTCTTAATGACTTGAACCACCATGTCTCCATGTATGTTTCAGAATATTTGCATTAGGTACTTTTATTTGAAAGGTTTAATTATTTTTGAGGTCTGAATAGGGAAAGATAATTAGCTTTGTATGTTCTGTAAATATAGAAAAAAAANACACATTACAAACAAGAATTTATCCATGAGATATCCCACTCGAATATATATGTATTACATGTGTCTGTGTTAACAGTAAGCCACACATTTAAATTGAAATTCTTCATTAAAAATGTGTGTTCGGGTTTTAATGTGGCACCTTAAACTGGATTTGTCACCTAGTTTAGGTCACCACAATGGATTTATTGCTATAAGACACCATTTAAGTAATTGGAAAAGGGTGATTAAAAGGTGAGAAATATGAGGATTTACTATTGAAAGTTCTATTTGCAACCTTAGCATAATGGAAAGCAGCATAGTTGACCTGACAGGTAGATAACACAGGGGGTGCCATTGTGGGAGAGCATTAACCCGACTCTTGACTCCTGTGAAAATAATAATCTATCATAGCTTCAATAAGAAAAGACATCCACCTGTTTATAACTTCAAAAGGAACATCACAATGAGTTGTTAAAAATGAAGGGTGATTTTATCCTTTATGAAGTGTCTGTACGTGCAGTGTGTTGATCAAGTTAGCAGGTTGACAACATAATACATGTACATTGATGGATCACCAATGACAAGTGGAGTAGCACAGTCCTGCTTTATCACTTCCATGTTGTTTCACAGCACTCAACAGAGAGACATAATTATGTATGCAGTCATGCAATAGTGCACTGATCATTCAGTAAAACAGAAAACCTTCCAACATCTCTTATACAATATAGATTTGCTGCAGGGCATTTGCCATGGTAAAGGCTAGTTTAGTCAAGGTCTCAATGTGGAATATGATTCGAGTCCAAACTGCTTCCATGAATTGGGCATATACAAGTAAATGTCTGTGGTTCTTTAGGCTTCTGTGCAATGGACAGGACAATAAAAATATCTCAATGCACCCCAGACATCATAAACTAGTTAATAAATGTAGTTATCTGATGACACACAGTGTATGCTCATTTAATTTATATACATATAATTAAAGCCCATTGCTGCAGGGCATTTGCCATGGTAAAGGCTAGTTTAGTCAAGGTCACAATGTGGAATATGATTTGAGTCCAAACTGCTTCCATGAATTGGGCATGTACAAGTAAATGTCTGTGGTTCTTTAGGCTTCTGTGCAATGGACAGGACAATAAAAATATCTCAATGCACCCCAGACATCATAAACTAGTTAATAAATGTAGTTATCTGATGACAAACAGTGTATGCTCATTTAATTTATATACATATAATTAAAGCCCATTCTGAACAACCCTTTACGTATTATGTTGTTGTTTGTATGAAATACACATGACTCATCTGATATATCCACCTATTTCAAGGAGAGGCTTGCCAGCTAAAGCAGCCTGCCTGGACTGAAATGGCAATACTACTTGTAATTTCCTGTGGTTAAGTCGGGGGAGTGAACTGGTTGTGTTTTTATTCTGATACCACACTTGAATTCTGACAAACACCGATAACATTTCTCAAACTCCAGAGACGCCCATGCTGACAATAAAACTATAGTACATTTTGATTATGAATAGGAAACGCCTGTGTGTACACTTTAATACTCACATTAACATAATATCATATCCTTTATTTTACCTAAGGGCTATTTTATATACAACATTGAGTGTGTATTGGTTGTAAAATAGATGCTGAGCCATTATTTCAAAAACACCAGCCATCTTGCCTGAGCAACACACATTTCATGATTTATTAATGGTTTATAAAATCCCGAATGATAGTTTACGGGTCACCTCAATATGCATCAGCATATTTTATGTTTTTAATTGATGTTCAACTTGATATCAAAAAATTGACTAAGATAATTCTTTGACTTTCCCAAATATTGGTGTCTTTTCATCAAACATGAACTTTTTCTGCAGAAAAGTGGAATTTCACTTTTTTTTAAATTCAAATCTAATGGCTCCTGAGATTCGTCAAGGTTACGTGTTGGGTTCTATGATAAATGTTCAGAGTTTTTTTTTAAACCTAGGCTCATGTTTATTTCATGGATTTAACATCATAGCTCCCCCTGGAACAGTATGCTGTTTCAGATTAATTTTTGGCTCACATATTTCTACTTTGTCATTTTTGGATTGATTGATTATATTATAATCTGTATAATATTGTTACTATGCCATGGAAGGCAAACGAGGTGGTGTAGCTGGCACTCTTAATGCAATGGTTGAACTGTCTTCTCTGTCACAATTGGTGTTGTTGGACCACAACAAATCTCTTCCTGAAACCAATTAGCAGTGTCAAGCTTTTAAGATGAATAATGTGATATTTTGCATTAATGGTATCATAACTTATATGATGCATGCTGTCCATTAAGGCCATAAACTTAATAAAAGGTATCCTAACTGGAATTTCTCCTTCAAATCAAATTTTCCTTTAAATCAAATTTCTCATTCTCATGGATAATTTTTAAACCCATCCCTGCAATTGAATTTAATTTATTACATCATTACTAATTATTTATTTTAGTTCTTAATGACTTGAACCACCATGTCTCCATGTATGTTTCAGAATATTTGCATTAGGTACTTTTATTTGAAAGGTTTAATTATTTTTGAGGTCTGAATAGGGAAAGATAATTAGCTTTGTATGTTCTGTAAATATAGAAAAAAAAGACATTGGGACATTTTTAAGTGCAGCCAGTATATCTTTCAATATTAAATAAAACTTGTTGGTGTAATATCACTAGACACACCATCAATGTATTGATTTTATGTCACTAAATTTGCAGAATATTCAGTTAAATGTTAAAATAATTGGTTCAATAAAGGAGCTCACAAATTAATTCAGGTTCAGTAAAGTAAGAGTTTTAATGACATTTTCCTCCTATTAATCATATGTTTTAAGAGCAAAGTGAAATTATTTTTGCTGGATGAATCATATCCTCAGTAAGGCTGTATAAAACCTGGCTGATCTGAAGGGATTATTGGGGTCTAAGATGCTACAATTTATATCATCTGAATGACTAATTTTTACCTGGATCGGGTTGAAAGTACAAGCTAAGCTAACACTATTTAAGCACCACCATGGCATTCTGTGCAAATGTTATTTTGAGCCTAATTTTATGGACGTTTGACTTGCTCATTTGATAATGAAAGGTGAAAGGAAAACAGGTCTGGCCCATGTCTTTTATTATGAGAGTAACTCTACATGCTTATGTACAATGGGCTAAATTATGCCTATGAATTGTGAGAAAATACAGTCATGTGGTGCAGTGATACTTAGTGTAGTGTTAGGTGTTCCAAGCTGCTATTGATTGACCTGATTCAGGGCCCAGACTGAGGGTGCTGAGCAAACCACTCCTACGGTATGTGACGAGAATGTCACTGGCTGGCGGTGTTAGTAGTCAGATGTAGATGGTGGCTCACCCTGCACTGGAGCAGAAGTGTTGTGAGGAGATGAATCGAGGTTTGTGACTGGACAATAACATACTGAGGACATACCACATCTGTGTGCTTTGGGACTGATATTTTGCATGGCCACAGCCTCTTGGTGGTTGACCATTTGTTCCCGAGTCCATTTGCGGTGACACAGTCAAGAAGCTTTTGATTTGACACTTGGCGAGGCATGAAAGTGAAAAAGACAACAGGCAGAATAGGCTCCCAGAAGGTGGATAACATAACTTAGACAGCCATCTGTACACTGAACAGTCATAGGGGAAATGGCCCTCAGTCATCTATATCATCACACAGCCAGTGCAGTAGCTAGCTAGGAGGGTGAATCAAGCTTGGAATTTTCATTGCTCAGAGTTACATCAGGAGAGTGTACTCGTGTCAGTGCACAGTTGGAAGGGAAGGGGGGAGCATGGAGTGGTGGGAGAAACAGGCTCTGTTTGAGTCTTCTTCCTCTACCCTGACATCCAACAATCCTCTGGATGCACCCAGCTCTGCTGAGGGATCAAGTGCTTTCCAATTTTACGAAGAGAATCGATTGCGCTACACAGGTATGGGTTGGATCAATAAGTAATATTTGCAGCTATTTAAGTATATAGAATTCCCAAATTGGACAATGTGGGAGAAGCCTTGCATGTGTTCATTCCATTATGTAAGAGATGCAAGAAAATACACCCTTATTAAATAATGATAGCTGTGTGGGCAAACAAGATCTAAACAGAATGTCCTTGAAAGATACTTTGTCTGGTATTTTGTAAAACTAATGGGTCGTAATGGTTTTCAACAACTAGAGGGCCAAACATACCTCTCAGTTTTCTGCTTGCCTTTATCTCTCCACTTAATACCCGAGTAGCTGTATATTGACAGATATGATTACCATGTACTTATCATTTCTGGAAATACTGGATTAAGATCTACCAAGTTTTTGGTGTTCTAGATATTTTCATTGGTACCTGATATTTCAGTAGTGATCAGATACATGATAGATAATGTGAGGATGGCATCATTTGTTACTCTATGCATTTAAAATGAAAATGTTTCAAGATTTTTTCCCGTAGATAAAGTATTTAACCTGTGGTTCCATAAAGTACACATGGAATGTAAATGTGATTTCGTTGAGTGATTCTAGTTCAAGAATGCCACTGTTCAAATTACTTAAATACAACAGGTAGGAAAGAATACGGAAATATATTTACCAAGATGTTTATATAGGAGAAACTAGTTTTGCCAGTTTTGGTGGCGTCATATTTCTATTGTCACATTTGCCCCTCCTTGGCATTCTTGGCTTCCCTTGCCCATAAAATTTAGTGAAACTAGCAGTTGCCTTAAAGCATATTTGGAAAAGGTATAAAAATGCACAGGTGATGAAAGTCCATGTTAATCAGCTGGTGAGGTGTGCCAGGATGTTACCCAGAGTTACATAAAGTTACCAATGAATGAACTGTGATAGTGGTCAACTATCATAGACTTCATCTGATTCCCAGGGCTGTCTGGGATATAGAGAGGATAATGAAGATAATGATGTGAAGGGGCTGTTTTCTAAATATTGAATACTGTTGCCAATTTAGATGCTTGTTTGTTTAACAGTGTGCAACATCAACTATCCTTCAAGTAAAAAGAAGAAAGCTTCAGAAAATACTTTTACCTCTTGAGGTGCTATATGAATGTGCTATACTTTTCCAGTCATAATTATATAGAAATGAACTGTAGAAGACTACTTCCTCTCACTAGAACTGTATAATATCATGTCATACTGGCACCAGCATTCTGTATTCAGTTGGCCTTCCTCTCTTCCCCACCATCATTTATGATAACACATTACACACACCAGTGAAAAGCATGTTTGTTTATTGATGTTATCATCAGAAGTATTGTCAGGAAAGATAGATGTCATGTTCAGATTTTATGTATCTGCTTGTGCTTTTGCCAGCTCACTTGATATATATTGTGATCTGAGATTCTTTGGCATGATATGATATTGGCAGTCTCAGGGATATTTTTCAAAAAAAAAAAAAAAAAAAGATTTCCCCTAAATCTAACAGTCAAAATTCCTTCATATTCCTTGTATAGCTCCTGTATAGGGTCAGTCACTACATGTGTTCATGAGATATTGATTTTGATCAGAATTCAGTGCCTATTTGAACCAAAACAGCTTTGCAAATATATATTGACAGATGTTTGAGTGGGTGAATCAAATAGTAAAAATACATGTATAGTTGACCCATAATGGGCTTCATGCCTTTTGAAGTAAAAAAATGTCCAGTTGGTGTCTTTACTAACCATCTGTTACTGTTTTCTGCATCTTATTAATGTGGAAATGCTTATTTGTGTGCTTCATTATAATAACTTTTAACAAAAAAAAAATAAATAAAGTTCATGATTTGTATTTGCAATTGGTCGGAACTGCTATGGATAAAAACAAATATGTAAAGCTCTTTGATGATTGATTTAATTGCAAAATAAATGAGAGTTGTTAAAAAAACAGGAATTAACAAATATGTTAAGGAACCTGACTATGATTAAAAAACCATACTTGTCTTTTCAGATGAAAGGGACGCTGTACAGAAGAAAACTTTCACTAAGTGGGTGAACAAGCATCTTAAAAGGGTGAGTAATTACTGCTTGTATTTCCTAGAGGAAGCTGCATAAGTGATTCATTTTCTGCTGCTATACTGGTTTTCGTGGAGAAAGAAGATATGTAAAGAAGAAAATGTGGGAGATGAATAAGCTTCATACTTGAATTCTGAACTGGATAGTCAGAAAGTTGAGGGTGATCGAAATGTTGTGTAAAGATTCTTTCAATTGATAAGACTCATAGAATTTAACACTTTAGTGCCAGCTAGGGGCATTTTGTTATAGTCCTCTGAGCCTCTTTCCTCCAGCAGGCTAAAAAAAATATGTGCATTTGCACATACATGCACACAAGCACGTTCATGCATGTAGTCTTTCTCTTACTCACTCACTCACACTCACACACACACACACACACACACAAAACTAAGTGGCTAGATGGGAAACAGCATTTCTTTTCGAATTCTTACTAGAACCTTGAGTACTACACTTGTACTTATAAAATGGATGGTCACTTGAACCTTTTGACAGATAAATGTCACTTAAATGGGGATGACCAGATCGAGTTATGCAAAGGAGAAACGGCTATCTCTCTATGAGGAAATTCAGGAAGACTGTATCCTGTGGATGGAGATAAAAGGCCCTATGTTCATGTGCAGTGCCTAATGAGTGCCAAGACTGTGAAAAAAAATGTTCTGATTGAGGGGAACTCTTAGAAAATCACACAGAGGATTTTTAAGAAAGACATGGTTTTAGATAATTATGATTTTCCATATGTCTGCTTCATTTTACCAGTTTTTATGTACAGACACAGATGTGTCTGTACATATTGCCATCACCTGCGTCTGTCGTCGCCGATGGCGATGCCGNTGTGTGACGAGAATGTCACTGGCTGGCGGTGTTAGTAGTCAGATGTAGATGGTGGCTCACCCTGCACTGGAGCAGAAGTGTTGTGAGGAGATGAATCAAGGTTTGTGACTGGACAATAACAGACTGAGGACATACCACATCTGTGTGCTTTGGGACTGATATTTTGCATGGCCACAGCCTCTTGATGGTTGACCATTTGTTCCCGAGTCCATTTGCGGTGACACAGTCAAGAAGCTTTTGATTTGACACTTGGCGAGGCATGAAAGTGAAAAAGACAACAGGCAGAATAGGCTCCCAGAAGGTGGATAACATAACTTAGCCATCTGTACACTGAACAGTCATAGGGGAAATGGCCCTCAGTCATCTATATCATCACACAGCCAGTGCAGTAGCTAGCTAGGAGGGTGAATCAAGCTTGGAATTTTCATTGCTCAGAGTTACATCAGGAGAGTGTTCTTGTGTCAGTGCACAGTTGGAAGGGAAGGGGGGAGCATGGAGTGGTGGGAGAAACAGGCTCTGTTTGAGTCTTCCTCTACCCTGACATCCAACAATCCTCTGGATGCACCCAGCTCTGCTGAGGGATCAAGTGCTTTCCAATTTTACGAAGAGAATCGATTGCGCTACACAGGTATGGGTTGGATCAATAAGTAATATTTGCAGCTATATAAGTATATAGAATTCCCAAATTGGACAATGTTGGAGAAGCCTTGCATGTGTTCATTCCATTATGTAAGAGATGCAAGAAAATACACCCTTATTAAATAATGATAGCTGTGTGGGCAAACAAGATCTAAACAGAATGCCCTTGAAAGATACTTTGTCTGGTATTTTGTAAAACTAATGGGTCGTAATGGTTTTCAACAACTAGAGGGCCAAACATACCTCTCAGTTTTCTGCTTGCCTTTATCTCTCCACTTAATACCCGAGTAGCTGTATATTGACAGATATGATTACCATGTACTTATCATTTCTGGAAATACTGGATTAAGATCTACCATGTTTTTGGTGTTCTAGATATTTTCATTGGTACCTGATATTTCAGTAGTGATCAGATACATTATTTAGATAATGTGAGGATGGCGTCATTTGTTACTTTATGCATTTAAAATGAAAATGTTTCAAGATTTTTTCCTGTAGATAAAGTATTTAACCTGTGGTTCTATAAAGTACACATGGAATGTAAATGTGATTTCGTTGAGTGATTCTAGTTCAAGAATGCCCCTGTTCAAATTACTTAAATACAACAGGTAGGAAGGGATACAGAAATATATTTACCAAGATGTTTATATAGGAGAAACTAGTTTTGCCAGTTTTGGTGGCGTCATATTTCTATTGTCACATTTGCCCCTCCTTGGCATTCTTGGCTTCCCTTGCCCATAAAATTTAGTGAAACTAGCAGTTGCCTTAAAGCATTTTTGGAAAAGGTATAAAAATGCACAGGTGATGAAAGTCCCTGTTAATCAGCTGGTGAGGTGTGCCAGGATGTTACCCAGAGTTACATAAAGTTACTAATGAATGAACTGTGATAGTGGTCAACTATCATAGACTTCATCTGATTCCCAGGGCTGTCTGGGATCTAGAGAGGATAATGAAGATAATGATATGAAGGGGTTGTTTTCTAAATATTGAATACTGTTGCCAATTTAGATGCTTGTTTAACAGTGTGCTACATCAACTATTCTTCAACTCAAGTAAAAAGAAGAAAGCTTCAGAAAATACTTTTACCTCTTGAGGTGCTATATATGAATGTGCTGTACTTTTCCAGTCATAATTATATAGAAATGAACTGTAGAAGTATACTTCCTCTCACTAGAACTGTATAATATCATGTCATACTGGCACCAGCATTCTGTATTCAGTTGGCCTTCCTCTCTTCCCCACCATCATTTATGATAACACATTACACACACCAGTGAAAAGCATGTTTATTTATTGATGTTATCATCAGAAGTATTGTCAGGAAAGATGGACGTCATGTTCAGATTTTATGTATCTGCTTGTGCTTTTGCCAGCTCACTTGATATATATTGTGATCTGAGATTCTTTGGCATGATATGATATTGGCAGTCTCAGGGATGTTTGTCAAAAAAAAAAAAAAAAAAGATTTTCCCTAAATCTAACAGTCAAAATTTCTTCATATTCCTTGTATAGCTCCTGTGTAGGGTCAGTCACTACATGTGTTCATGAAATATTGATTTTGATCAGAATTCAGTGCCTATTTGAACCAAAACAGCTTTGCAAAAATATATATTGACAGATGTTTGAGTGGGTGAATCAAATAGTAAAAATACATGTATAGTTGACCCATAATGGGCTTCATGCCTTTTGAAGTAAAAAAATGTCCAGTTGGTGTCATTACTAACCATCTGTTACTGTTTTCTGCATCTTATTAATGTGGAAATGCTTATTTGTGTGCTTCATTATAATAACTTCTGACAAAAAAAGAAACTTCATAATTTGTATTTGCAGTTGGTCGGAACTGCTATGGATGAAAACAAATATGTAAAGCTCTTTGATGATTGATTTAATTGCAAAATAAATGAGAGTTGTTAAAAAAACAGGAATTAACAAATATGTTAAGGAACTTGACTATGATTAAAAAACCAAACTTGTCTTTTCAGATGAAAGGGACGCTGTACAGAAGAAAACTTTCACTAAGTGGGTGAACAAGCATCTTAAAAGGGTGAGTAATTACTGCTTGTATTTCCCAGAGGAAGCTGCATAAGTGATTCATTTTCTCCTGCTATACTGGTTTTCGTGGAGAAAGAAGATGTGTTAAGAGGAAAATGTGGGAGATGAATAAGCTTCATACTTGAATTCTGAACTGGAAAGTTAGAAAGTTGAGGGTGATCGAAATGTTGTGTAAAGATTCTTTTAATTGATAAGACTCACAGAATTTAACACTTTAGTGCCAACTAGGGGCATTTTGTTATAGTCATCTGAGCCTCTTTCCTCCAGCAGGCTAAAAAAAATATGTGCATTTGCACATACACGCACACAAGCACGTTCATGCATGTAGTCTCGCTCTCTCTCTCTCATTCACTCACACACACACATACACACACACACACAACTGAGTGGCTAGATGGGAAACAGCATTTCTTTTCTAATTCTTACTAGAACCTTGAGTACTACACTTGTACTTATAAAATGGATTGTCACTTGAACCTTCTGACAGATAAATGTGTCACTTAAATGGGGATGACCAGATAGAGTTATGCAAAGGAGAAATGGCTATCTCTCTATGAGGAAATTCAGGAAGACTGTATCCTGTGGATGGAGATAAAAGGCCCTATGTTCATGTCCAGTGCCTGATGAGTGCCAAGACTGTGAAAAAAAACTGATCTGATTGAGGGGAACTCTTAGAAAATCACACAGAGGATTTTTAAGAAAGACATGGTTTTAGATAATTATGATTTTCCATATGTCTGCTTCATTTTACCAGTTTTTTTTTTCGTATCATTACAAACACTGATGTAAACATCATCTCACTTCTTTTTTTTTTTTAAATTGTTATCCCTGGGCTTGAGATAAAAAAAGGATATTTGACATATGATTTACAAAGCCACATGATGGATTATATCACTTGTATTACTTTGGGCAGCAGATGGTTTTTATTTTATATAGCCAGTATGTTCCCGTCTGATGTGAAATTTTTAACATTTTCAAAAAGAAAAGATAAGAAAGAAAATGTTACAACAGAGAAAGAATTGAAATTGAAATAGCTTACTGGCTTATATTTTTTTTCTCTGTGAGGAAAGGTGAAGTCAAAAATAAACGATGGTTTTATGACTCCAGGAAATGTGACACACCCCAATAAAAAGGCAGAACACCTGCATTTATTTACTACTGTCACTGCATGAATTCACTGTATGAATATCAAGTAGCTTCTGATGACCAGTTTAAATGATATAAGTTTCATGTAATGACCCCACCAGACAGAACTGACCTTTTGGGCTGGACAACTGTAGAACAGATCAAGTAAGAGATGTGACCATCTGTATGTATATTGAAAGACTCATTTTCATGAATTGATACCCATACAGAAAACCACAACTCTGAGTTGTTATTTTCTTGGCAAATTTGAATACACTCTTGTTAAAGGCGAAGATTTAGTAACCAGTAAACTTGACAGTCCCTCTGAGGTGTTGAATACATTATGTGTAGTGGAAGGATTACTGTCGCCACAGAAGATGTAGGTGATGAATCAATGTTCTCCTTCTCCCATTCTAGAGGCTACCTGATGCTACCACTCCTGTAGAAATTGTAGAAGTAATGTAACTATACATGCTAATTGATATTTTTTTTGCTGAATTGGTTTGTTCTAGAAATTTATAGTATATTATAGAAATATATATTTATAACGCCCAAGGTATAATTATTTTTTCTGTTTGTTTAGAGACATGTAAACTTGGAACTTGGGTTCATCCTCACAGGTATTAAAAAACATCAAGATAATAAAATCATTTTCAAGGAGACTGAGAAACCATGACTCGGTAAAATACAGATTCCATGATAAAACATCCAGCATACACTCCTATGACACACTCTATATTTGTATTTCCGGAAAGACTGAATGTACAAGACCAAGCAAGCCGTCATTAAATGGGTGTAGAAATTGAAGCCTGGAAATGAGAAAGATGAAAGAAAAGGTTGTGAGGTTAATGGGAAAATGACTGGTGGCGTAATTGCAGGTTGTCAGCATATCGCATATATGATATGAGCACACATCTCAAACCGTCAGCAAGGAGAGATTTGACCCACTTCACTCACATATATGTTTTACATCGATTTATCTTTTCCAGTTTGATTTTACTGTTGCAAAACAGAAATCTTTATCTTAATGCCACCACTTATCTTGATATTGCTATATTTTTTAGGGTCGGAGAGAGGATAAGATGCACTCATCTAAAAAAAAAAAAGCCTTGCTATCAGGCAGTTGATTGTATTATAACATCCACAATCCAAAAATATGCCACTTACATAGAGAGAGCTTGGTATGACAGTTTTAGATGTGTTTAAAACAGGAGACTTACAAAATATAATCCCTGTTAACAGCTTAAAGGTATATGGAAACAAGTTGTTGAAATGAGAGACAAGGTGTTCATTCGAGGGAAAAAATGCCATGTGACTTAACACAGGCAATAGAACCCTTTGAGTGGGCCTGAGGCCAAAGTCTCACCTGTCAAAATTGTCAATGATGTATACTGGATTTTCAGAATTCAAACTGAAACATGAACAAGAACACATATGCCTTTGGAACAATGTTGAGTCACAGTCCAGTCTTTTTCCAATGTGCACTCCATATAGAGTAATTGATAATTATGTGTCTGGGCAGTTGGTGATATATGCACATTAGTGGGCCATTAATTAATTAATTATCTGGAAAAGGTAACTATTACTGAAAATTATTAGCATGGAGTTGTAATGAACCCACTAAATGTATGTCTGTAATCAGTTGAAGTTAGTCTAACATCTGGACATGTTTTTCAACTTTTGGAGAATTAACAAGACAAAAGGTTTTAGAATATTATATTCTCAAAGTTACCCCAAAGTTACTTTCACCGAAATGATGTCAGTCACATACCCCCCAACAGAACTGTCAAGTAAACTAGTTTACTGGGTACAAAGGTCTTTAAGATTACTGTCAAAGGGTGATTTAAATTTATTAGCAGCAATGATTTGGAATTTCACTATGTAAAATGCTGTGTGTCAGAAAATAGGCCCTTAGTCACTGACTGGACCAGGTAGGTTATCAGAAACTGGTGACAGAAATGTCACCAAGTGCAGAAACCAGTGGCTTGATGTGAGGCAGGGCAGGTAGAACCAGCCTGAGTCAGCCTCACAAGTAAACTGTTGTCAGCGCCCTGGTTATTGGCACTATATGAAGCTGGCATACCTATTTTATCCTGACATTTTATTGGTCAAAGTACTTTTTTACCCTTTCCTCCAGTTTATCAGGTTTTCTGAAGATTTTTAGCTTTGCTGTTTGAATGCATACACATGGCCTCATTTTACAAATAATTAATAACAAAGAAGATGTCTGTAAAACCAAACGGTTTGGAAGGGTCAACTTGACTTTGCTGTAAGCACACCTTAATATTCCAAACTGATTAAGTTGATTTTCCCAAATTTTATTTGCTGCTTATCTTTAACAGACTGCTATTGCTAAGTTGACTTTATATTGCCAGCATCTGAGTTTAGCTTAGCTAACCCTTTTGACACAAGCTTTGTGAAAGCACCATGTAAAAACATCCTTTGGACAGAAAAGTGGTGTTGACCAAGGAAGCATGCAAGACCCAAGATATAGAAAATGTGCACACAGGTATTAATGCCTTTTCATGGCTAACGTCACACCATCTGTTATACAGACAGAGGAATAATATTGTTGTATATCTATTTACCTTGTCATAGGTCACCAAAGTCTTGTCACTGGATAAGAAATTTGTTCTGTAAAAATCTTAAATTTAATATATCTTCCTTTGACACAGTTGAATATGATGTATCACAAGTAACTGCCTGGAATTTTGGACAAAAATGCACTCTTGTCAAACTTGACAAATTTGAATTTTGAGTCTGTTTTTTAATGAAGGCAAAGACCGAAAGAAGACAGATCCTCAGGGAGAAAGGATAATACATCTTCAAGTCACTGAACTATAAGTCCACTTTTGAAAATACTTTGTATAGACCCTAACAGAAAGATGTGATCTTCTGCTGTGCTGAGCCTGACTTTAGATCCTATATATAATACAACATGTCATCACTCTGTGCGTCATGCTCTGGCTGCTCCATGCTATAAGTTATTTACTTCCACTGATACCCTTAACAAAGGTCAGGGGGTTAACTTACAGTTCACCTGGGATATTTACCCATTAAGTATGTAGGATAGCTGTGCTGGAGCCTGGATAGTGAACACACTGGTGGGGAACACCATGGATAACTGATCCAGTAGAGACTGACCTTTTGGAGAATCTGTCTGAGATGAGAGATGATATTAGATATCGTAATGTGAAAAAAATTAAATAAGTCGCACATTTAAAGATTGAGTGTTTATTGATTGTTCAGAGAGTATGAATAATATGTCTGAGTGAAATCTGTAAATTGCTGGGCAAATATTTGAATGTATAAAATTGTTAATTTTGTAGTCAGTCATTATCACTTGTAATTATAATGGTAATAAAGGCTATAGGTTATAAACTGCTTTAGCATGTGGAAGATGTTCATCATTGATGAGTCTTCTTTTTCACCATTTTCAGCACTGGCGATTGTCAAAGGTCGGTTTTAAATCTTTTGCAATCCAGCACGTTTTTGTATTATTTTTTTGCAAAATTCTTCAATGTGCTGAACTCAAACCTGTTTTTAGTAAGACTGTCCCCACTTCCCTTTCCAGTATTCAGTTTATTCATTCATTTTTCAGTTTGAGTGTACACATGCTAATTTTTTCATCGAAAATTAATTAATATTTCCATATTTTACTCATATTGTTAGTTCCCAATTTATATGTGTCTTAAATTTCTTTTCCTTCTCTGTATATTTTGATTTTATACCTGCTTGTGTAAAAATGTTGACTTCTTCATCAGTATTTGTAGCACAATGTTGTGACACATAGCACATCTAACACACTCAGTTCTTATCCAAGTACCAGAAATGTGTCTTTGTACCATAGTACTTGATATCAGTATATGGTAGATATTGTGTAAAATGAAGTCTTCTTTATCATACAACATTTTGTAATTGCTCAAATGATTTATCATAATTCTTGAAATGTAGCAGATTTTTAATGTGATGATCAAATTGTGTTTTTCCTGTTGCTTTTATAGTCAGCCTTGTTAGTCCGTGAGTTGATGTGCTCTTTTAATCAAGGAGCTTTTAATATTAAAAACTTTATTTTGGTTCACACAGACATTTTTTTCTGTATTATATACATAAACAAATTTTAAATCTGCTTCCAGTCTGTAAGGCAAGTGGGTGACCTATTTGAAGACCTGAGGGATGGCAACAATTTAATCACACTGCTTGAGGTTCTGTCACAAGAAACTTTAGTAAGTATATTATTCTTTGGTTTTACTATCAAATTATTGGAATGTTATCATTGCAGAAAACTTTTGTCTATTATAAGCACAATGACTTGACATATTTTATGGATCTCTGTTGTATGAATGAAAGGAATATATTTGACATAACTTAATTATACGTACACATATCCACATGAAGTGAAAATTACCTCTCAATTCCAGCCCAGAGAAAGAGGAAGGCTGAAATTCCACAAACTTAACAATGTGCAGATTGGGTTGGATCTTCTCAAAAACAGAGGGGTAAGTGCTCACAGTTTTCAAACATTGAATCGAAACAGGTTATTTCAATGCCTGATCAGTGCATAAGTGATGTTGTTTTTGCTGTAGAGAAGGTAAATTGTCCTCTTTTTCATTTATAGTCAGGAGCAATCGGGTAATTGCATTTGATATAAACCCTGAATGAAGTTACTGTTGATTATTTATTGTCACATTACCTTGACAAGAAAAAAGATTTGAACTTTGCCAATCACACCTGCTCAAAAAAGGGGAAAAAATGTTTGCCAAGTGTAGGTTCATTTTGAATAATTATTTTTTCTCCAGATTAAACTTGTCAATATCCGAGCGGATGAAATTGTTGATGGCAACCCCAAACTGACTCTTGGATTGATATGGACCATAATATTGCATTTTCAGGTAAGACTACTTTTCATTTAAATAATGGATGGTTTTTAGAAGTGTATCTCAGGGAGATTTTTTTGTTCATTTGGCCGTCAAGTATCTGTCATTTACCTTGTTCCAGGCGATACAATTATTCCACCAATGCAATTATTTGGAACTTCAAAGTATTGTCTTTAACAAATAACTAGAGAACTTGTGTACATTTACTTTATTTAATTTTTTCTAGTAAAGTATACCCATGTAACAGACACTATCATACTAGTTGGTGATATTTTTAAATATGTAATGACTTGTTACTGAAAGTATATATTTTGTTTACCTTACATTCCCCTTTAAACAAATTAGGTGATTTATTTCTCTTCAAGGGTCACATGGTGTGTTAAATTGAAATTCTAGATTTACACAATGTTTTTCATATATTCAAAAAGGAAAGTAATTGTAGCCAGGATTATTATTGGGTTTAACAATATTCTCTTCTTGGATAAAGTTAATCTCACCTTTTCTTGACCTGTCAGCCAGGAGGGGTTGGGTTCTCCTTTGTTAAAAGCCATAGGGTATTTCTCTGTACCCATAGAATAGCTGTTTTCTTGTATCAGATACACAGTTCTTTTTTCACAGTTCTTTTTTTTTTTTTTTGCAATTATTCAGATATAAAAATGACATGCCATACAAATGAAGTCCTGATGGCTCAGGCTGCAGATGACAGTTACATGATTTATATTGCTGTGTTTGTGCTTTGTGATTGCTCCAACTTTGCTGAAATAACTGAGACGTGCTTCAGGCATTTGACCCCTGTGTTATCAATCTGACCTACCCCTGTAGAAGAATCTTTTTGAAGTTATTTGAAAGATGATCTGTTATCCACTCCCAAAAAGCTGTTTATTTGCCCAAACTGAAGTCCTGCTTAGCAGAAAGAATTTTTATGTCTTGCCCTTCCACTTAATCCCAGTGCAAAAGTGGCATCTTAGCTGTGTTGAAAAAATAAAGTATAGAGTTCTGGATAGACTCTAGTGTGACTGTGGTCATCTACTTAATATGTGATCAAATCTTTATTGGGGTCGGGAGATATGATTACTGACCATACTGATGTCCAGCAACATGCTAGCTCAAAATCTGTTCCACACGAAAGTGAACTTGATGTATACATTTAGCTACAGGTTTGATCTGTTCTTTGGTCTTGCATGAAGATTTGTCTGAATGAGGACTTCCTGTAATAAGCATTTACCTCCCTATTAGGGGTCACGCTAGCCTCTAATTAGACGGAGGGGGGGGGGGGAGTTGGTGGACACACTAATTTTACTGCCATCAGGTATTTTGATATTTAATTGGGAGCTGACAGGTTACATGCTGAAGTGAGGAACTGGATTATGTCACCTAGGACAATTTACCACAGGTGTCTTTCACTTAGCCAGATACATTGAGAGACTGGCTTTGGTTACCTTACATGCACTTTTAATACTGTATATATATATATATATATATATATATATATATATATATATATATATATATACTGTTTTATTACTAGTTTGCACTCACTTCTGTGTCCCTTCAGCATGGCAATGAATAGGAATCCAGTTCATTTGTAAAACATTTCTTTTCAGTATGTGAGATATTGTATAAGAAGACTGACCAAAGCATAAGATTATCTTGGTAATTTTTCCACACACATTTGACAAAAAGGAAAACAAAATAACTTGGTAAAATCCTTTTGCTGAAATGATTATGGCATTTACTCTCTGTAAAATTTACCTAGTCAACTCTGTACCAAGGATATTACATAGACAGAAGTGGTTGACTTACCTGCACTAATTAAGCATGCAAGCGGTCAATAGTCCTTGTGAGCTATTATGTAGTAACTGGTGATCCATGTTGAGTTGGCTATTATAACTCCAGCTGCATAGCTCTTCTTGGGCTCATTTCCCTGAGTTTACTTTACTATGCTCACACAGCCTGTGGTATTTTGCTGCAGTGGCATGAACTGGTAGGAATCGAGGCCACTGAATGTGTTTTATGTCAGACTCTGTAAAAAAAGAATACAGGTAGAAGTGGAGTACTCTGCCAGCATGTGTGAATAGGCCTCTGGTTTCTTCCACATTCTAAAGCCTGACCTGGACTAACATTACTGCCATTGTTTACTTAGCAGTGTAAATTGTTATCGGAAAGGTGTCATGTGCCCTAAGGAAGAGGACTTACCCAGTACTTTTGGGGATTTAGCCAGTGGACTTGTCATGCTTCTGTGATTTAGGACTTCCCCCAGTGTGCCCCAGTTTCCATATATGGAAGTAATGAGTATTTAAGTACCTTAATGTATGCAGGGAGTTGCTGGACTTAAAGTCTACCAAACTTAACCGGCAGCTGAGCAGGTCCCTCACTCTAGACATGTCAAGGTAGTCGTAGATGTCTCTGCCTGAAGAACTGGAATCATCAGCAACCCAGGGACATACCCAGACTCACATGTTAGCACCTTTAATGACCCAGGGTTAGAGGAATAGTTCAGATCGTAGGTTGGAGTTTGCCAATGGAGCTTCCATAGTTGAAAACAACACTGGAGATCTGGAATATATGGTACCTGACTGGATGTGGCAAGAGTGTAAGACTGAAGTCAGTTTTTAAAGGGATAGATAACTTCTGTGAGTTAAAACTGGAGCAAAATGTTCAGTTGTATAAGTTGTAAGAGCAAGAAGAGGAAGAGAAAGTACAATGAAATTGTTGTTGAACCAGGCAAGAAGGAGGAGGGAAAGGTAGGCCATATCTCTCTTACTCAACAGTTTTTCGTAACAAACTTTTGTTAAAGTAAAGGGTCAGTGGCATAGGTATAATGCTTGAGAGAATACATATCCAGAAGCACCCCAGGTATAAGATGTTGAATTATGTTGTGTCACAGCATCAATGCCCAATGTAAAGATTGCACGAGCAGTTTCTGTCAGAGACTGCAAAGACCCCTACCACACACGCACCCACCTCTGATGACTGTATTTGTGCACCAGCCATTCTTATTTCATGTATCGATTGCAGGCAACAGTAAGGATTATAGTGTATTGAACAGAGAGAATGAAACCATTGGAGCTTAACTCCAGTCTCAAGTCAGGTAAATAGGCTGTAATGTGAGCCTGATCGACTTCCAGGCTCTACTAGGACTAGAACACAACATTTTTGTTCTTTGCAGACTTGTTGACATTAAAAAAATTAAGGAATTTTTATATTGATGTAAATGCATGCCCCCAAATTAAATATTGATTATCCAGAAAGTATGTTACAAACCTTGTGACTTGACCAGTGTCATTGATCAAAAATAAGGTTGTTAAGTAATTTTGAAATGACTCAGTATGAAGTTCCTATTGTCCCGAAATAACCATAATTTCTATTATAATAACAATAATAGCTGCAAAAATACCAGGTGACCAGGTTGAAGTCTGTGTTCACTTGTGATGACTGAGTTTAGTATCTGTAATAATTGATATTACCCTGAAAACCTCATGATTTCCTCAGGTGCATGGTAACTGACAATTATCATTTACAGCACATCCTCTTACTGAGATCGTATCACCCTGTGCAGTGTTAGTTCTCAGTCTTAACAGATTGCCCAACTGTCTCCATTGAGACAGATATACTAATATGTTAAGTACATCACAGATCAGAAGGGTAGTCTAGATTGCTCTCGTCAAGAGTCAGACTGGTAAAACTATTGGATGAATTATCATTTTAACATAGCCCATGTGCATGTATGGTTTTAGCATGGAAGGCACAGTCAAGGTGCTTGTGGTTACATGAAGGTGTTAGTCTGACTTGGTGAGAGATGACCCCTGCCAAAATATACATTGCTATCTTCTATACACATTGAGTCATTTGTTTTTACAAGTCGTGAATGTGAACACCATCTATGGAATTTGCTCTCAGGGTTAAGATATTTAACTGCGATTTTGGAACACTTTAGTCGGAGCACAAATGTATTATGTAAAACCGGTTTGATGCTAGAAGGCTTTATTATCAATCTTGTCTTCACATGCCCTCATTTTAAATCTTCAAAAGATAAAGTTCTCATGACGCTTGAAAAAAATATTTGTAGAAATAACAGATATTTCCAAGGTACGTGAATCAAAAGAATCTGCAAAAAATGCAAATATTTTTATTTTCTGTGGACCGAAACATTGGTTTGTGGTAGTGTACATTGAACTTCTCCAAAGTTTTCCTTAAAAATAAAAATGCAGCTGTTTTGAATTAGGTCTTGGTTTGTCTTCACAGAGCGAAAAGAAATGCAATAAAATACATTAGAAAGCATTCCACATTAAAAATAGTGCCCAGTTTCCTGAGGAATGTCCTTAATGTGACTTCCTCTGCATAGAAATGTGGGTAATAATCTTGAGTTTTATGTCAGGTAGATTCAACATTGTCATGGTTATCTGGTGCAGGTTGATACTTTTGTACTGTCACTCTGTGGTAGCTTGGGGACACAGGACAGCTTTGAGTGGTGCCAGATATACTGGGGCACTGGGCTCACATAGCCTTTGGTTGATTTAGCAACTGCTTGCTGGGATTAGGATGCTATTTACTTGGTAAACAATGACGTAATGTTGTACTATACGGGTCCTAATGCAGTGCCATGGGAGGAAAATAAGATTTTCACAAGTGAGAGATTTCAACAGGATCAAAAAGTTTCATGTCAGGTTACAAGGATAATAAAGGATATTTTGTACACAGTGATTTATATTATTTGTATTGTTATGTAAAGCTCTGGTTTCTGTTACATTCTTTGATATTAAATACTAAGGAGATTAAAATTTGAGATATGACCTGTATAGTTTTAGTATTAAGAAGATACCTCCCACACCTAGAATATATACATGCCCCTTTGGTACACATCAACAGAAGCATCTACTGGAACTTTAAGGCAGAGAGGCATCTTATATCATTTTAAGCCACAGAAAAATTTGTTTTTGTTTTAACCCTGATCTAATTGCAAAGGAAAAAAAAATCAAAATTTGACTTTTTTCTAACAGAAAATATGATATATATATATATATATATATATATATATATATATATATATATATATATATATATATATATATATATATATTTAGAGAGAGAGAGAGATGTAAAAAATGTGCAGATACCATCTGGTGAAATATTTCCATCCTTGTTATGCATAATTGAGGTGACTGTTCAGCAGACCCTGACTACACCTCTGTTGATGAAGATAGATATCAATGACAGTTTTAGCTACAACACCCTGAAGTGAAGACTGCATCTGTTTGTATTTTGTCAGATAAATGATATAGAATGTCAGCCTTAGGTAAAATGATGGGGACATTATGATGGAAATGCATGTATTTAGAGTCAATTAATCTTTTCCGTGTCATTTGCATTCCTTGTTTCTGTTTACAGGGGCAGGTTGTACACTTGTCAGGCATGTAAACACATATGTTTATGTAAACAGGGTCCCACCTTATTCTTGTTATTAATTGCCATAATGAGTTTAACTTCCATGTTAATATGGTGGTCTACCTGCCACACCCTCTCACCAAAGGTTTTAAACCAAGGACAGTGAGAGAAACCTGATCCGTCCAGGGTGTTTGTGTCTTTTGTGAACTGGTAAACTTGGTACATTGTCAGGAGTGAAACAAGACTCTGTTGCACTGGGGTTCTCTCAGGCAGGCTGGCTGCTTTTGGCTGTGGCTTTGTGCATATGTACCCTGTACTAGTAAAACTGGCTTTGTGAAGGTCCCAGGCTTTTCTGCTGTGTTGATGCACACAAGTTTTACGTAACATTTTGTCAAAAGGGGTACTTACAATGCACTTTGGAGTGATCTGTTACCTCTGATGATTGATGAGAGGATGTTTTCTAAAAATCAAATGAAGATAGATTATATCTCAAATAATATTTTTTTGCACCTACTGTAATGAAATTGTGTGATTCATTAGAGGAAAATGCCAAATATTATTGTATGCATCAGATGTTATTTAATCAGTTGATAATGCAGATTGAGCAATTGTTTCATCACCTAGAGCTGGTATTATGTGATGCCAATGACACTCAACATATAAACTGAAAAACTTTTATTTAGTTGATGAAAAAAAATTATAGTACATAATAGAGTTGTTAAAGTGACATGTTCTGATTGTTTAATTTAAAAAAATATTTTATTCCCCCCCTCCCAAATTTTTATATTAATACTATTAAGTATGACTGGGTACTAAATAAAAACAGCCTAGATGCTACACTCTCAAGCAGTGACATAATTCAGCAGATGTTTTAGCTTTGAAAGATTTGATATTTCTACACTGTACCTATGCTACATGGAGCACTGGCTTTAACATTTTACACATGACATGTCTGGCGAAAGAGCCAAGTATCTCAGCCGCATTACTTTTGTCCTGGTGGTGTATTTGAGCAGAAAACATTTCACCTGGAAATCAACTAGACATGTTGATGTTAGGTTAGAGTAGAGCCTGCTCCAATCACAATGATAAAAGAACCAGGCCAGCTGGAAAATTTAATGGTGTGTATTTAGAAGAGGTACAAGGGGGTAAAAATCTGAAAGCCAGAGCAATACCTAACTGTTATGTCATAGCTTTGGGGTTTAGATAAGATCAGAAATGTTGAAAACATCTGATAAAAATCATCTTAATTTAGAGAGATGGGAGTGTAAATGTCATTGCTTGTGTTCAATCGGTGGAAATTAGGCCCCTGTTATTTAGCCTTCCAAGGTGCAGAAGTCTTGATTCTCTACTATGGCTGGGTTGAATACTGAGCTTCTGTTCCACTGCTTCCACCAGGAGGTCCCAGGACATGGGTCATTGAGTCTGTATTAACCTGTGATTTTAAGAGGGGAAGGGGGTGCACTTCATAAAATGGGCTTTAATTATGCTGCATCTAGATCTTAAATGAAGAGGATATGGTGTTGTCCCACATGTTTGGACATTTTATGGTATTAGAACATTTGTAGTTAAGAAGGAGGTGTATAATTTCCTTTACTGAAACAAATCATAAAAAATGATATTTAACTTGATTTTGTCATATTCTGTAGTTTTTATGAAATAATTTAAATTATCTCTGACCTGATCTGATATTTCCAAGATGACTATGCAATGACTATTCATATATATTAAAATAGCATTAACAGGAAAACAGAACCCATTACTTATGTATGACAAGTCAGCAGACTGCAACAGTATATACAGGTTATTATGATCATAAATTCTGTCAGAACTGTTTGAAGTTGGAGATGGACAATTAATCTTTTATGATTATCAAAGACGTTCCATCTGAGAATTGTGACAGTCTCCATACTAATTGTTGTAGGTGACAGGAATTTCACTGGGCATTTCACCAGAACATAGCAACTGTCAGTCTGGACAGAAGTAATGTTTAAATAAAAAAATAATAAAGCAGAATATCCATATATATAAATGGGTAACATTGTACCACTGCTTTACCTTGGGTCAAAGTAAAGTGAAAATCTTGATTAGAAATAAGTTTCTGATTTTTTAAAGGCCCTGCTATGAGAATCTAGCAAACTGTCATCTTCAAACAGACATTGGGTGCAGAAGTTATTCCTCCATTATCTTTACACTTCATCACCCCTCATCTTTTCTTGGTGTGGTTCTTTTTATTGTACATTTGATAAATCTATGTGCAAACATTTTTTGTTTGCTTCTGCACTTAGAATTCAATAAAATACAATGAAGAATGCTATTGTTGTACACCGTCCTTCAGTGCAGTGTTTGTTTGAGGTCATGCTAGGGATGAAAAAAACTTTCTGGACGTTTGCATCTTTTGGAAATTGGGATTACTTAGTGCAAAAGTGAACACTTCAAAGCTGGTGAAAATCTTGAGTATCCTGTAATGTGTATGTATTTGTGTGTCATTTCTAAACATGCCACTTTTTTGAAACAAAGACATCAAAAGCTCTTATTGGACACAGAAAACACATTTATTAATACTCATAACTCATTTTTGAAGTATAGTCTCACCAGTAGTTTGAGGCGTTTACTAGTGTTTTCTCTTTTTCCTGTCTCCTTAGATAGATCATGTAGTTAAAAGCATTGTTCTGTGAATGATGTTTTTTAATGGCTTAAGTTATTTTTTAAACCTGGCACCTGTTAGCAGATGTTCTCATAGATAGGGCTGGTTAACCTAGGTATATGAGGGTGGTTTGTTGGTGGACACTGATGAGGGGTGAGGACATGGTCATTTCTGTCAGTGTACATTTTCCCTGGGGTCATCTTAGGGTCTGGGGTGTCAGAACCATTAATAATGGTGTTCGCCATTAAATGTGGTTCAAGCATTCAGGATGCCCAGATAAACTGTCAACTTAGAAATCTACAAACATGATATGCATCGATTTTAATGAGAGGAAGGAATAATTTAGTATCAATAATATAATCTTGAATACTTAAAATAACTGTTGAAATATGAAGAATGGCTTGTCTTGAAATGGTCTTTCCTTTACAAAGACTGGTGACATACCTGACTGCACACACCACTTCAGCTTACTTTAACACAAATTTGATAGGAGGTATGGCAGTAACTATTGCCTACATTCTGTCTGATGTTAATGGAGTGGGGGGGGGGTGTAATAGTAGATATCAAACATGAATGGCTTTGTCCACTAGCTTTTGACAAAGATTTCTTGACCATTTGATACTGATCATTAAAAAGAATATAAAGGTATCTGGGATAGGGGATGAAGGGAGATTTAAAAAGGCACTTTTATTTTATGAAGCGTGACCATCTACTTGACATTGATGGATAACTCCTCAATGATCACAAAGTGAACCCATCAGTTACATATAGCTTATTTTAAGAGGTTCTTTGGCAAGTTTACAGGTACAGGAGAGGGTCTTTCCTGTGATGACATAATATTTATCATTCAGTTATGTATTAATGTTTTTACTGTTAAAAGCATTACTTTCAAAAGCTTGTTAAAAGTGCATTAACTCTGGTATGTTTGTTTATGGCAGTATGTCTATACCAATAGTAATGCTTTGATGAACCCCATGTCAAAACTTTTAGAGTTTGGGCACCAGTGGTGTGGAAGTTCATCTAAAAGGTTTATCTCTGTGCATGAAAAACAGAATTGAATTCAAAAGAAATTTGTGTCAAGGAGATGTTAGGTGAAGAAATAACTTAGTGACTATTCTTTGAAACCAATAACACTGCAACAGATTAACACCTTGAAACAACCTAGTTGTAGAAGAATTAAAAAAAATCTTTACGAAGTTACAGATATGATGTGAACTCACCTTGTGAGATCCCCAGCATAGTTGAAGGTAGATAAGGAGCTTTGCACAAGTGGTGACTTTTGGGTTGGCTTCCTTGTGGTTATCTCTGCCAGCTGGAAATGTGAGAAAAGCAAGAATAGATCAAAGTTACCCATCCTTACAGAAGTGTACCCTAAAGCCGATAGAAGTTGCTCCTGTGTTTTCCACCTCAATCAAGCCAATTACAACACCTGTAATGGCAGGTAGAGGGCAAGGTGCTTAATTTTAGGGCAAGGTTTTTTCTTGGAAGGCAGAGCCGCAGTAGACAGTTACCTTGAGAGTTGCAACTGTCAGCTTCAGCTTCCCATGTGAAGTCACTGCAACTGGGGATCATCTCAGCCTAAAAGCCACAATGATGTAGAGATTTGTTTACTCGATTTCACATTGAAAATGTTCGAAGGGCTCAGAATCAGAAGGGTAATTTTGATACATTTTTCGAGATTGGAATGTATCTTTTGTGTTTCAATTGTTTGTGAGTGGTAGTGTTGTAAAAACCGTGATTTGTTTCTTTCAGATATCTGATGTGATAGTGCCTGGCCAAGCTCCAGAATTGAATGCTAAAGATGCCCTCTTGTTGTGGAGCAGACGGACGTGTGAGGGATACCCTGGAGTCAATGTTCGAGACTTCTCTTCCAGTTGGCGAGATGGAAAGGCTTTTCTTGCCGTGATTCACAGAAACAGGTAATCTAAGCACAAATATATTTTTGACACTATTTGATACATAAGATGGAAATTATTATGTGGTAGTTATTACTAGAAATATATCATGAAGATGTGAAAAAAATGTGACTGTTTTGTCTGATGATTTTGATCTGTGATTCCTAGAAAGAAAAAATTGAGCGTAGGTGTTGGTATTCCAGGCTATAAGACAGCACCAGGTGCAGAGTTTAATGATGGCAAGGTGAACTGTTTACCTGTACACAATTACCGTGTGTTTATACTCCTTGCCAGGAATACGTTTCCAACCAACCCATAAAGTGCAGTGTTATGGGAAGTGGTTTAATATGAATCATAGTTTTGATTTTCAAATCCATCGCAGAAGAAATATATACCATTTTCAGACATAAGTTCACTATCTCTGTTCAACTGTTTTTATTCATTTCAGACCCGACCTAGTCAATTATAGAGCCATACGTAACAATACTCCTGAAAAGAATTTGGAACTAGCATTTAACATTGCAGAAAAAGAACTAGGAGTCACTAGGCTGCTTGATCCAGAAGGTAAAACAATATGGTTGTGATTTGGAACAGTTGGAAAACAGTTGCCTACTTGAAATGGCGTAATGGCAGTTATGCAGTTCACATTTACGTGGCAATTGGATATATAAACAAAACTTCATTTTCACCTGTGTTAAAAATAATTTCTAATTAAGAAGCATATTTCATGGGATGACAGATATCCTCCTCATCTTTCAGACATAGCTGTTCCCCAGCCAGATGAGAAGTCTGTACTGACCTATGTCTCCTCCTTGTACAATGTCTTCCCAGAGGTCCCCAGCTTAGAACAGTCCCTGCAAGATAATGTAAGTACTCCTATGGCATACTGTACCTTCTATTTATCTCAACATGCATCCTCTGTTCTGGGTTTGAAAAGAACGTGTTATCTTTGAAAAGCAAGGGTGGGGATATTTTGACAACAAAGGGAAAAACACAAATTACAACATCAAGAATATGTCCATTGAAATAAGTAAACATTTATGATTTGTTGCATTGAAGGTAGAAGTGACTTTTTTCTGCTAGAATAATCCACAAAATGAAATTTTTATCATAGGCTAGAAAAGTGGTGGTTGAGCATGCTAGTATGAATTCATAGAAAGGTTGCTTATTTGAGTTTAGGTTATTTAGGCAAAAAGGGAACACAGCTTTGAAGCAGATATATCCATTACTTCATAAATGAAGTGAAAACATTGTTTTATTAGCTGCTGTTTAACCACCCATTGACCTCCCCTCACCCAGTTGTCATAGCAACAGTTTATCATAACATTTTTTCTACTGAATCACCAGTAGACTGCGTTCAGCCCATCTAGTTACACGGCTTCTTATCATGTATTCTGTGAGGGGAAAAGACTCCAGAGAAACCAGTTATGTTAAAAAGCTTGGAGCTCTGCCCTGGCATATGGAATAACTTTGCCTTGCCGCCGTCATGTTTTTGTGACCCAGTGAAGACCCTATCCAGTTAAGGCTTTGGCATAGAAATTAGGTTTCAAGTATGAATCACAGACATTAATTTTCTGGATTGGAACTATTGTGGTTTGGGGGTGTTTGTTGATAATAAAGAGTGAGCAATAAAGTAGTTATAGTGGGAATGTAATTGGTTTTCCAATTATAGCCTGCTTAATAATAAGGAAACAACAGCAAATGCTCTTGTGGCTGCTCTTTTGAGAGTATGCCATACTTCAAACTTTTGTCGCCCAGTAAGTATGCTAGCACTAAACACGTTAGGTCATGAAATTATTTTTAAAATATGCAGCATAAAATACTTTAGGTTAGAAAAGACATTGTTAAGGCATACTTCTGCACGCTGATGAAAACTGTGGTCAACCATATCAGCTTTTAAACAGTAGCATTATATATTCAGCACATATAAGTAAACTATTACTATGATTGATAGCGATTGGATTGTAGATAAAAACGTGCAAAGCTACACATGTGGTTTTTGTTAAGACCTGAATAAAGCAAGATATGAGATAAACTTGAGATGATAAAGTCACCTAATTTTTTTTTAGATCAGCGATAAGTTGGTTTCCATTAAGAGATGTTGTGATACCAGTTTGTTTCTTAAGTTAAAGGTTTAAATTTTTGCTCAGTGCATATAAACAAGAAAGATTATCCTCATCAAAACATAGTCTTTTATATAGGAATGTTCACACCAGGATCACAAACATTGATAACACCTGCATCCATACAAAGCTGAAAAAAAAACTTCAGCCTATCAGATTCCATAGTGAAGGTCACGCACCTGTGCCGCCAACAGTTTGGCGTGATGATCTGATCTTCACATCTCCACAATCTCATAATTGTCCATTACAAGTAACTGTACATGTAATTTATGAAAATATAGATTGATTTTTGATAACAGCCTGCTGCAGGTGTGGGTTCTGTGCCCCCTGGTAGGTATTGGGTACCCATGTTATTGTCGGACTCCTGAGATTAGCAAATGAGTGGTTTTAAACATCCACTGGCCCATGTTTGCACTGTGGTCCATTATAGAATTGCAAAAATATAAGTTAATCTGCCCCCTAAAGAGTTTACAGGTACGGAATTTAGGAAAATATATATTAATCTCCCTCCTGATGGGATTACAAGAGACAAACTTATTTTTACATGCAGTATATTATATGCCAAGTCCCTTGTTTATAAAAGGCATTAGAGAGCAGGAAATAAGATATGAAATAACATGTATTAGGTGTGTGGAATTTTGTGTAATGTTCCACAGTAGCTGAGCTCAGGAATGCAGGCAATGTATGATATATTGACGGATGTATACCTGAAGGTCTCACCTGCATGGATGAGTAGTATTTCATGCTAATTATCACCAGCCTTGACTTGCAGGGTACCTACACTGCATGAAATATCAGGTTGCTAAAAATACACAGGTTTAAGTTTCAAACCAGTTTTTATGCACTGGGCTTTTTATGAAACTTAAGACTTTTCTGAAGTAAAGATGTTTTGTGTGTTGTTCAGTTTCACTGACTGCAACTGCAACCTGTGCATATTTTACATAACATTTTACACCCATTAAACACTAGAGAAAAACTTCACAGACAAGTCAAAAAGCTATGTGTATTACATTTTCACACGTTATGCTCCTTTTAAGTCACTTTGTATTATACTTTGACTGCATAGTAGAGTACCATCACCATAGTTTTAGTGTAAGTACTGTGTGGTATGAAAGTTTCTATGGCCTCTTGAGTAAAAGAGCCTTCTAAGTGCTGAAGTACACATCCCCTTTGATTTGAAAAGAAGTGAGGCATTTTGAAAAGATGACTTTGTTAAGAAATAGAAAAATTAATGGGGTTGAGGAGAATATGTTTCTGTCTGAACTCTCTGAGCTCTCTCGTTTCCTGCTATTTCCCCCCTTCAATTTTAAATCATTTTATTTTGCCGATCTTTTTAAAGAGAAGTCTTTTGGTGACGACATTTGATCTTGTGGGGCAGTAATCTTTTACCATCTGACTTGCTTCACCCCTTTACAGAATTATCAAAGGGGAAATCCTTATTAGAAATAAAGTATGTTGGTTTAACATTACACCTCAGTAGAAAGAATTCCATAGATAAGATGAATACCTGTGAACTATTGTGTGTAGACTTTTATGTTATGTTGTATCAATGGTCTCAATCACATTTTTGGTATCATCATATATTTTGTAGGTTATAATTTAAGAAAGCCTTCTGTTCTCATTGTCAGAAGGTCATTTTCAAAAACTATTAAATCTGCGGTCTGCAGGTGCATTTTTTTTCTCATTGTCTTTTCACCTTGATCTTTTCTTACCTGTCTTACCTGGTGCCCTGCTGTTACACCTTAAAGCTGTGATAAGACAAAAGGAATGTAGGTGGGAACATCCCTACCTTATTGAAGTCATCTGTCTCTTGTCAACTAGACAAGCAATTATGCAAAACCTGTACCAAGACGATAACAATATAATGCTTATGGATACTGCAGTGTCCTTGTTGCATGAAGACTGACAGGAAACACATTGGAACGAATATTATTGCAATGAATTTCAAGTGGCCTCTGTGACACTCAAATAGATGCATGCATGTATGCAAACACACACATATCCACACATGCCCGTGCGCGTACACACACACACACACACACACACACACACACACACACACAACAAAATCTTTATCCCCAACTTTCTGCAAAGGATTTAGCCATTGTTGTTTTATGTGAAAGTGAAATGTGACCCATCTTTAGATATTAATGCTTCTATTTGTATAGCATAATAGGTGGTATCAGTTTACAGTGGTTTAATCAGAGATAACATAACAGAAAGAATGGAACAATAATATGTCAGTTCAGGAATATCATCATTTAGAAGAGTTAGGAAAACATGGACATTATCCCCACTGTGTCTAGCACCTCATTGTGAAATAGAAGTGCTTTTCTGCACATAGGGAAGTAAGAAAGTGAGCTCTGTATTAGGCAATACAACTCCTCCCTCAGATAGATTATATTACATTTACTGCAAGTGCAGTATTGTACATCCAACCATACCTGTTACAAAGAAAGTATCATGTGTATAATTTTTTAAAAAGTTTAATTGAAAATATGATATATGTTTGAAACAAATGCTGCAGTCTTAATATTTTTCAAAAGATATTTCACTTACACATAAATCATGTCTAAAGTTGGTTGCTAAATATCTGAGAACCTTAATGATGTAAAGAACTTTATCAGATACATATGATTCTCCTGTATCTCTTTTTAATTCTTATTCTCCCTTAGTATCTAGCACAGTTTCTCATTATTATAACTTTTATTTAGGAACGCCAAATCCGCTGGGAGGAGTACAGAGGTCTGGCATCAGCGCTGGTAACGTGGCTGAAGGACAACACTTCCCTAATGCTGGACAGGACCTTCCCCGTGACTGTAGTAGAAATGAAGTCTATGCTATCAGAATTCAACCGATATAGAATTGAAGATGTGCCACCCAGGCTGGCTGAGAAACAGAAATTGGAACAATTATTTTATGAATTACAGGTAGGTGTATCATATTTGCATAGCAGCAAGAAAACGGGTCTATTATAAAAAGAAAAATATGAAAGAATATCCATAGGCTAACAATTTGTTGACAATAAGTTCTGAATCCTGAAAATGTTTGGAACATCACTTTTGTGAAATGTTTTGAAGGAGTTTAAATTGACATCTTCCAACAAGATCATCCTACACTGTTACCTTTGAAAATTGTTGTTTTTTCTCCAGTTGCATCATCAATAAACCACTGTACTTTTTTCTTTAAGAATCTGTCAGTCGGCAGTAGTCAGTTTACCATAGATGAGGAGCTGCACATTGATAATGTCAACAGACTTCTGGACAGATTCACCATTGCTCAACAAGAAAAAGACATGGCCATTCAAGCTGAAACTACTAGGTATGTGTAAGCTGGACAACTATAAGGGATTAAGTGAGCAAGATGAAAAAGAGAAGAGTGAGTACATAAAGAGAGTCATTGCAGAAGAAAACAAGTTATTAAAATTGATATTTTATACCAAAAAAAAAAAAAAAGAACACCACTTAGAATAAATTTAATAATAAGTTTTAATTACTTTTGTCATTGCCATTTTCCTGAAATTTCAGACTAGAGAGGCTTCAGCGTCTTGCAGAAAAAGTTCACAAAGATTCAAAGATCTGTGATGAAAACTTGGATGATATTGAAAGGAAAATGAATGAGGTAAGTATATTTGGTGGCTGGGAATATTTATATTAAGAAAGTAGATGGTGTTGAATATTAACAAATGGTTTTGAATGCAAATGGTTTTGTACCTTAGTATAGCACAAATTTTTTGAGGAAAATTATTAACTCAAATATATCTACAATGATATAAATCAAAACACATATTTGTTATTAGTGATTTAGCTTGAATTTAAACCACTGAAAATCACAAGCTTATCAGCTATCTGTAGTTGAACTCGGTAGTTGTGTTTGAAATGTAAGTAGAGGCCAACACCTAGTTCAAAAATAGCTGGACCAATGCAGAATTAAAGATTGGAAAATATTGTTGCCTGTTTGAAATTATTTCTTGTGATTGCAAGAACCTTTTGACATAATTCATTAATAAGCATTAGCCAACAGTTTATAAGCATTTCTAGCATTGTGTGGCCAAGCCTTTTTTGTTGATGGGTGTCATTTCATGATGGCACAGACCGGTTTAATTAATGTTTATTCTATGCAGTGTCTACAAATAGCTTGGGTGTTGAAGTAGTGTGGAAATAGGAGACAAGTTGTGACAACATTCCATCATGTACGCTCTGATGCATTTTACGTTTTACTCCAAGCAGTTGTAGGATGATAGATGTTTATTGACATAATTTTAGCTGCCCTTGGCTTTTTTTTGCAGTCTTTAGATATTTTTGAATTACTATGTCTGACAGGTATGGGGGGTCATTTGGTAAGTGAACTTATTGGGGCAGGTACTTTTGTCAAAATATACTGCTATTAGTTTTTGTAACATTGATGAATTGTCTCTTTTTATAAAAATAATTGACTGTTATGAAGAAAAATGTCTAAGCTCTCAGGTAATTTGGCTTTGTAGTAGTGAAATCACCAGTGTAATTTGTCTAACTGTCGTGTTGTTGTGAATGCCTGTAAGGTAGTGACCTCCTCTGTGTGACTTCCATTGGTAATGATAGATTAGGCCAGGAAAAGGAGGGGTCTGCAATGAGGTGAGAAATTGTAGACCAGTTCTGCTGCCATACTACTGCTTCAGCAGGAAGGGCTGGATTCACTTTCTGGCCAGTAGATTTGGTGCGATTGTTTTGTTGAGGAAAAGTGTAAAAATGATATCATTGACTTGAGGAATGTTTTCAGAGAGCTGAGAGCAAATTCTGGTGTGTATGTGTTTTAATTGCCAGCTTTAATGTTCTGTTTTGATTTAGTGAAGCATTTGTATGGTAATGATTTATGTTAGCATATGTAGGTAGAATGGTACCAGAAGGTTATTTCATTACCCTTGGTGCTACCTTTCCATATACTAGGATATGGTCAGGTAATTTACCAGAGGTCACAGTGAAATCCTGTTTCTTGCCACGGTTAGGAATTTTGCAGGGATTTTCAATGATTTTCTGCATCTGCATTTTTAGGAACAGCACAGAGTAGAAGTTATCCATCCTCTGGAAGCTAAGAAAGGTTGTGATGCCATAGACCACGCCCTGAAGCTGACCGAAGGCAGCATACAGACATTGTTTGAAGATGTACAAGCTTTAAAAGACGGGAGATACCACCTGGCAGAACAGTTGTACAAAAGGTAAGAAATACTGTATTGGTATCCTACTTTAGAAAGTTGGAGTTAACTTGCCTTCTGTATTACATTTTCATGGATATTGCATCTTGTTAATTACATGTCGAGAGTGTCTCATGGATATCAAACAAAACTCAAATAATAAAAAAGTTTGGAATGACTTTGCTCTTTTTGTATTTGGGCTGGAGTACATACAATATATAAGACCTCTTCTCTGTGCTATATAGGTCACTTCTTACCCAGGTGAACGACTAGGTAGTATATGAAAAATGGGCATTTTTCTTAGTTAATGACTTTATCAGACTTTGGTTAATGTTTCTGTGGTATGGTCTTTAATGATAACATAGTGGCACCAAAATGTCTGGTATGTTTCACCATTCATTTAGGGGTTTAGGGTAACAGCTTTCACAGTATTTGTTCGTTGAATTTGAGTTAAGAGTGTATGTTTTCGAAAAAAATAAGGTCAATTTCTGAGTACAAAAAAACTGTAACACTGCACCTCTGTACTATAAAACTGAATTTCTTTTCCGTAGGATTTACCAGGTGCAGGAGCGCTGGTTGGCTCTCCGTACTTGCCTGGAAGAGGAAATCATGAGCAAGCTGGCTTCCAGGTCGTTTGTGACTGAGGGGATCAGTATCCAGAAGAGGACAGAGGTCCAGTTGGAGTCCAGGCTGGTGGAGACCAATGAAGCTTTCAAGATGGTGCAGGACTGCCTGGAGTGGATTGCTGAGCAGCAGGTAGGGAAAAAAAAAGGCAAAAGCAATCAATTTAACAACTGTAATGGAATGTCTAGAGGATTTTGTGTATTGCACTTTCTTGATACATCCTTATTAAGAATGTTGTCCCAGATGTCATATGATACTGTCGTGATGGTGTACCATACAGGTTTTCTTGTTACTTTTACTATCTGAACATACATTAACTCTTTCTGCTACTTAAGTATGGATATTCAGCAAAGTGGTTAATATAATGGACAGGATAATGCTGTAAAAGTAAGGGAGGCAACTCTTTTATGCTTAATCCTGCATTTCTTGTGTTCATAATGATAGTCAACACAGTACATTTGCTGTTTTTTTTTGTATTTGTAGAAAATGTTAGAGGACCAGGATTATGGAGAGGACCTTCCCACTGTTCAAGCTTATCTACAGAAACATAGACAAGATAGCCAGAAAATAGAGGAGTTCAAACAGCACGTGGAAAAGTGTATCACTGCCAAGGTAACATTGAAATCTGAAGTTTTTTTTGTAAATTAAGTATATAGTCATATATATTTTTGGCCCTTAAGGAAATAAGACAAAAATATATTTTTTAATTTATAATTTTAGATTAAAGAAATGCTGTTTTATTATAATATATGTCAGCATATGTCAATTATGTATGTCAATATTTATGTGATAAATTTGTTAAGGTAATACTGAACAGATAAATGATCAGGGATTTTTCCTCTCTGTTTAGTCCACACTGCCAGCTGATGAACAAAAGCTATATTCTCAGTGGATGTCCAAGGTGGAGGTGGCATATTCACTGCTACATGTAAGTTGGCATGATTCTGCAAATACACAAATATCTGATTTACATATTATTTCTGTTCATCAAAAATAACTTTAAAAATTCAGAGGTAAATCTAGATTTTTTGTTTTGTTTTGTTGGTTTATTTTATAAAAAAGTATTATTTCTTTCAATCCCATTAAGAAAGGCTTACTTGTGTAATTTTCTAGAATACATACACACGGAGAACCAAAGCACTGGAGTCACTGCTGGACTTTATCCAAGCTGCCTCAGTGGAGCTAAAATGGCTGAATGATAAAGAAGACACAGAGGTTGCCAGGGATTGGAGTTCCCAGACTCTCCAGGCAGAGGAGATTGAAAAGTACTACCAGGTAGGCAGATTACTGGATCCTGTGGAAATTTGTATCAGACTGATTCAGAGAATTCAAACAATTTGTTGTTAGAGTATAGATTCATTTAATTTGTATAAGGGTACAAAATAAAATCCACCTGGATGCGGGCATGATTCTGAAAAATAAAAGCGTACATCTGGAAGTTGTGACCCTAGTTGACAGTGATCAAAACTAGTTTGCTGGGTAAGCTTGGCATCTGTCAGCAGCCACAATGACTGATGTCGCTGTAAGTTGCTAAACCAGATGTGAGAGCAGCAAACACCCAGTTGTCATGAAATATAGCATCCTTTGGAACAGTAGCTGTAATTGTGCTTTTGTGTAAATCAGTTTAATCTTCAGTGTGAAGCATATTTTATATTGATTTCTGGCTGATTAATGTGAAAGCCATTATGGTAGATTCTGCTGAATGTGTAAAATGCCAGTGTTGCATTTTTCTTTTATGAATATTTATTGCTAAATTTATTGTTTCTTGATTTTGAATAGTAGATAGAATAAATACTTCACTTGAAAAATGACAAAAATAACACCTCCTTTTAAATTTGTCAGTTGTAAATGATCTGATAAACAGATACAAAATCAATCCTCTTGTGAATTGGCCATTCAACCGAATTTTATAGGAAAATGTTTAAAGGGCAGATTTCAGTTAAATTAGATTCAATCTTGCAATGAAAATTTTTAATTGTTTTTTTTTCTTTTTTGCTAATTATTTTGCAGAAAATATATCCGGAAGCTAAGGTTTGCATTGCCTTGTCATTTGTTGATGCATGTTGCAATGTTACCATGTTATTTGCCACAATGTTGTTGTCACTTATTGTGCCATTTTCAGTTGTATATTTTCATGTTGTGTGAAAAGAAATACAAAAAACAACCCATTTTGCCACAGTATGTTTGAGTAAACCGTTTTTAGTTTCTTTGATGTTTTCCATCTTTACAAGATACGAATGTTGTAAAGCATGAAGCCAAGCTTGTGTAAACCACTTTTTGATGTAATTTGAGCATGCTGCAAAAAGCCCTGAAAAAAATGTATATCATTGTGATGAAGCATATATTAGTGTTCTTACAAATGGTGGCATGCCTTTGGACATGACTCTTTGCATTAACAGAATGCCGCCAAGCAAGACCAGTTTTTATGACAAGTTTTATATGTGTGTCCACCCCTATATTTGTGTGACCTGTAGTCACCCGAAGACACCTGTAGTGACCTGTAGACATGACTTGTGTGATAGACAGTGATTTGCATGTAAGCTTGTGATATGAGTGATAATGTGGTCAGTTTGTAAAGTAGACCAATTCATCAAGAGACACTGTGGACTGTGCTTGTAGAACATGAAGTTTTGTATGCAGTTTCCATGCTTGTCATTCTATCAACATTCTGGTATCATTTCTTAAATGTTATAGTTGGAGGTCATGTTTGAAAAGGAGTTTAGAAAATCAGAAAAACTTTCACAAATTGTAAGGCTGTTGGTTTACTGCAGTTAAACATAAGTGAAATTATTCCATTAATGGTTTATTTGGAAGAAAATGTTTTGATATTGGGTATTAAAACCAAAGTTATGTTGTTGTTAGTTGTTCCACCAGTCTGAGCACTGACAGTTCTCATTGTTGGTTGTTGTTGTTGTTGTTGTTATCATTGTTGTTGTTGCTTTTATTATTATTATTATTATTATTATTATTATTAATTTGTATTATTACAGAGCCTGATGACAGACCTAGAAATTCGTGAGCTTCAATTCAATGCTGTACAGGATAAGGGAGAAGCCCTGGTGATGGAGAGACACCCTGCCTCCAAAACTATTGAAGTAAGAGATTTGTACTATTTAAAAAGATTTGTGTAAATGACATTATGCAATTTGGTCATTTATATGTCTGCCCATCTGACAGTTTTCTGTTTTACATAAACTGGCTCAAATAGTTGTGAAGAACTTCAAGAGATTTTACCTGTGATTTCTATAGATTCATATAACTTTGTGATGTCAAGTATTAATAAGGCATTGTGTTCTCTCTCCTGTTTTAGGCCCACATGAGTGCAATGCAGACCCAGTGGTCCTGGTTGCTACAGCTGACCCTATGTCTGGAGACCCATCTCAAACATGCCACTGCCTACTACCAGGTGAGGGAATGCTTTCAGTGTTTCTCAGTCAGATGTGTCACTCAAGAGTCTGGTGGACAGGATTGATTTTTAGTTAAGATTTACTGTCACACATTTCAAGTTTTACTAAAAATACCTCATGTAGTGGAAAATGTTTTCAAATAAAAACAGCAAAAACATGCACATTCCAACTTTTCCTGGTTTAATTTTATCACCTCATGATATGATTTGCTTTTTTTTCCAGTTTTTCGAGGATGCCCAGCACTGCGAAGAGTGGATGAATCGTCAGACCGACCTTCTCAACTCCCACTATGACAGAGCAGAGGTCAGTGTGGAGGATGGGGAGAAACTCATCAGAGAAACAAAGGTTAGTCAAAAAAAAAGTGTGTTGTAGTATGTAGAACTAACAAAAATCTGAAATCTTAGTATGTTCTCACCAGGGTTGGCATCATGCACTGTTATGTGGTTCTTAGTTAATCACTTGGTCTGTAGTAGTGTGTGTCACTTCACTTATAAAAGGATAGCACTATGTCTGCATTAGCTATAGACGCAATTAAGACTGGCGATTCAATGGCAATTATGATAATGAGGTTTTTATTGACATCATGTAGATGGGCAGGAGTGAAATTTCGGGGCTCATTTGTGGGTGATTTGAGGATGGGTGTAGCATTTCAACAATGACAGAATCTAGGTTTTGGGAATTTATAACATTGTTTGGCATGTTTCTTTGGTTGTAGGATATGAAGGATCTGCTTGATGAATATCAACAGAGAATTGAGGCTCTTGTGGCCAGAAGCAGAGACATTCTGCCCTTGAAAATGAGGCGTGAGAGGCTCATCTCACCCATCCCTGTCAAGGCCATTTGCACCTACAAGCAACTCAATGTAAGCAGAACATTTGGAGTTAATAAAAGCAAAAGAGCTACAAAGTCATGCAATATTCAGTAAATGAATTTCTTTTATATTTGTCAGATTCTTATATAAAGTTATACACAGTTAAAAAATTATTTTCAGATGAGTATCTCTAAAGATGAAGAATGCATGCTGTTTGATAATGGACAGATAACCAAGTGGAGAGTAAGTGCAGTCCTTACCATTCATTTTTCCAGATTTTTTAAATGTAAAAGCATGTAGAAACTAAAATAAGTGCTGAAGTTTGAATATGTTGTTTTAAAGTTAATATATTGTCCTTTTGAGTGAGTATAAAGAGGACTGCAGTAGATGCTTTGGTATTTCTTGTAGGTTGCCAACTCCTATGGCCGTGAAGGCAGTGTTCCTGCTGTGTGTTTTCTCATACCACCACCTAATAAAGAGGCCATGGCAACTGCTGAGAGGTAAGATATATTTTCTTAATTTTTTTTACTCCGGTTACTCCAAAAAAGATGTGGACTTGTTTAAAGCACAACTATTCATAAAGAATCTAAAGGTGGTGTATCTTCATTTGTGTCACCACGAGGGAGATTTGAAGACACCAGTTGCAATCTGAATGTCTATATTTCCCTTTTAATATTAATTCCAGGCTGAGAAGCCAGTTTGAACATCTACAAACCTTATGGAATGCCAAACAGAGGAAGCTGAGGAGGAAGATGGTATTTGCCACCATTAGAGTAGTCAAGACTTGGGACCTAGAACAGGTAACAAAGAATTAAGTCTGTATTGTAAATAATAAGATTATAAATTGATAAAATAAGTGTTATTTTCAGGTGCACAGTAAAAACAAAAATTATTCCATTTGTCATGGAAAACAAACACTGAAATCAGCTGCATTTTATTGTCGCCATATTTGGCCTAAACATTTCATCAAAGTCCGTGTGTATAGTTCCAGAGACTTGGCCCAGCACAGAGAGAGACCATCCTGAAAGCTCTCAATGATGATGCAGAGATGGTACTGTCAGACAGAGATGGCACCCCAGAGCCTGAGCTGAGACAACTCAGAGATGAGATGAAACAATGTAACCAGATCTTTGTCCAGCTGACAAACCAGCTACAGCAAGGTAAAATTACAATTTTCTGAAAGATGAAATGGATTTCTGTTCACATGATTACCATGTTAATGCAGTTTGTTGATAAACTCTTTGAAATATAAACATCAGCAGAATTTTGATGGAGACATTTCATAGGGTATATTTCAAAACCTGTTTTAATTTTGGTAAGGAGAAAAAGTATATAGTTTAACTTGTTATAATTCTAAGCTTTTGATTCTATTTATCCAGAGGCTGCCAGTCTGAAGTCTCCCAGCAGGTCACTACTGGAGCAAGTTGACCAGCTTCACAGGGACTTGGACCACAAGGAACAGGTGCTCTCAGGGAGGCTCAATGACACAATACCCAGGGAGAGAGAAAAACTGGAGCAGACTGTGGTGGAGCACAAGGTATTTATTTGTAGAGTTTTACTTAGAAGTTTTTTACGCAGGGCAATCATTTCACCTTGCAAATAAAACCCATATTGAACATTTGTGAATAAATAACTCGAGTCAAGATAAATTTAATATTTGAAAGTAAAAATATTATTTAATATCAAGTTCTTATATTTGTTATCCTAATATTGTGGTGCTGTGGAGATGACACTTACTGTTGCAGGCCTTTGAGAATGACCTCCAAGGTTATGAAGACCAGGTGGAGATGATCCGTGGCTCTGTGCGCTCTCCTCAGGCTGCTAACCCACACATCCAGACCACTATTGGTGTAGTACTAGAGAAATGGAGTAACCTGTGGTCCATGGCACATGTTTATGTTGAAAGGTAAAGTTTTATCAAATTTGAATTGAAGGATAGAACCAAGGTACACATTTGATGTGGATTGATAATTTAAAGAAATATCAACTGTCAGATAGCTTAGATCACAAAACTGGTAAACTTAAAGAAAAAAAAACAAAACTTTTTTTGATTTTGAGATAGAAATCACGTTACCCCTGGATTACAACTTTTTCCAGACTGAAATGTGTGGAGCTGACTCTGTGTAGTATGGATGAAGTGACTGGTCTGCTGACTGGGTATGAGACTCATTTGGCTTCTCAGGACAGCATGACATCTGACGTAGGAATACTGAGACACAACAAACAGGATCTAATGGTAAGATCATCTACTGCAGTCCTTTAAAAGTCATAATTAATTTGATTGAAACCCTCTTATATGACACAGACTTGATATTTAGGCATTGTGTTAAAGTGATATTTTTCCACAAAAAATATATTGAATATCAGGTTCAAGCACTATTCTTAAATGTGGTATTTTTATGGGCTATGTATTTAACATAATATTGTTCGACATAAGAAACTTTAAAAAGAGATGAATTAAAGAACAGCATCTGTGGTAATTCTAGGACTTGAAGCAGGCAATGGCCAGTAAGAACATTCTTGTAAACCAGCTGGTGGAGAATGCAGCTGCCACACGGCGTATCACTGAGCGCAGCCGTCCTGGCATGATGCAGTACCCTGATGTGGACAGGCTGGAGAAAGATGTGGACAGACTGACCACCAGATGGGAAAATGTCTGCGACCAAGTAGCACAAAGGTGAGACATATGCTTTTCATTGTTTCTGTGAAGATTCAAAGGAAAAAGTGTAGAATAATTTTCATATGTAGCAAAGATTTTTCAAAAATTATGCTTTCATGAAAATGTGTCCATTTACAGCAGGTTTTGATGCTTACTGTGCATTGGTATGTGATGCATTAAATTGATTGAGGAAACAGTTTTCAACCTCACAGTCTTAATTTCTTTATTTTGAGATAGTTAATATAAAATGTAACAGGTAAAATGGAGGAAAAGTTGAATCTTAAACTATTGCTAAGTCACTTGTATTGTTTTTTTTTTTTGTAGAATCCACAACACTGACACTGCCATAGAATTGTTGAGTATGTTCCAAAATGGCCTGAGTAAGGAGAATGCCTGGTTAGACCAGCAGCAAGAGGGCCTCCAGGGCCAGCCTCCACTGACGGGAGATGTGCAACATGCTAGGGACATGTTGGATGCCACTGCTGTATGTAACAGACACTGAGCAGACATTCAATAAAATTTATTTATCTTAAAGATATTTGTTACAAAATTTTAATTATGGCTGTATTTGTCTGAATGGTTTATATTGGATAACAGTTTTCAATATTTGATCTATACTGAACAAAAATATAAACACACGAAACTAAAATGGTCACTTGAAATGGATAATCATGAAATATGCCCAGGTTGATGGTTTATTTGTGAACTGATGGATATGTTTTGATCAATTATAGTGGTCTGGTTTCACTTGGCCGCTCCCCGTGAGTATACTCAAAGGTTCAGTTTTTACACCCGTAAGACTAATGGAGCATGACGGAGTAGAGGTCAATCTGCAAGACCAATACTCGGATACTCTCTACCGTCTAGGCAATAAAAGGACACACCAAAATGTGTATTTCTGCCACTTGTCAACATGCCACAGATGTCTGGAACCATGAGGGAGCATGCCATCAGCATGCTCAATGCTTGCTTGTCAGTAACAGAAGTTGAAGCATGCCTGAATGTGCATCATTCCACTGTCAGTCGTATGGGAACACGCTTCAGAGACACTGGTAGCATTAGGAACCACCCTCATGCACCATGTCGCCCAACAAACACCCGTGGAATGTTCTGGATCATGTTCTGGAGTTTTCAGCCATCATGTTCCAGCTCTCGAAAATGTTCGCCAACTGCAAGAAGCACTCCAGGAGGAATGGGATAATATCCCTTAGGCCTCCATTGACAACTTACTGATGTCCATGCGCCGCTGGTGTACTGCTCTGCACAAATTTAATGGTGTCTGTGAACTCAGGATGTTGACCCCCATGGTGTATTTGATGCCCTAATTCTTGGACTATGCATTTAAACTTCCCCTAATGCTCTCAAAGTGATGTCTATTTGTCGAGAAAAATATGCTGTTATTTTTGGCTATATACTCTAGTTCCATATATGAAAATAAATCTACATATTCTTTCGTGCGTTTATATTATTGTTCAGTATACAATTTTGAAAGATATGAATAATTCACCAAATTGAAAATATATAAGGATGTAGTAACATTTTCTTCTAGGTTCTGTACAATGGTTTAAGTGAAAAAAGACCACAAGTAGAAGCTGTGAATAGCTATGGAGGCCGCTATCTTCGAGAGGCAGGGGTATGTTGTAAATACTTAATAATGTGAACTCTTAAGTCAATTACAACTTGTTAAATTTTTGATTTATCTGTATGTATTTCATTGTTTATATCTTCATCTGTTGAAGATGTCATGAAGCACTGTGAGCATTTCTGTATGCATTCCAAGTTTGCCCTTGGTGGCCATTTTGATAACCCTGAGTTGTCAAAATTATGCAAACCAATGTGGTATGAGTGCAGTATAGAGCTATATCTGTACATTGGAAACAAGTTAGAATATGGCCTCTGATCCCACAGCCCCTGTAGCCCATTTTTCTCAATCCACGTTTCATTTTTATCTCTCATTTTTGTGAGCATGGGTGGGTTATAATGGTGTTGGACTCACACATGTTTGAGGTGGCTTCTGTTTTTAACATTGGGTTTTACTTTACCACACACTTTGCTTGTATTATTTGCCTCACACAGGGACTTTTGTTTTATTATCTTTTTTGTTTGCTTGTTTGCAACATTTTATCATTGCTTTATTTTGGATTAGTAGGTTGTTACTTCAGTATGTATACTTGAGATATATAACACATTTTACTACTGAAGTTGATTTGTTGACATACCTTAGTTTTAACATATTTGAATGATATCATTCTCTCCAAATGGTTATTGCTGTCATATACAATGATTTGCATTCAAAATGGCGGTATAAGTGAGCAGTTGAGGTAAGTTCCACCATTTTCTTGTTGTTTTGTCATATTTAAAAAAAGTATTGAATAACCAGGTTAGGCATGTGAAAACATTAACCTTATTTGTCTTGTCACAGACCATTTCAAGCACAACAAGGGATGGGCAATGAGGGATAGATATTTAATAAGTTTTTTGTAACAGTTGTATAAATATCTTTAAAAAAACATTTATGCAATATATGCAAGCTTCCTATCAGAACAAGTTTCTATCTTTTCTCCACATGCATCTAGTTTCTAAGGTCATTCCTGCCCAGCTCTGTCTTCATGAGCAACTCCTGTGCCTCCCTTCTTTCTCTTATTTTTTCATGTCTCATAACTGCATGGCTGTGGAAATGTGGAAGGCCAAGTACAACTTCCTTGCCCCATATACAGGTTGGTGAATAGATGTGTAACAAATGTGTAACATAAATATGTATTTGCATTTTGCATCATTTTTACCAAAAGGAAATTTATAAAGTATGGATGCTTTTATTATTATTATTATTGTTGCATTCTTTGAATGGATTTTTGATGTATAAAGCTTTTTTTATTTTGATTGCATTTTTTTGCGATGCGGTATTGTGCATGTGTGGAAATGCATTAACTAATTTTTGATGTATTAACTGCCGCTCCCCTTCCCTTTCAAACATTTACAGTAGCCACATCTCAAAAACTAGACTATGATGGTTAAGGTTAAACTCCTAATCTAGCATCCTTATTGTAAATATTAACCTACCAACAGTTGATACTAAAAGAAGTGGTACAGCAGTTTGACAATTTGGTTTTTGGCAGGGAATTTAAATCTTTCATCAGTATTGTTATTCATGGGAAAAAAGTCTCATACCACTCACAGTGATTCTACAGTAGTTTCAGACACTTTTAGATATGGCTACAACAACTTTCATATTTCTGTTTTTCTCTCTTTGTCCCTTCTGCTTTAGTTTGCTTTGTGGCTTTGGTATTAATTATTGTGTACTTCTCAATTAGGTGATAGTCAGTTAATCAAGTTGATGATTAGTATGGCTGATAAATTGTATTCTTAAGACTGATAATGTCAAGAGGATTTATGTGATTTGGATACTCATGCATTTTGAATGTAACATACTAATGCTGGAGGTTAGCAGAGGGATGCACTAACACACTGATAGTCTTACTCAGGCATACTAATGTAACTAGGAATTTGATAAAGCATACTAAAATGTGGGGCAAATGGAACACACACAAATCAACACAAAGTAAACCCATTGTTATAAACTGGATTCCCACATGTTAAAACTACCAGGAACATTGATTTGTTCATCAGTGGACATACTTTCAGTTAACTCTTAATGAGGAAGATCTGAGGGGCTGCTCTGAAGTTTGCCCCAATTTGGTTTTTTGGAAAAACAAAAATAAATTTTATGAAAAATAAGTTAATGTTTTGTATTTATTCTTGCAATGAATGTCTGTCCATGTTTCCTGTGTATTTCAGTGTTAACATTGTGAAATCTAGGACCAGAAGTAACCCACCTCATGTACTCTTCCTCTTGGTTTCTCATCCTTTAGTGTCATCTCAACAGTTTTCTCCACAAACCCTCTACTCCCCTTCCCAAACCCAACCCCACACTATCTGATATATGGTCCATTTTAGAACTGTGGAGAATACTGTTCCAGTCCCAGTCTTCCAATCCCCCTCCCAAACTTGCACTGGTTACTCAGGCCTAATCACGAACTCCAGTTAGTAACTGAGAAGCAACCATATACCAGCCAGTCACACGTGTCTTGATTGGTAATGGATTGAAGTTGGTCAGGAGTTTGTGCTGTATTAGGTGGTGAACATGTGCATGCTCACTCCTCATTCACTGTAAATCATGCATTTGTCTGTAATGATTGTTACAGTAAATATTAGCAAAACTGGAACTTGACAAACAGTCACTGCAGCATTTGTCTTAAAAGACAAATATTTTACCAGAATGAAGAAAATGAAAGAACTAAGGAAGAATGGTGTGATTTACAGTGGTCTTATCAGGCATTAGGTGTTGACAAGCTTACTATTTCTGCCTGTTAGCTTGCATGAGATTTTTGCATTCAACTTATGCTCACAAAATGTGATCAAATCAAAATTGGCTTTGTACAAATCGTTGTCCACAAGATCCAGTATGGAATGTTGAAAAAAGCTTTTATTATTGTGTTGAGTTTGCTTGTACTTTGTTTGATGGTACATTTGTTTTATGTTTTTTGTGAACCTTCCATTAAATTGATCTCCTTTTTAAGCTAGTCCCTTTTTTGTTTTAGGAATTTACAAATAAACTCCAGGCTTACAAAGAGAGCATGGAGGAAATTCACCCCAGCCTGAATATCTATGCAGCCAAAAAACCCAGAATTCAATCTGGAGTGAGCATAGTTGCTGGAGAGATGGAATGTCTCAATAAGAAGTACATGGATTTGTTGAAACAAGTCAAAGATAGGATGAAGCTGCTGTGTGGTTTATTACAAGAGACTGTGGAAGTAAGCTCAAGTTTTTATATTTACACAAATTAATTAAAGTAGATCAGAAGTTTCTTCTACTGATACTGGTATGTTGGCATCTAAACTGCAAATCCTAATAGTATTATTATCAGGGGACATTAAAGAACTTTCCTATTTTTGTATACTGTCACCAGTTTTTAGTCTTGTTCTGGGTAGATTCTTTTCTGTTTTACTTGATTATAGCCAAGTTTCAGCTGATAGTGGTCATTACTTACTTAGTCTTGATGCATGTGTGGGATTGTGCTCGTGTCACCTATAGCTACTGACTGGTATTACTGTAACCAAACTTTTGTTCAGTTTTGTAACAAAGGCAACAGCATTGAAAATGATTTTTTACAAGTAAAAGTAATAAATAAGGGGAGGAAAAGAAAAAGATTCAATTTCCCTTTATTTTTAAACTTGATAGTAAATGGATACAGTTCCTATAGCATCATTACTTAGTATAATCTTCTTGTGTTTCAGATAAATACTGAGGAGAAAATTAAACCAGTCAAGACAGGTGATGCGGAATCTCTAATTCAAAATCTGCAAGAAAAGCATAACCCTGGTCATAATTTAGATACCCCTGTATGTGAGTTTGTTGATGAGCATCCAAATCACAATCGAGGGAATGCATTTGGAGCTGGACCCAATGTTGGATTTCATGGAAACACAGCTAACATGACCGGAAGCGTGTATGTAGATGAGCACCCTACTCATAGCCGGGGAAATATCCTTGGTGATGGGCCTAATATTGGATTCCATGGAAATCCTGTGTTTGGAAAACCTCAAAAATTTGGGAACATAACTCATGATCCCAGAAGCAAGTTTGTGGATGAGCATCCTACTCATAGCAGAGGAAATATCCTTGGTGATGGGCCCAATATTGGTTTCCATGGAAATCCTGTGTTTGGAAATCCACAAAAATTTGGCATTACAAACCCTGAGCCCAGCAGGCAGTTTGTGGATGAGCATCCTACTCATAGCAGAGGAAATATCCTTGGAGATGGGCCCAACATAGGATTTCATGGAAATCCCGTTTATGGCAGTGTGCAGAAATCTGGTCACACAGAACATAATTATGGCAGCAAGTTTGTGGATGAGCATCCCACTCATAGCAGAGGAAATATTCTTGGAGATGGGCCCAATATTGGATTCCATGGAAATCCTGTTCGTCCAACACATACTCAAGGAAATCCTGATATGGCTGAAAAATTCTCAAACATAACCAGTATTTCTCTTGTTAGCAAAAAAGTTGGAGGAAACACACAAGGACGAGATGGGGCTAAGAGTGTGCAAACCATTATTACGCTTACAGAAGGCACTCAGTTACCTCAAGGAATTCTCTACACCAATGCTGTATTTGATCCTCAGTCTGGCCTTAGAATGTCTCTGTCACAGGCCATAGAAAATGGGCTCTTACAACTGAAACGTGAGGAATATGTAGATCCCAGCAATGGAAAACACCTAAAATTATCAGAAGCCTGCAATCAAGGCTATGTGGATCAGGCCTTAGTGAAGGAGTTGTATTCATTGTGTGGTATTTCTGATCCATACACTGGAAAAACTCTCACACTGCTTGAGGCTATAAATAATGGCCTGTATAGTCCCATCACTGGACTTATCACTGATCCCAAGACAGGTAGAGGTTTGACCATACTGGATGCTATAAAGCACAAGATCCTGACCCCAGAAGCTGCCACCAGGCTCTCACTGGTAAGCATCACCACTTCAGATATGACACAAACACAAGCATATTATGGTGTAACAAGTATGGCTGCAGCTGAAACATCTCTCTCCTTGTCTGATGCAATAGATAAGGGAGCTATTGATGCCCATACAGGTCAATTCTTTGACATCGTTTCATGTGAAAAGATGACCCTTGATGAAGCCATGAAACGAGGTCTGCTTGATGCACGAGTGATGGAAGTTGTCCACCCTTTCTCCGGACGAAAAGTCACCCTAGCTGAAGGAGTGTCTTTAGGTTTGATAGACACCATAGCTGGGAAGTATGTTGACAACAAAAATCAAAGAAAGATGAATCTTGATGATGCTCACCAGAAACAACTGATAGTGAAGCCTTTCAGTCTGCATGGTGCTTTGATGAAAGGCATTATCAACTACCAGGGTAGGGTATACAGTCCCAGGACAGGACTGGTCATGTCGGTTGGGGAAGCAATAGAACATGGTTTGCTGGATGGCCAGTATAAGTCTCTCATTGATTGCCAGACAAATGAAGTCCTCTCATTGTCAGATGCACTGAGAAGGGGACTTATCACCAGTGAAGGAAGATTTATGAACAAGAAGACCAGGCAAACCAGTTCTATTCATGATGCTGTGAATCAGGGTCTAATCCAGGTTATAAGTGAAGATACCGTATTCGTGACAAGGGGAATAAGAGATATGACAAGCAATGCCATGTACAGCCTGCCAGAAGCAGTGGAGAGAGGACTGATGGATCCAAATAATATGCGCTACATCAACCAGAGGACAGGGCAGACTATGTCTGTTCTAGAGGCAAGCCGCCGTGGCTACATTGATGTCAGACTGGCAGAGAGGTTACTTACATTTTCTGGTATAATTGATGTTGTTGGGAATCAGCTCAGCATAATTCGATCAACCCAGAGAGGGTTCTTTGATCCTACAATGGGACAGGTAAGAGACCCAAGTTTAGGTAGAGTCATGACCATTGAGGAAGCCACACACAGTGGTGTATTCACCTTTGAAAAGGGCCAAGAGCTTTTGTTGTTAACTGCTCCAGTCTGTCATATAACAACCATTACAACCAAAATTCACCCCATCAACCAGTTTGAGCATCCAAAGGTTCAACCCTCAAGGGAGTTGGCTGTTGCTAAGAAAAAGCTCACCTTGTCTCAGGCTGTTTCAAGAGGCTTGGTTGATGAACAACAAGGGACTTTTACTGATCCAGCCACGGGACAAAAAACATCTGTGGAGAATGCTATAACATCAGGCAGACTTGGACTCATCTCAGAGGTGATCCAGGCTCATCCCATGGACTTTGATGTTTCTGAAACATCACATCATGTTGAAACAGGAAAAGACTCAAGGATGGAAGTAGATGTCAGAGATTCATATAAGCAAGAAACTTCAGGCAATATGCAGACCTTCAGAGAGACACATGTCAAGGATAGGAAAATAGCCAGAGCCCGAGTTGAGGAAGAAGATGATAGTGATGAGGAAATGGAAGAAGAAATATTAACCCTTTCAAAATCTCTTCTTCATGATCTCTTGAATGCTAAAAGTGGCTACTTCTTGGAGAAAAGCACCAGAGAGTATATCACATTGCTAGATGCCTTACAAAAAGAGTTGATCAGCAGAGATTCTGCAGTATTTGTAGATCCGCAGACCAAGGATAGTATGAACATTGAAGATGCCATCAGGAGAGGTTTCCTTGAGTCAACGGGACATTACACAGATGCTTTGGGGAAGAGGATGTCCCTTGAAGAAGCGATACAAAAGAATATTGTCATCTTCAGAAACAAAGAAGGTGGCGTCATCACCCAGGCCCTCAAGGAAACCCACAAATTTACTGTAATTGGAGTTATTGATGCTCAGACAGGAGCCCATCTTCCCGTAGGAAAGGCAATTCAGCTTGGGCTGCTTGATCAGAGTCAGGGACTCTACATAACTAGGAATAGAATGGGACAGCCAGTCAAGTTACCAATACGAAACGCAATTCAGGAAGGTCTTGTCATTATTGACAGTGGTGCTACCAGAGTGACCAGAGTGGAAGAAACACAAACACTATCTGAAAGAATAACCTATCAGATCAAAGCTGTTAAAGATCCCATATTTAGGACACCTATGGCTATATCTGAAGCAGTCAAAACTGGGATCCTGAACCCAAGTAATGGCCAATACACCAATACAGAGACAGGGCAGGTGTTTCAGCTCTCAGAGGCTATAGAAAAAGGCTTGGTTATTGCTGAAGTAGTCAAAGGGGATTCAACTGATGGCTCAGGCAGTAAGATAGTAACACGGAGACAAACCACTTTCACCATCAAGGCAGTGATAGATGCAAAATCAGGAAAACAAATTTCTGTCACTGAAGCTATGAAAAAGGGAATCTTGGATCAGGTACAAGGCGTTTACATTAACAACAAGACATATGAAACTCTCTCCCTCAGTGAAGCAATTGATAAAGGCTTTGTTATCGCAGAAGCAGGCCAGCTCAAAAGAGAAGAACGCCAGGAGAAGGTTTCCAGTCTTCACATTGAAGATGACTTGGAAGAAGTGGCATCTGAAGAAGTAGCTGAACAGGTGCAAAAGATTGTCATTAGGACCGTTACCGATCCTCGAACTAAAAAAGAACTAGCCTATGACGATGCAGTTCAGCAAGGCATCCTTGACCATGCTAGGGGCTTGTATTATAATCCAACCACTGGTCGATCTATGGCTATTGCAGATGCCATGAACAGTGGCCTCATCCAAGCTGAGGTTACTATGGTTACCAGAGAGGCAGGTATGAGTGTCTCCACTGCTAGGGGAACAAAGGATGGTTTTGACATAGAATCTGTGGTAGATCCACGATTTCAGATGGTGATTAGTGTTGACAGAGCTATGAAAGCAGGTATTTTGGACAGGGATCTAACTACCTATACACACCCATGGACAGGGCTTCAAGTTTCAGTAAAAGAGGCAGTAGAACGAGGGCTGGTTAACCCCCAAGACAAGTCTCCATTTCATATCAGCCAACTGGTAACTACAGTGTTCCAGGAACTAGAACAGAAGCAGGCTGAAGAAAAGAGAAATGCCATGCCCGAGGATGCAGTAGAAATAAAGATTGATCATCAAGCAAAAGAGACCGACACAGATTCCATAACCATCACAATGGATGCTCCTAAAGTTGTGTCAAAGAAAACAGGTGAGCCAGTGTCTAGCGAAGCCATCTCCATTGAAGTGACTTCTGCCCTCAGTTTCAAAAGTGCTGTCAAACTTGGACTTTTCAATACTGAAACTGGCAAGTTCAGAGATCCTGCAAGTGATGAAACCATGAGTTTGAATTTTGCCATAGCACGAGGATACATTGACCCAGATGCACCAGCAGTAACTGATCTCCCAACTGGAAAATCATATACCTTGAAAGAGGCCTTTGATAAGAACATTGTGATACCTTATTCTGGAAAAGTCAACCGAAATATCACAAACTTCATGGAAATTGTTCTGGATGATATATTTTTCTCTCAGACCTCCAGGTCTTTGAACATGAACATGGAAGATGCCATTAAATGTGGTCTGCTTGACACCAGTTCTGGTGCCTTCCATCACCCCATAAAGGCTGAGAGTGTTACCATTGGAAGAGCAGTAGAAAAGGATTACATCTGTGGAACTTCAGTATTTATTGTTGATCCAAACTCTGGACAGCGTTTTACTTTGGCACATGCCATTAGAGCTGGCATTATGGATAGTGAGATAGGAGAATTCAGGGACTCCCAGAGTGGCAGGAAATTGCTAAGTTTCACTGATGCTGTCAAGTCGGGATTGGTAGAAAGCGTATATAATCCAGTAACTGGTGAAGTAACTGATTTGTCTTCTGGTGAAAAAGTTTTGCTGGACAGGGCTATCAAACTTGGGCAACTAGATGCCAACGAAGTATCTGTGTATGATTTTGATGTTGGGAGGCGGGTGCCACTGGATGTTGCCATGAGAAAAGGTATTATTGAAAGAAGGTCTGGTAATTACATTGACCAGAAAACGGGAGAAAAGAAATCAGCCAAGGAAATGGCCCAGCTTGGGTTGATATCAATCACAGGGGCTCCAGTTTTGCATGGAATGTCATTGTCAGAAGCCATTCAGTCTATCACTGTTAAGAGGACAGCTAAAATTTCAATACCGAAGTCAAGGAGGGAAGTAGAAGAAGAAGAGATGTCTTCACAAAGAGTTGATAAAACTGCACGCAGAAAGATCATAGGACAGCCTCAGCTACAGTTGACTGGCAGCTCTACTGACTCCCCAGCCACCATAGAGTTTCATCCTGGTGACAAGCACCATGATGATGAACTTCTCTTTAAGGGTGAATCTCGTCTGCTAATATCCAGGCCTGAACAGCAAGTGCATCATTTAAAACCAACAACACCTATCAGCCCAGAGCCATCACCTGTGCTAGATACATCTATGTTTGAGAGGATTCAAATGACCAGCACTACAAAGCAGCATGTACCAGAACAGATAACCCAGAAATCTACTAAGACTGTTCATCTGCAGTCAAGGCCACGTTTAGAAGAAAGTATGCAGAAAAGTCTACATATTGTTGAGGAACACCGTCATGTGGCTGGAAAATTTACACTAAATGAAGCAGCTTCTAATGGATGGCTTATTGTACCTTTGGCCAAAGTCAGGGATATAGACTCGGGTCGGATGTTTGGGATAGAACAAGCCATCAAGGAGAGAATAATAGAGGAATCTGAATCTGTAGTTTTGAACCCTATGGACCGTCAACCAATGACCCTGAAGGATGCCATTTCCAAAGGTGTTTTCAATCCAAGAAATGGAGATTTTACCAACATGGCAACTGGAAGAGTATTGACATTTTCAGAAGCTTCCCTAGAAGGTTTGATTCCTACAAATGTCAGCCGTAGGATTGTAGAACAGCTTCAAATTGAGCATGCTGCTCCTAGAAGACCATCTTTGCCCAAGGAAATTGGCATTACTTTCCAGGAAGCTATGGAAAGGGGTCTCATTGATATTGAGAACAAAACATTTTCTGAGCCAACAACAGGAGTTGTTATGCCCCTTGACACAGCAGTGGATAAGGGCTATCTCATCAATGTCAGTATTGAGCACATAATGAGGATCATAGAAGAAATAAGGCTCCAAAAGATTGAAGAAATGGAAAGACAAAAAAGAATGATAGAAGAAGAAATGAGAAGAAAACAAGAAGAAGAAATGAGAAAATACAGAGAGGCTCAGTTGAAACGTGAAGAAGAACAAAGAAAAAGGCTGGAAGAAGAGCAGAGAATTAGGTATGAGGAAGAGCAGAGAATTAGGTATGAGGAAGAACTGAGAATCAGACGTGAAGAAGAAATAAGACGTAAACGTGAAGAAGAAAGACGTCGTGAGGAGGAAAGACTGCGTGAAGAAGAACGGCGTCTTGAAGAAGAACTACGCATAAAACGCGAAGAAGAACTTCGTATGAAACGAGAAGAAGAACTTCGTATAAAACGGGAAGAAGAACTTCGCAATAAACGCGAAGAAGAATTAAGGAGACAACGGTTAGAGGAGGAAAGACTACGCAGACTAGAACAAGAGCGTCTGCGTCAAGAAGAGGAGGAAAGAAGGCGTATTGAAGAGGAAATGAGAATTCGAATGATGGAAGATGAAGAAAGACGGCGTAGAGATAACCAAACAATAAATTTTACCAGTGTCAGAAGATACACTACCCAGGGAGGTCAAGAACTGCTTGGAATGAACATTTTTGATGCTGCTGATAATGGCCACTTAAATCCCATGACAGGGGCATTTACAGACCCTCAGACTGGTAATACCTTCACCTTTGCAGAGGCACTGGAAGCTGCCTATCTTGATCCAACATCTGCACAGTTCATAGAACCGGAGACGAAAAGAACAATGAATATCATGGAAGCTTTAGATCAAAAGTTTCTTACCACAACAGGACACTATGTATATCCAGACACTGGCAGGAAAATCCACTTTGGTGAAGCCATGGATAAAGGTATCATAGTTGAATCTAAACATGAAGGTGAAGTTGTAAAGACAACTGTCATCAGGGAGCAGAAGCAAATGATTGTTGATTCAGTAACAGATCCTAGGAGTGGTAGGGACATAACTTTTGACAAAGCTGTTAAAGATGGCATCTTGCAAACTGAGATGGAGAGATATGTTAATCCTAACACTGGAGAAGCAATGCCTATAAGTGATGCTGTGGATGAAGGTTTTATCACAGGTGAGATTGTTGACACTCAGGTTTCTACTGAAGAACATATTTCTTCGGCAGTGAGAAGAACCCTTCACATAACTGGAGCTATTGATACAAGAACAGGAAAGATGGTTGCTCCAACTGAAGCTGTAGAAGAAGGTATTTTGGACCTGCCCAAAGCACAGTACAATGATCTGAGGTCAGGGCGTGTGTTGCCATTTGCAGAAGCAATTGAAAAAGGTCTGCTTTTTGCTGAAGATCACACTGTGCCTAAGAGAGCCTACAGCCTTCTGTCTGCAATGGATCCAATTTCTGGCGAAACTATCAATATCAAGAATGCTCTTGACCGTGGAATACTTCTTGAGAAAACTGGGGTTTATGTCAACCCAAGGAGTGGAGCTACTGTTCCAGTGATTGATGCCATAAGGCAGAACTATGTCAAAGCCGAAGAGATAGAGACACCACCTGGTGTTAAAGCTGGCACAATAACTGAACAGACCCAGTATGACATCAAAGTGGTTCTTGATGCTGCGAATAAGGAATGGTTATCCTTGATCAATGCAGCTCAGCGCAATATATTGGATTTGCAACGAGGACGTTTCACAGATACTCTTGCAAATAAAGTTATGTCTATCCCAGATGCAATTTCTCAAGGATTTATAAAAGCGGTATTGAAAACACAGTATATCTACACAGAAACAGCAGCTACTGGAGCAATTTTCAGACAAACAAAGACAACCAACATCATTGAGGTCATTGATGCATCTACAAGGGAGAGGATGACAGTGATAGAAGCCATCAGGAGAAAGCTTTTAGATGAAGAAATGAAAACCTTTTATAACTCCCATACCAGAGAGAATATGACCATCCAGCAAGCAATTGATGCAGGTTTTGTCATTACCACACAGCAGCCTCGTACCTCAAGAACAGTACACACCAAAATTGACTTCACATTTGATTATATCATCTTGGAGGGCAACAAAGAAAAGATGAGTGTAGATGATGCTATACAGCGTGGTTATCTTGACCCAGCAACAGGTTGCTTCATTCATCCATTGACTGGAGGCCTTATCACCTTAGAAGAGGCCATTAAAAGGAAACTCATCAAAACCCAACCACCCTTAAAACAAACCAGAGAGAAACCAAGCCACATTGATATTCAACAAACACCAGAGATCATTGTAACACCAGAAACACCAAAGCAAGTGAAACCTCCATCAAAACCTCCTGAAGAAGAAGAAGATCATATTGAACTGAGAGAGATTGCAAGATCAGATATCACACCAGAACGCACTCTACAGGCTGCTAGCTCTCGTGAAAATCTTTCTTCTCCAACATCTCCTGGCTCTATGCCTGTGAGTGGAGGCACTGTGTCATTCTCCATAAAGTCTGTCATTGACCCAAGGACAGGAGAGGAAATAACAGTGGGGGAGGCAGTCAGGCATGGTTATTTGGACAAACAGGGAAGAAATTATGTCAATCCCCAAACCAATACAAGAATACCTATAGAAGAAGCAGTAAGACAGGGTCTTGTAAAGTTGTATTCTTCTGATCCTTTTGGCAAAGGAACTAGTCCATTGGCGAAAGATACCAAGTCCTTTTCTATAAAATCAGTTTTAGACCCAAGGACAAATGAAGAGATATCTGTTGCTGAAGCTATCCGCCATGGCTATTTGGATAAACATTCTAGGTGTTATGTTAATCCTTACACTGATGAGAAGATACCTTTAGATATTGCAGTGCAGCAGGGTTTGATAAGAGTGGTCCATGTGGAAGATTCAGTAAAGCATACTTTGCAAGAAGCACTACAACAAGGCCTTATTGATGTTGCAAGAGGGCGCTATACTCACCCAAACACTGGAGAAAAGATGAGCATTGATGAAGCAGTGCATCGTGGCCTCCTTATTGGAGAATCCAGGGAGGACTTGACAGCTCTTGGTAACAAATCTGCTTCCATGGCCTCTCTCCCTTTTGTTGGAAATGGTGTCACGTTTACTGCAGCCTTCCAGCTAGGGCGTATTGATCCTAATACAGGTCTTTATCATGATCCTGGGTCTGGACACAAGATGTCAGTCGGTGAGGCAGTTAAACAAGGTCTCATAAATCCAGGATCATCTACCACGACCATGACCAGAACTATCACAAAGAAAGAACAGAGAAGTTTTACAAACCAAGGATCTGCTACACTTCCTCCACGGCCATCTGCATTCAGAACCATTTCCCAAGATGGGATGGCAACTGCAAGAAGGGGGTTGTCCTTTGTTGAAGCCTTGGAAAGAGGTCTAATTGATCTCCACAATCAAACCTTCAAGCATCCCAGAAGTGGACATCTGTTGACCTTTGAACAGGCCAAACAAGCTGGTTTACTTAGATACACAGAGAGAGGACAACCCATGTTGTTTATAGAAGCCCTGGCCAGAGGTTTAGTAAACCTGAAAAACCAGACCTTTGCCCATCCACTAACTGGTCAAAGAATGGGTATAGATGATGCCTTCTTAAATGGATACATTGTGTCTAACACAAGATCACCAGTCATTACCACATGGTCATCCACCATGGCCAGTCGGTCAGTTTCAGTTGGAGAGGCTATACAGCAAGGCCTGATAGACCCAAGGACAGGATTGTTCACTGATGCTTCAACAGGTGCAAGTATGCCAGTGGAAGAGGCAATTAATCAAGGCTTACTGGTGCCCAGGCTGACCAGAACTACATCAACCATGAACCTTCATCGTAGGTCTTACTCCTCCTCTAACTTAGACAACATGAATTATGATGGTCGCACAATGCAGAGAGCTGGCTCACAAACACAAGTGAACCTTGGATATGGCTCTATGCAGAGAGCTCACTCTCAGATGCAGGTGAATCGTGAAGCTGGGGGCACCATGCAGAGATCACACTCACAGACACAGTTAATGCCTAGATATGACCAGGGTTATGCTACTTTGGCTGTACCACCTTCAGGCCAAAGTCAGGGTATGTTCCATGAGAACAGGCATTATAAGACCACCAAATTTACAAAACAAAAGCAGTACCGTTCTTACGTGATCAACCCAGGTTATTACATTGATGCCCAGAAGAATGTTGCTAACCAGGTGACTGGGCAGGTGATGACCATACAAGAGGCCATTGATGCAGGCATCTTCCGCTTTACTGACCAGCCACAGGCTGAAAATATCCAAGCTGCTACCAGGGGCCGTAGTGGATCAGCAACACTACAGAAGTCCTACAGGCCATATTTCTTGAACCCTGGTTATTATATAGATAACCAAAAGAAAGTTGTTAATGAGATTACAGGTGAGACGATGACCATACAAGAGGCCATTGAAGCAGGCATCTTCCATTTCACAGACCAGCAGTCTGGTAGTCGTAGCAGAACTTCTAGTTTGGATCGCAGGGACAGCAGGGGCAGTGCAGGTAGTGTAAGCACATTTGGTAGGGGTCACATGTCCAGCAGCAGGGAGCAGCTTGCAGATCAACAACTTGCAGATCAGGTACGTGTTTTTGCTTATTGAGAATGGCTTTTGATTTTATTATTTTTATTTTATTATTTTTTGGTTGCATTTATTTTATTTGTGAGTCCAACACTCAGAGGGTGGGTCTTTCTGGGAAGGGGGTTCTTGCATGAGGGCTGTGGGATTATACAGAGGCCAAACTAAGCTTGTTTCCACATGCACTAACCTGAAATCATACCTGGGTACTCCTAGGCTGGAATGCATTGGAGATGCTTTTATCCTCATTGCTTTACAGGGTGTTCAATCTCAGAGTATAGAGTCTCGCCGCTTGCTTATTAAAGAAAACAGACAGGGTGAGGGTGACTTTCCCCTTACACCTGCTTCTCAGCATGGATTACAAAGTCTTCAAGTGTCCTCAGACTCTAGAGTTCAGCAGCTAGAGAGAAGAGACAGTCAGCAACATAACCTGGTAGAAACTTGTAATATTCAAGTACCCTCCCTCCCAATGGGAAACACTAACATTGCATGGCATGTGTCTACCGGTTTGTCACAGCGTAAAGGTTTGAGTTTGACTGAAGTATTTCATCAAGGACTGTTTGATCCATCATCTCAAGTTTTCATCGATGCAGGTACTGGTAGTGTCCAAGGCCTGACGCTCCAGAGTGCAATAGAAAGTGGTCTTATTGACAGTGAACGAACTTTGATAAATTTACCATCTTCAAACCAGCCAATGACCCTATCTGATGCCATAACACAGGGGCTGGTCAATCCTAAGTCAGGAGAAGTGATGGATGTATCCACAGGTGAAAGTATTAGTCTTCTCGAGGCTTACAACTCCGAGTTTATATCAGATTCAGCTAAGGCATTAACATTATCTGAGGTAGTCCAGCTCGGACTTTATGATGATCAGACTGGATTAATTACTGGTCCAGGCTCAGAGAAGAAGATCACATTAAGAGAGGCTATTCAACATAGCCTGATTGATCCATCTTCCAAAGAAATTAAACACCCATCCACAGGGCAGATGCTGACACTGCAAGAAGCAGTGGAGCAAAACCTCCTGGATTTAGATTCAGGTGAATTGCTTATCTCACATTCTGGCGAGAGAATCAACTTGGCAACTGCTGTAGACATGGGCGTTATTCTGGATACATCTGCCATTCCTCCATATTTACAACAACTAGTAGAAGGATTCTGGGACAAGTCATCAGGTAGGATCATTGACCCCGTGTCTGGGAAGATGCTAACTTTAGAAAAGGCCATTGAAACTGGAATATTGGACCCTAATAAGTTATTACTTAGAGACCCAGAGACAAATGAAGCTGTCCCATTGTTAAATGCAATACAAACTGGTATTGTGGACACCAGCACTGGGCGTGTGTTTGACCCAACCAAAGGCAAAGATATATCATTTGACCAGGCAGTCAAAGAAGGAAGAGTTATACAGACACAATTGTTGCATGTTCCAGAAGATGAAGATATTCATATGGAAAGTGGAAACAAAGGTTTAAACAAAGCAATTTCTGATGGCATTTTAGACTCCACAAGTAAAATTTACGTCCCAGAGACCCATGAAATGTTAAGTATTCCAGATGCCATTGCTTTAGGCATTGTAGACCCAGAAAAAGGCGTTGTGAACATTTCCCAAAAACAATTGACACTCCAGCAAGCTGGACATGCAGGGCTGTTGAGAAAACCTGAGCTACCAAGAACCTTTACTCAGGCAATAAGTTGTGGAGCATTGAATCCTTCCACTGGGATATACACTGATCCAGTGAGTGGAAGGCAAATGACTATGTTACAGTGCATGGATAATGATGTTTTTGATTCAACTGTGAAAGAATTTCAAGATTCTTGGTCCGGCAAGGAAGTTACTATGAGTGAAGCAATACAGCTTGCGATATTTGATCCAGAAACGTGTACAGTTCAAGACAGCAAAACTGATGAAAGATTGTCCATTACAGACGCACAAAATAAAGGTCTTCTGCTGCAGTTTAGAACTCCTGGAACATCTGAAAACAGTACACCAAAACTTAAACCAAGAACCGGTAAACAAAAATCCATTCCACCTCCTTTGACAGTAATAACAACTGCAGAGCTTTCTGAAAATCAGCAACAGAATGATTTTAGCTCAGCTGGGATAGCATCAAAGCTTCAAGTCCAGAGGCGAGACAGAGAAAGATCACCAAGTATAACTGAAGCAGTCACAGATGGACTGTTGGATACCAAAACTAACTATATCATAGATGCTAAAACTTCTAAAAGGTTGTCAATGTCAGAGGCAGTGAAGAAAGGTGTAATAGATACCGATAACACTTTTATCAAAGATTCAGCCACTGGCCAACTGGTACCCATCAGTGAAGCAGTCTTGAAGGGTTTGGTGGACAGTGAACATGGTTTTGTGGAGGATACACTCACAGGTGTAAAGATTCCTTTAGAAGAAGCTGTAGCTCTTGGGTTGATAGTAGATGTTTCACAAACTTCATCTGACAAATCCTATGTTGATGGAAAACATAGTTATATATCTGAGAAAAAGAAAAAAAATGAAGGAAAAAAGAAAATTGCAGGAAAACCTAGTATTGAACATATAATTGGAAAGGAAGAAACGAAGGCTGCCATTCATACTTTAGATGATGCCATCAGAAGTGGCCAGATTGACTTTAATTTGTCTGTCTTCAAAGATTTACAGAGTGGACAGATGCTGCCAGTTGAAGATGCTGTTGGTAAAGGTTTGATAAATCCATCCACTGGTCAGGTTCACTTGCCATCTGGACATATCATAACACTAGCTGAGGCTTTAGAACGACAGCTGATTACAAAGAAGAAAGCCAACTTCTTGACCCTTGGTGAAGCTATAGGCCAAGAAATATATGACCCACATACTGGCCATGTGGCTGACCCAGAAAGTGGGCAGGAAATCACTCTCCAAGAGGCACTTGATAGAGAAATTATTCATCCTGAACATGCAGGCATTTTCATCCATCCTGTCACACAAGAGAATTTGACCCTTCAAGGAGCCATAGAAGTGGGACTGGTAGATGGTCAGGCTGGAAAAATTGTCCATCCTGATAATGGAATGTTGGTCAGTTTAGATGATGCTATATCTAATGGTTGGCTTATTTCTTCGGCAACTCCCATTTCACTGTCAGAAGCAAAGGAGCAGGGTCTTGTTGACTTTTCTTCTGGATCCATAGTGGAACCAACTTCAGGTCAAGAACTAACATTTGAAGAGGCAGTAAAAGCAGGATTGCTCCAAGACAAAAATGTTGACACTTTGAGAAATATGTCAGCCGAGGATTTTGATTCAAACATTACTGATTTACAACATGAGGCATTCAAACTTGAGGCCAAATCTGAGTCACATGATGCAGCAGACATGTCTAAACAGATACAGAATACAAGGCAGGTTAAATCACTAGATATGAAGGGGGCTAAAGAATCTGAAAAAATCAAGCCTGCCATTACAAGGAGGCCCAGACTTCCTTCACCAACTGCTCCCAAGAGTCCCCTGCTGGAAGCTATGCCAGGCGAGCAGTGCTATGGCGTCTCTCTGTCCAAGGCACTGGAGGTTGGGTTATATGAAACTAAGACTGGTAGGTTCTATGATCCTAGTAGTGGAGGTCATGTTACACTCCATCAGGCTCTTAATTGTGGTCTGCTGAACCCAAGTGGCAGAGAAATTTTGGACCAGTCAGGTGCAAAGCTGACCTTGGATGAAGCTGTTCAGAAGGGGATAGTAGATTTGCGCAAAGGATTTTTAATTGATCCTAACACTGGGGAGCGCTTACACATGGATCAGGCATTTGAAAGGGGGCTGATTGCTCCTTCAGAAAAAGGGGAAGTGAATGGCCATGTCCAGGGTTTGACTCTTGCTGATGCACTCCAGCAAGGCCTCATTAACACCACCACTGGTATCATAACAGACCCTGTCACAGGGAGAGTACACACCATGGGAGAGGCAGTGGCACAGGGGCTGATTGATGGAGATGCCTCCATGGTCATTGACCCAATAACACTCAAACCAGTCTCTGTGTCTGTAGCCTTGGCTTCTAGAATTATGGAACCTAGAACTGGAAAACTGAGGCTGCCAGATAAATTCAACAGTCTTACAATCGAGCAAGCTCAAGAGAAAGGACTGATAATCCTAAAAGGAAAGCAACATGGTGATGATCGGTATCCATTAGGTGATGTTATAGCTGAAATTACTGCAAGCCAAGAAGCTATCTCCTCCCTCTCTAGTTCAGATAGGATGGGCAGACTAAAAGGAGATGAGGAAAAAGAGGCAGTGCATGCCCATGTTCAGTTTGACATGTCACTGAATACTGTCACTGGTTCTGAGAAAGCTGTAGTTAGTGGATCATCTGACCCAATGGCATTGATGGGCCTAGAAACTGAACTAACTTTAACATCTAGTAGATCTTTTGAACAGCAGTCTGCAGGTCCTGTACCTTCACAGCAATCCAGAAGCATTTCACAGTCATTGCCCAGACAGGCACAGAGGAGGAAGGTTTCAGTGGACGGACTGCTTATGGAAGAAACCAAGGTAGGTTGCTTGTGGTGAACTTAGCCATTCTATTATTATAGGGTCTTGCCTTCTGGTAGTTACAATTGACAAAAAAAACTTTTTTGTGCATTCACTGCATTATGCCTGCTTTTCTCTGTGCCTAGATGCCTGCTTTGCTTGCCACTAATACTTAACAGCCCATTACACCATTTATTTATTTTTTGTTTGTTTGTGCATGTGTGCACAAGACTGTTTGGATATTATTTTTGACTATCATCCCTTGAGGTGGAGGTTTTGGTTTTACATACACATGGTTGGGAAGGGAATCTCTTTGGTAAATATCCCCATATTTTTTGTCTACTTTACTTTGCCTTCTTTATCGTGCATTTATACAATCAGTAAAGAAAACTATTTATTGAAGTAAAAGAAGCTTACAGACTCTTAAAATGTTGAATAATTAGCATTTACTTCCACTGTTCAAGGGACTTATGCATCATGGTTAATGGTAAGAATGGCGTTAATGTTAGTCTTGCATTTATACTGTAGAAAAATATTATGTAACTTTGTTTTCAAAGTGCATGGCGTGTAAAGACATTTTGCATTATTACTTGATAGTTGTAAATGTTGATAGTCCACTAACAGACTGATATGTTTCCAACTTCATAGGTGTATGCAGAAGCTAGTAAATACAGCTTCTATAACTACTAGTTGAGTAGTCAGCTGGCCTTGCATAAAGTGACCACCTGTCCAACAGGAACCAAGGAGAGCACCTTGACCTCGAAATCTATGAGCAGCATAATACATTATCATACAATTATAACATATAAGACATTAGCATAACTATCGCATATGCCAGAGACTTTCTGATGTCTAAAATATCTTTTGGGAAATGTTTGAAATTGGAGAATGAGGAAACTCATGCTGGAAATATGTAGTAGAATTATTATTCTTTCTAACTTTTTAAAATATCATTAGGTGACTGTTTATTCTTTGTATTGTAATCACAATTATATTAAACCATTTTATAATGTGGCATTATATTGATACAAAACCCCTTGCTTTTAAGTCATTTAACCCATTCATTAAAAAGAATATTTTAAAAAATGAACGAAAAAATTGACAGATATGTGTTTGACAGTTCCGCTGTTCATGTATTGTTGTGCAATGAACCAGTAGGCAGTTTAGCTAGTATAAATTTTGCGCTTTTGGTCAAATATAAATTTGAAAAATACAATCCAGCTTTTCTTGATAGGTCCCAAAATGCTGAATATTTGATAGATGTTTAAAAATTTAAACAAAATTGCTAAATTACAATGATTACTCGTTTAATTTCCGTACTGCTGATATATTGTAAGGTGATAGCTCTTTGTATTTACTTATTAGAAATGATATCCCAATATTGAGATATGTTGACAGCTTTCCAGACTCCAACTACGTAAATATGATGCTCTACTTTATTTAATTATCTGCTTGGTCCCAAGATTTACATCTTTGAGTAAAAGATCTTAGATGAAAACCAGAGGACATATCTGTTTGAAAATACAATTTTCTTAATGGTATGGAAGCTTCACACAAATCTGCCACTCTTTTTTATATACAAACTTATTCTTTTAGAAAGATTCTTAAGGTGCCATGAGCTGACTTAAAGACAATTAATTGAATTACTGAAGAAAGTTCATCTATTTATATACAAAGGGGAAGTTTTATTATATAACAGCTTTACACTGCCAATAAAAAATGCTTTAAGATAGGAATGGGATGATTTTAGTAAGGTTTCTGAAACAGGGTTTACACTTTTGTTATCAGTGTATTTTAAAATGAATGTTTTTTGCTTGTTTGAATTTTGAAATGGTTTTATGGAATGCAAATTGCAATTTTATCTTTTTCCATTGTTTGCTGTTAGTGCCATTGTTACACTTGCTAGAACTCTATATTGTATAAAACCATTGTATCTTATTTATATCAATAAACAATTAGTTATACTAACAAGAGTGAGTGAGTTTGAGTTGCTTTTGTAAGTCTTATTTCAGATACTCAGTGTTAGTTCTAGGTTTGCATTTTGGAATTTCATGATATCAAGTAGCAGTTGATTTGCATCATGAATTGTAAGTAGAATTTGTTTGGCATATTCAACAGTCACTTTTGTGTGAAGCAGCAATTGCTCAAACAAGTTAAAAAGCTTTGTTGCTGTTACTTTTCAAATAACACTGCTGATTAGCTGAATCTCAATGCTTTCTACTAGTTGACAAGCTTAATGATGAAAATTCATTAAGATTCCAATGATAATACTGCACTTGTTTCTGACAGAAAGTATCCTTTCTCTGTAAACTAAGGAACTTGCAGTAGGAAATGTTCTTGAGTGATTTCAGATAGTGCTCACCAGTGCTTCATGCTTGCATCTTTCACTTCTCAGTTTCAAACGCCATGCTTTTTGTAATGGTAAAAGTACAATGTAAATATCACAATGAAATTTCATGGAAAATGAATAATTTGTATTCTCAGTAAAATATGCATGCTTCATTTATAACTTCATAAGTTTGATCTATGCTTACCACTTGCTTACAGAGATCTGTTGATGTGTTTCTTGCAGTCTAAGAAAACTATTAGAACAACTTGCTTATATTCTATGCTCCTGTATCTTAGGACTATGTAGCAGAAACGTACGAACAGGTTGTGCAAGAGTTGCGGAATCAGACAAACTGGATCACCGATGTTGAACATTACTTTGACAACCAGCGACCTATAACAGATGACAGCACAGAACTCCAGAAGTTACTCCTAGAACAGCAGGTATTAATGATTTGATAATTCTGGATTATTGGATTAGCATAAAAAACCTGTAAACATTTTTGCTTTGATTAAGGGTCAATTGATTCAGAAGTAATTTCAGAATGATTAGTAGAAGAATGGGGCATTTTGATTTAATGTTAAAAAATGATATGTGAATCCTTATAAGGGAATCCTTATGCCATGTACCTGTGGCATTTAGTTGACTATTTCCCCACCAGGTGTCTTCAGTATCAGGTACCTTAATGACTGTAATTATATGTTGTGTTAAGGGTCTGAACTATGTTGTTATCTCCCTATATTCAGAGTGTGCAGAAGGAGATCTCTAACCATCACAGTCCACTCCTAGCTGCTGTCACGCAGGCAGAACAACTACTGGATGACCACATTGATGAATTAGATGATGACCAGGTCAACCAGCTTCAAGCTCTTGTAGGGAACCTCAAAAACCGACTGGATAATGTATGTTGTTGTTATTGATGGAAGAATTTCAAAATGGAAATGTTAGATTTACATATCTGCTGTAGTGTAATAGTAAATGGATCCAAGGTCGAATTAAATTTTAGTGGAAAAGAGTCAAATGAGAATGTTATTTCATTCAGAAATGCAGTCATTCAAAATAAATATAAATTTAATTTGGCAAAAACCAATTGGTTGAATATTTATTATTTTGATAATTTAATGTAAAGTGTCATAGATAAAAAATTGATAATGTAATAATGAGGGAAGTAAATTGAAATTTATTATCGAATTACAGGTCTGTGTTGAATCAGAATCTCGCTTGAAACATTTAGAAGGAAGTTCTCAAGAACTACAGAAGTTCAGTGGTGAACTTGGCAAGGTTCTTGCATGGTTGCAAGCAGCAAAGGAAAATGTCACTCCAAAAACTGCCATCAATCTAAACAAGCTGAAAGAACACATGGACAAGCACAGGGTGTGTATGTCTTTTAGCAGCTGGGTGTCATGCTGTGTTAACATTTTTAAAGAGATCTAAAAGATGGTTACTTTCCTGTCAATAGTTTAAGTTTTCTTTCTTTCTGTTCTTGCTAAATGCCTTTCTTAAAAACAATGGAGCATCTGGTTAAGTTACTCTTTCAAACTGGTGCCTTGTTAACAGTGGTTTAACTGAGTGCTCTGCCTGTGTAGGGAATAGCCCTATTATAATCTTGAGGTCACAGAGTTCATTTATCATGGGCGTTTATCTACAGCTGCTATTTGGGACTCTGATAACATCTTTTATTAAGGTGCATGTATCCATTTAGGTGTTTGTTAAAAGGAACTACAAGCATTTGAAAATATTGAGAATTATACAGTGAATATATAACATCTGTAATACATGAATTATAATTTCAAATGACCAGTACATTGTGATTTTGATTTTTTTTTCAATTAGAGATAGTTAATAATAATAGTTTTCCTTTATTGTGCCTTAAAAATAAGGCAGTTGTTTGCCAAAATATTGAAAAATAGTTTTATGAATCATATAAATGTGAGAGGTATAGATAGGTTTTATAGTATAAAAATTGTTTTTTTAGGCATTTAGTCGGGAAGTGATGGCCCATGAGGCTGATCTACGCTTCCTCAATATGGCTGCACAGCATTTCATGGATGAGGCAAAGGTAAGGAGATGGGAGATGGTAGTTTGCAAAAAAAAAAAAAAAAAAAAAGGATAATATTTTGCCTAGATTTGTCATATTTCAAGGCAGTAAGCTATTTATTATCATTTTCATTTTATAATGTTGGGAGTTGTATTGTCGTAGATTAAAGTCTAAAGGCAGATATGTTCTAACACATCATATCTGTGAAATTTAAACAACTTACAAGTTAAGAAATAATATCTGAATGGTGCAAAAATATTGATCTGAAAACTTTTACTTATATGTAAGCTGATACAAAAATCATAAGTTGCAGTAGTGATATTTTTTCATTCATGTAACAGAAGTGAGCATTGATTTTTTTTTTTTCATTTTCAGCAATTTCAAAAATGCCAACTCAAATACAAAAAGGGAGGTGATCGGTCCTCTAAGCACCTCATATTACCTGGTGAGGATATAGAGGGCGTTAGGGACAAGGTCAAGGACACCATGGACTCCTATCAGGACATTTTAGATCAGTGTAATGCCTATTCAGAAAAACTTGATAAAACCTCAGAGAAAAATAAACATTTCCTGGAGACAGTTGGAAAAATTGAAGACTGGATAAAATCTGCCGATAAAAGACTCAATGAATTGGACTGGGAAGGTGTTTCAAACGATGCCCAGGGAATGTATAGACAACTAGAAAAGATCAGAACAATAAATGCTGAGGCTATAGCACAATCAAAAACTGATCGATGATGTGAAACACACAGGAAAAGAATTGATAGTGTGTTTAAGAGAACTCAGAGCCAGCGATGTTCAGATAGAAGATGTGGAGCATCGAATGAATGATGTTGAAGATCAGCATGGGTTTATTACTGCAGATCTTATGTCACGTTCAAGTGTGTTACAAACAACCATGGTACAGTCACAAGGTGTCCGGGAAAGTTTGGATGGTCTTACAGATTGGCTGACAAATGTGGAGGCCAAAATAAGAAACTTAAGACCAATAAGTCTTAACAGAGACACGTTAAAAGAGCAGATGAGTGAAATTGAAGTTTTGCAAGCTGACATTGATGCCCAGCAACAAGCTGTGGAAAGTGTGAATAAAAAAGGTGCTGAAATTATTAAAAATAGTGACTCTGAAGTATCAAAGTCAATGCAGGCAAAACTGAAAGACCTTAACACAAGATTTGGTGAGGCTTTATCAAGAGCTGACACTCGTGTCCGAGACCTGGAAGAGGTTTCAGACAGACTAACTGCATTCCAAACAGCTTTGAAAAATTTTGACGAGTGGTGCATACCCACTCTGGATTCTTTGGACTCAAAGACAACTCTGCAATTAGAACCTGCTCAATTCAAGGAGAAAGTAGACATTTTTGCTCAAGAAAAAGACAGTCAGCTGCCATATTTAGAAAAGTTGCGCCACCTGGGTAAAGACCTCATTGAAGATCCAAGAACTATGGAGACTGGTTTGGTGAAAGATGCTTTAACAAATGTAGAACACAGCTGGCATGACATTACTGCTTTACTGTCAGAGAGGGAAAAGGATGCAGAGATGAGGGAGAAACATTCCACAGGTTATGCCAATCTAAGGACACTAGTGTTGTTGTGGCTAGATGGTTTTGAGGCCAAAGTGTATGAACTCCAGCCTGTAGCTGTCAAGATGGAGGTTGTCAAAAAGCAAAAGGATGAACTTAAGGTAAATTTCTAAAACTTAAATTATTAAAAAGATATTGGAGAGGGGGAGTTCATACTGTAAGTTTAAGTTATTGTTCCATTATATATTTTTGTTATTAATGTTTTTCTTTAACTAATGTCATTGACCATGCTCCTTTTACAGAATTGTAAAATTTAGAGTAATTGAACACCGACTTTAGAGGATGAGAAAAAATTACTAACTGTACTATCATATTTTGTAGCCTCTGATAGAGGAGTGTGAAAACTACGGCACTACTATTGATGAAATCAATGATGTAGGCAATGCATATGACCAGTTGCAGCAAGGAGAAAGAAATATTAGCCCAATACGAAGAACGAGTAAGTTAACTGATATTTTCCAAATTTATGTCTTGCAGTTAAAAAAAAATATTGATTTTGTAATTTAGGTTGTCTCAGTCATCATTGTATACAGTGCATACATTGTATAAGTAGTCATTGTATAAAAAATTATTTTAAAGAAATGATTCTAAAAGAAAGGAACATATTAAAAACAGATACTTAGAAAGCTGTACTATTTTTCAAAATTAAATAGTATGTTATCAGTTATTCAGTCATAAGTTGTGACAGATTTAACTTTTTTGTCATATACTCTTTTGTCATACCAGGACAACGCGTTTCCTCATTGCGCTCACCATCACGATTAAAAACCCCGTCCCCTACACGAAGTGGACCTAAGTCACCTGGCTATGTCAATGGCTCTGTGTCAAGTGAATCCAGTGGTGTCAGCAGCCGCAAGAGCTCTGTAGACAACTTTTTGTCTCTTGAAGGTAATGTCACATGATGGTGTTTGTAGTGATTGTTAAGGAAATGTTTAAAATGAAATAGTGCTCTACACTAGAAATGTGTTTTAGTCGTGGATTTTTGAAAAGACAAATAAGTCTTTATTTTTATGAAGGTGTAAACATCTCGGACTTAAAGATTAACTGGCATCCTTGCATTTACTGATCTTTATTTTTTCAGATCTCACTGAAACACAATGCCAACTAATTGACATCAATCAGCGCTACGAGATGCTGAATGATCTTCTGGCTGATCGTCAAGCAGAAATTGATAGAACTCTCCTGAGTCTAGAGGCCCAGAAAGTGGACCTTGAGAATGTGAAAACATGGCTCCAGGAACACAAAGTGGACCCTGCAGAACACGTGCCTGCAAGTCAGAGCAAATCTCAGCAGTTGCTTAAGGATCATGCAGTAGGTTTTCTTATAAATAAATATTTTTCTAAATGAAGTCTGATCAATTTTTTCCAAATGAAAGATATACAAAGATATACAGTTTTTTATTCTGAATTGCTTAAAATTCACAAAAAGGACCTCTTGATTCATTATGTAGGAAATAAGTTGTAAATTGAACATTGATTACATTTTTGTGAAAGTTAGATGGCTGTTCAATAGTTCTCTAAAGGTGTCTATATTGTTTCAGAAATTCGAGGCTGAGATGCACAGTAAAGAAGACTTAATAGCTGCCATGAAGGAAAGGGTGACAGAACTGGTCAAAAACAAGGGGGATCAGTCTGGCACAGCTGAACTAGTGAAAAATCTACAGCAGCTTGGTTAGTGGCTATTTAAATGAATTGGCAGGGGTGGATCCAGAGATATTTTCTGACAGTCTTCCAAAATATCTTTGTTGATCCATCCTCATTTTTGACCGTCTTCTGACAGAAAAAGTTAAATATCTGTCTATGTAAACTTGAAAATCTGACCGTCTTCTGGAAGACCCAGAAGACGGCCTAAATCTGCCCCTGATTAGAATATATGTTATAAAATATAAGAATAAGGATGATAGTCAGATGATGCTTTTGTGTCTTCTATCAATAGATTTGCTATTTGAAAATTTTCTCAACATATTTTTTTAATGAGAAATGTCAATAAAATATGTACTATGCAAAAAGAGGAAGAATTCTGTGATGAGAGTTCATATTTTCCATGTAACTTACCTTTTGCATTAAGGTTATTGTAATGCTTGATATTCATTTAGTATATATCCTCCCTTTCAGAGGAGGAGTTCACTGATGCCAAAGCTGCGTGTGAGCAGAGGCGCAGATCCCTGGCCAACATGGTGGAAGACATGAAAGAGTTCAAAGACACTTCACGTCACCTGGACAAATGGCTGGCCCAGAAGGAGAAGATGGTGGCTGTGCTGGGCCCCATTGCTACTGAGGAAACACAGATACAGAACCAACTAGAACAAGTCAAGGTAAATGGCAGAATGAAATAGAAATGGATTTACATCAGTGGCGAATGTGTAATGTTGTAATGGTACAGAAATTCGCTCGTTGTCTGTTCAAAATGTTAGTTGCTCTTTTGGTCAAGGTTTTTTTGGCATTTGAGAGGGAGAAAAATGGAGAACATCACACACCAGGAATTATTTTCAAATCTTTGTGCCTTTTGATTAATCTTTGATTCAAAGAATTTTGTTCTTAATTAATTAATGTTTGCTTTTTACTCAGGTTTTAGAAGAAGAGCTTGCTGGTCACCAGCACCAGTATGAACAACTGGTACAGGCAGGCAGCTCCATTCTAGACCAATGTGAACCTGAGTCCAAGGAAGCCCAGAGAATCAGCCAACAACTTGAAGAAATCAGTAAAAAGTGGAACAATCTGGAGTCCAGTCTTCAGCAGAGAGAGAACACTTTGAAAGAAGTGCAGACGGTCAGTGCTGGCTTCTACGATGCTATACAAGACATAGGAGAGTGGGCCCCAAAGACAATGGACAGACTCAGTCGCCAGGCTAGCATTTCTTCACAGGCAGATATCATGAGAGAGCAAGAGAGAGAGCTTAAGGTGGGGAACTCTTATAAGGACCAGTCATGCCTTGAAGCCTTTGTAAGATTTTATATCGAGCTTTTTCCAGAACTTGTTATAATAAAGTAAGTTAAACAGACTATTTCTGACTGAACAAGATGTTCATTTTCCCCAGGACATACAAATTGAACTATATATACCATTCATGTTCAGTTCTAGCTGCCAGCTATAGTAAGTTTGCATTTTTTGTAGGACCTTGAGGAAGAAGCTAAAGAAAAAACCAAGATTTTAGAAGATGCAAGAAATGCTTATGGAAAGATTAGTGACAAAGTGAAAGACCAGTCTACCAAGCAAGATTTGAAAAATAAACTAGAAATGATGGATAAATCTCTCAGCGACACAAAGAGGAGGATAGGTGAGTGAAAAGGATGTTTACTGAAATACTGAATATGTTGAACATTTGTTTGTTAGTGGGATAAATAGATATATTAGCACATATTACATAAGTACATTATAGTGTGGAAAGATTCCTTTTAATGTTTCTTAATATATTTGCTTTTACAGGGGCATTCAGATGTTATGTTATTGTAACATCAGCATTAGTCATTTTATAAAATGTCTAATTTAATTAAATGTTTGTTTATAGCTGGCAGGAAGGCTGATCTGAAAGTAGCCATGAAAGAAGGAGAACAGTTCACCCAGTCTTGTGCAGATCTGATGGACTGGGTCCAGGGAGCTATGACAGAACTGGACAGTGGTCAGCCTGTCTCTGGAGATGACCTAACTCTCAAGGACCAGCTCAGGCAGCATGAGGTACAGAATAAACCCACTGTCTCTCAGTGTTGATCATTTTGGTCAAGATAAAAGTGACAAAAAGGAGATTTTTATTGCGTCCTAATATTTAGTGCTATCAAGACTTCATATTTTGTTATTCAACTGCATATGTTGCAAAACATGGTAAATGTTTGCATTTATAAAAGGAAAATTATTATGTATGGGCCATCTTTCATGCTCATGTTTAGAGCCTAGGAAAAGTACCCAGTGTAATAATTGCAAATTTACCATTAATTGCTTTACAGGCTCTTCAGAAGGAAATGGATGACAGACAGGATCAGCTTAAACTCCTGCTAGACAAAGGTCAGCAAGTATTGACCAGCACTCCACCATCTCCAGCCACTGCTGACCTCCAGAATAAACTAGACACCATCAAATTGCAATGGGATGCGTTGGAGAAGAAAGCAACACATCGGAAGAGAAAACTTTCTGATTGCAATGAGAAGTCATCTGCCTTCCACCAGAGCTTAGATCACATGACAACATGGCTGCAATTTGCAGAGGAAAAACTGGAAATGATGGAACCAGTGGCACTGGAGAGAATGAAGGTGATACAGCAGCACAAAGATGTACAGGTAATAAACTTTAAGGATGATAAAGGGTTATTTTAATTCATGACCAAAACATTATGAACTAGCCTGTATTTTTTAAAGAAAGTATTTATTTATATTGTTAATGCATATATCACTGTCAATTTATTTGAGTGTTTGCAAATGATTATCTGATGTCTAAAGAATATCTATGATAATTGTTTAGTACTTGTGAATGGTTTGCTTTCATATTTTGTAGACCCTACAAACTGAAATTGTCCGTAAAACTCACAATCATGAGAGCTTGAACACCCAAGGACAGACTTTGATGCAAAATGTTGATGTGGATAAACAGGTGGTTGCAGACCAGCTGGACGCTGTTAACCAAAGATGGGACAGTCTTAATAAAGGTACACTTACATTGGGCTTGTTAAGTCCAGTTGAAGAAGACAGAACATATTCTGTTATGTTATTCAAATATACTGTATTCAGTAAAATATCTGTTCTTAAACCATTTAGTAAAAAATTTAGCCCAATCAGTATTCTTCCTATATTTACACATTAAAAGGTTTCCTTTAATTTTCAGCTGTTGACGATCGTCTTCTGACACTGGAGGATATGTCACAAAAACTTCATGAATTTTTTGACCTCATCAAAGATCTCTCAACCTCCCTGTCTAAATATGAAGATAAGCTGTCATCCCATGATGCTCTTGGTGCAGTTGCCAAAGGCAGTCGCTACCTGCACATCATCCAGTCTCTGCAGGAGGAAGTGCACTCCATGCAGCCACAGATAGACTACACACAAGAACTGGCCCAGTCTCTCATCAGTGCAGGACCAGCCAATGCCAAAACATCTCAGATTACTTCCAGGGTGGATGAAGTTTCAGAAAGATATGAGAAGCTCGCACAGGAAGTAGATAGTTGGCTAGCGTCCATTGAGACTGGCTCACAAGTGGTGACTGGTGCACAGGTGAGGATGAATTATCTTGCTTTGTGAATGACAACAGTTATGTCAGTTAAGTAGGAATTGCGAAGATTCTTCCTTTCAAACTTAAATTTGCTTGCTCCCCTTGAAGAGATTTTTTGTTTCATATTTTCTGATCTAAAATATTTTGCCTATCTTTTCCTGAATTGGAGTTTCTGTAAGTTTTCATAAGTGTTAAATAACTGATAGTCCATTTTCACATTCAAACAAGGGGTTGTGTTATGTATTGTGTTGTAGCAACAAGTGAATACAGTTGGCAGACAGCTTCAAGGTTTTGAGGAAGATTTAGAAAAGATGGATGCTTGCGGGAGAGATCCACATGTGGTAGAACAACAGTTACAGGAACTACAGGTAAGGAAAATGTGACACCTTGTTTGAAATGTGTAGCCTTCTATGAGGCACTGACAAATATTCATACACACAGCATTATAGCTCTACCTAAAATACCATACGTGAAGGATTTAACTATTGCTGTCAAAATTCACTATAAAACAGTTTGTAGATATAAATGTCTCATATTGGTACATAATGTTATTGTTTGTGTTCTTCTATAGGCATTCAGTGCTCAGATAAGTGAGGGAGCAGCTGCAGTCAATGAGGCTGAGGAGAGATGTCACAATGTGATGAGCCAGGGATACATAGGACATGGAGACCCCATGTTAGCTCAGGTGAATATGAGAACTCGCCATTGGATGTATTTCTCAGTTTCAGGCATAAAAATGTAAGACTAGACAAAAAATGTCAGTTTTTATTATTTGCCCATATCCAAGCATTTTTTGTGCTGGAAAAATTTCACAAGCAGTTATTTCAAGTTACCAAATGGCATTCCATATTTGAAATAATGATGCCAATGTATGCTTTTATATGAAAAACAGCTTGTATCTTAATTGTTATGATGTATGTATCCAGGTTGAGGACCTCAAGAAGCAGCACTCTAGGATATCAGACAGAGTAGCTCAGCGCCAAGGAGAGCTGTCAGGCATGATGAATAAATTGGATGATTTCCATGATTCCCTGCGCCAGTTGCACACAGCCATTGACAGGGCAGCTGAAGAGCAGGAATCTCAGAATCCAGTGGGTGGAAATGCTGACAATCTGAAGAAGCTTCTACAAGAGTTGAAGGTGAGACATCGGTCCATTATGTTCTGCAGTTTCTACTTGTGAAGCTGGTTGTCTCATTTCCTACCTCTCACTGTTTAAATTAACGATATAACTAGATTTGTTATTAATATCATATTCAAATAATCATTTATAGACCTTTGAGAAGAAGAGTCTTGAGCCCATACAGAAGCAGTTAGAGGTTGTCAGTAAGCAGGGCCAGCAGTTGGTGTCATCTGCTGCACCAGGGGTCAGCACCAGCGGTCTGGAATGTGACATAGAGAGCCTTATGGATAAGTGGAATGAACTCAACCAGAAGGTAGGCATTGCATAATCTAATTTATTTAACTATTAAAAATAAATGCAAAATTATTTGCATTCTAATTCCTGTCTTGAGAAAAAAGGGTCAAATGATTTTGCCTGTGAACAGCGTCTTATGCACAAATAAAAAGCTAAAACAACAGATTTTTGCAGATGACCTAAAAGTCTTGTATTCCTTATCTTTTTCTTTTAAAAAGATAATGTATAAGCAAGGGTGTAATATGAAATTCATGTTTCAGGTCCGTGACCGAGAGGCTGCTTTAGATGATGCCTTGTTACAAAGTGGCAAGTTCAGTGAAGCTGTATCTGCTCTACTGGATTGGCTGGGGGAGACAGAGGAACTGATGGAACACCAGAAAGAGCCGTCTGCTGACTACAAAGTGGCTAAGGCTCAAATGCAGGAGCAAAAGGTATGTAATTGTTGCTATTGGTAATGTAACAATACTTTCTTATACTGCTCAGTACTCTGTAACACTATGAAAATTATTCAAAGTACTCAGGATCCCTTGTTAAATTGTGGCATTACAAGATCTTTATTATCAGAAATTACTTTGTGTTCATTTTGACAAAGGGTGTAAAATTCTGACAGTGCATAAGGTTTTACTGGTTTTCAATATTTGATCTTTTTTTTTTACAGTTCCTCCAAAAAATGTTGGAAGACAGACAAGGTAATGTGGAAGCAATCAAGAAAATTGGTTCTAAACTCAGCACAGAAGATTCTGATGGCCAGCAGGTGTCAGCACAGGTGAATGATATTGTAAAAAGGTACGAGGAGCTCAAAGCAGGAGCGACAGAGCGTCGCCAGAGTCTGGACACCATGATGACCGTTGCCAAGGAGTTCCAAGAGAAGCTGGAGCCAGTGATTGACTGGTTGGATACTACTGAGAAAAAGATGGCTTCAGCAGAACCTGTAGCAACAGAGAGTGAAAAGATCAGACAACAACTTCATCATCAAAAGGTTTGTTTTTGATAATATTCTCTTTAGATTCAAAGGCATGGTTATATAGTTTCCAACAAAATAACTAATAGAAAGGTATGAAGGATACAGTGTCTCCAGTAAAAATAAAAAAGAAGATAAAAAGTGGTCTATAATATCTTGATATTTTTTTCTGAAGGAGGTGAATGAAGAAGTTGCAGATCATGGAGAAGACCTGGCAGCTGCACTAAAGAAAGGGGAAGAGTTACTTCAACTTTGCAATGGTACGTTTGATAGGACTTGATCTTAATATTTTAAAAATTAATATCTTAGAATTTCCCTACATGTCATTCTTTACTTTCAAAGAAACAACCCTTTTGTAGTTATTAAATAAATTTTTGGCATAAAGGAATTCATGGACATTTTCATCTTAGGGGAAGAAAGAGCCCATGTGCAAGAAAAACTTGATGAACTGAAACTGCGCTATAGTGCTCTGAATGAGAAGAGTGCAGATAGATTACAACAAATGGACGAAGTATTACCTCTGGCAGAGGAGTTTGAAGACGCACATGGGAAGTTTTTGGATTTGCTGAATAGATTAGAACCAGAATTAAGAGGCAAAGATATGTCAGGAAAAGAAGGAGAGAATCAATTAGAGGTATGGTACTTATTTACATTTGTCAAACATTTTGAATCAAAGGACTATGGGTTTAAGATACATACATTTTATCTAAACACTTACCAGAAATACAGAAAATATTGGTAATAATGATAATTTTTATGTATACTAAACTGAGAGCAACGTATTTTACATGATCTGAATTTTCAGGAAATTCAAGCTCAGATGAACAACTTAGTACCTATCCTGACTGCCGTTTCTCAGACTGGTCACCCCTTGTCCAAGCTGGCCATTGGCTCTGCAGGGGCCGCAGAGATAGAGGACCTCATCAACAAAGATACTAAGAGGTTTGAGGCTTTGAAGGAGCAAGTGGACAAAAAGGCAGAGAAAATTAACTTCTCAAAACAAAGATCACAAGAGGTATTGGCTTTGTATTTTATTACTCTGTTGTGAAAGTATAATGATTAATAGATGTAAATGAGTCTTTTTTTCTACAAATATATATTACATATTATTTGTTACTACATAATTTATATCACTGTTATTGTAAACTGTTGTAAAATCTTCTCCCAAAACATCTTTGCTAACAAATCTTATAAGATGTCACACCTCTTTTTTTGTGTGATGGATATATTTGTTTATTTTTCCAGCTTTTGAAAGACATTTCTGACCTTATGGACTGGTTTGAGCAGACAGGAAGACTTATCCAGACAGCTCAGCCCATCAGCTCAGATCCTGGTGTTTTGAAGGAACAGTTGCAGGACCACAAGGTGAGGAATCACATTACACAATAGCAAGAACAGCATGAGAAAGTATTAATTATCGACCCACAAACATTTTTATTTCAGTTATTGATGTTTTATAGGCCATTGTGTAAAAATGAAAAATTTGTTACAAACTATCTATTAGCATAAGTTGGCAAATCGCTACTTTCCGTTTCCTTTGCAGGCCTTGACTGAAGAAATGAACCAGAATAAAGGAAAAGCCAGAGAGGTGGTCACCATTGGCAGAAAACTCCTGCGTGAGACCTCTATTGAAGATGACGGAACCATCCAAGACAAAATGGATGACCTCAAACAGTTAACAGACAATGTATCCCGCCTGTGCACTGACCGGCTCGGACTCCTGGAACAAGCCATGCCACTGTCTGTCCACTTCCATGACACCCACAGGGACTTGGAGGCTTGGTTTGAGGCAGTGGAGGAGAAGATAACTGAACAAGATGTCCCTGCCCTGAACACTGACCAGATTAAGAAACAGCAAGATGGAGTCAGGGTAAGTGCTTTTTTTTTTTTTTTTTTTCTGAAGTCCATTGCCAGATGAGTATATATGTGTAAAATTTTGTGTGAATTTGTGCTATTAAGATAAAAGTTTATTTATATGAATATCATTTATTTTGCTTTTATCAAAATTAACAGAATTTGCAGAAGAACTGATTTATATATAAACGTGAACATTGGTTTCATTTCTTGTTAGATTCTGAGGCAAGAAATAATAGAACAGAAACCACTAGTTGATAAGCTAAACAAGACTGGCCAGGCCATGATAAAGTTATGTGGACTGGAGGAGGCAAGGAAGATACAAGAGTTCATGGATACTGACAACAACAGGTTTGAAATGATTAAGAACAGCACCAGGGAAAGATCCAACAACCTGGAGGAAGTTATGCAGCAGACGTCTGAGGTAAGACAATGGAAATGGATGTTGAAAGTTATTCATTTTGATAAAACTGGCGATGACAAAATTTGACACTTTCAGGATATTATTTGCCCATACAACCAAAAATCAAACATCTTTGCAAGAAGTATTATTAGACAAATAAAAGTTGAAACAGAAATCGTTCATGAAGACTAACATACTCCACGAAGAACATGCCAGTAATTTGCATCCTTACTTTGCATTCTAGTTTTCTGAGAAACTGGACAATATGCTAGAGACATTGGTTGCCACGGCAGAGCAGGTGGAGCATGCTGAGCCTGTGTCTGCACACCCTGACAAACTAAGGGACCAGCTTGAGGAGAATAAGGTGAAAATTAGAAATATTTCAATTGTCTTCTTAACTTGTTGTTCAGCAAAGGGATTTTATCCATTAACTTGTGTTGAAGTATTTTTTAAGGGGGGGGGGATTTGTACTGAAAAGATAATTGATGCATGTTTTGTGTGTATTTAGGCTATAATCGAGGACTTAGACCGTAGACTTGCTGCTCTGCACTCTGTGAAAGCCTCAGCCAGCGAACTCATCAGTCAGGCTGTTGATGAAGAGGATGAGTCTGTTAAAGGTAGGATGACATAATGTATAGTAAGTTAAGAGATGTGGGTAGTTAACTTTACTTTGTCATGTTTAACATAACTTAGGCTACATGATTTTTTAAACCTTGTATTTCAAAGTCTGCATATATAAAAAGCATTATTTTCAAGTTTTGTTCTATTTGAAAATGATTTAAAGATGTCATTAACACTGATGGAATGATATTAGTTACATGATTTAAGCCTTTTTGCATATAAATTCTGACTATTTTGCAATCTTTTCTTCAGACATGAAGGACAAGGTGGATGAGCTGGTGCAGTTGTATAGTGACATCAGGAAGGCAACAGAGGAGAGGACGGCTGTGTTAGAGGAGACACTGGAGGTGTCTGACACATTCTGGGTGGAGCTTAACCAGCTGATGGGGACACTGAAGGAGATGCAGGACACTGTGGAATTGCAGGAGGTGCCAGCATTGCAACCAGAACTGATCAGAGAACAACAGGAAGTCCTGGAGGTAGGGAACATATTCTGTGAATTACTGCTCTGCCATTTTGTATAGGTTTACTTTGATATTGGTATCAATTTGCATGAAATGTGTTTACACATAAAATTTGTAAGAGATAGATAATTAGAAATATAGAAATGCTTAGTCATGCACACATCTTTTTAGTTTGAGCTGATTAAGTTTGTACAAAGATGTGAGTGAAATTTACAGGAAATCTATGTAGATGATACTGATAACATTTCTCCCATTTCTTTCAGGCTTTAAAAGAAGACATTGAGGCCTCCCACACTGATGTGGATGATGTGCACCAAGTTGGGAAGCGTCTGATAGAACTGTGTGGAGAGCCAGACCGCCCTGAGGTGGAGAAGAATATAGAAGAGGTGGACACACACTGGCAGGATGTCCAGGCACAGATGGTCACCAGGGCCAAGTTACTGGAGGATGCCATGTCCAAGGCTACCAAGTTCCAAGAATCTCTAATTGTAAGTTGCAGTAGAATTGTAATATTTGAAAAACTTCAGAGGAAGTGACACAGAATTTCTATTTAAAAGGAAAAGTTTGCATTAACCATCAGTAAAATTTCAATCAGTTTTATGGGCATAGGGGGCAAATTGTTAGTACAATATATGCTATTACAGTACTTTGATCTCTTTCCCCATAATGCTCGGTGTTAAATTTAAACAATATATCCCAATGCTGATTTTTTTACAAACAAAACTAATCCATCTCTCTCCATTATGTTTCTCTATGTGTGATGTTAAATTCTGAAGTCTTTTTCTTTAATAAATAAAATTTCTATTTTTTTGAACTTAGTTTATTTTTGGAGGCAGAATTAATAGAATATTTTCTTATTTTTTTCAGCACTTGCTGGACTGGCTTCAAGTGACAGAAGAAGCTTTTATAGGCCTGGGACCCATTGGCGCAGACACCGACACAGTCAAAATGCAGATTGATGCACTGAAGGTACAGTGGCTGTGTAGCATTTTGTAACATTGCTGTTCCCTTTGTAGAAAATGTTGCTTTGATAACTACAGACCCATTATGCTTATTATCTGTTTGCTCACAGCTGGAATTAATGTAGCAAAACTTAAGTGATAGATATACTGGTAATTGATCGTATATAAGTAATTGCTAGCCACTCTGTATCTTAGAATATTTTGACAAATAAGGCCCTTTTTTTCCTCAAGCTCTCAAATAAGTACATGTTTTGTGGGCATTGATATTTTATTGCTATTTACCTCATTCAAAATTACTGTCACTCTGTTTCAGGCATTCAAAGGTGCCGTGGACCCCAAGCATGTGTCTGTAGAGGCTCTGAACCATCTTGGTCAGGAGCTGATCAAGGACAGCACCACTGACCAGGGGGCTGTGGTCAAGGATCAGGTTGCAGAAGTCAATAAAAGATGGGACGCTCTCATAGATGGCATAGGGGAGAGAAGGGTAGATATATCTTTATAAATCACACTTTATTGATTTCTTTGTAGCGCATTTCAGAAAAAAATTCATTCTTTGCAAAGATTTATGTTTGAAGTTGCAATTTTAAGATTCATCATCATTTATAACATTTTTAAAGATTGAATGTGTGAATGTATTAAGAGTAATATTATTCGCTATGTCTGCAGGCTAAGCTTCAACAAGCTCTATTGAACCTGGGTGCATTCCACGTAGCCATGAATGAGCTGCTGTCATGGCTGGATAAGACAGAGCAGACACTTGATGAGATACAACCAGCACTGGGAGACACCAGACTAATGGAGATAGCTATGTCTAAGCACAAGGTATGTTATAAAGAGACAAAAATTTGCAGTAATTTGACAAATCTATCACCCCTTCACACCTTGATAATATGTGGTTGAAGTGTCACCAACTTTCTGTGCAATTATGTGCATAATCTGTACTCTTTTGAAGCTTCTGAGGTTTATTTCCAAGTGAATTAAAAAGATCATTCCAAGCTATTAATTAACATATGCAGTTAGAAAATATTTTTAATAACAAGTTTATGAAAATGTTCTTGTATTCCTTAATTTTTAATTGAAAGGAGAAAGACTATAAACTACATACCAACCAATGCAAATAGAAAATATTTATCTACATATGAATTTATTCCTGTATTTCAGATTGTCCAGAATGACGTTGAGGCCCATCGTTCCAGTGTGGACTCTGTCAATGATGCTGGGAAGCAAGTGATCTCCAGCGAGGGCAGTGCAGATGCTTCTTCCACCAGACACAAGCTCGACCTCCTCAACATGCGTTGGGATGCTGTGCTAGGGAAGACCAGGGATAAACAACTGGATTTGGAACATGCATACAGAGAGGTAAGGACTTGCCTGGTATTCAGTTGTAATTTTTTCAGTTTTTTCGTGCTATTTTCAAAATCTTGGCTTAATGCTTATTAACCATGTCTTATTGTTTGTCATTAAAATTCATATATGAAAGTTTTTTTTTTGTGTTGTGAATATCTGTGGACTACAGAATTAATCATGTGCATTTCTTTCTCTTATTAGTATTTTCATAAAGACAAAAGTTATACTGATAAAATTTCTTTAAAACAAGTTAATGGTATCTTTTTTGTTAGGCTCAAGTCTTCCATGGTGAACTAGCTGACACCTTACAAAGACTAAGTGACATAGATGCCCATCTTATCACATCTAAACCTGTGGGAGGGCTGCCAGAGAGTGCCAAAGATCAGCTCAACAGATTCTTAGAAATATTCAAAGACCTGGAAGGGAATGAGCCAAGAGTTCAAGATTTACTGAGTGAAGGAGAGAAAATAGTTCAGAAGTGTGGAGAAACAACTGCCACCAACCTCAACCAAAATCTCCAAGCTTTGAAGAACCGTTGGGATAATGTTAGGGCAAGGGCCAAGGACAGGAGGAAGAAGCTGGAGGATGCTCTTGCCCAGGCAGACAAGTTCCAGGCTGACCTGAACAGCTTCATAGCTTGGCTGACCAACACAGAGAGAAATATCAACAACCTGAAGCCTGTCAGCAGAGTTCTGCAGACCATTGTGGATCAAATAGAGGAACATAAGGTAGGATGAGATTATTTGAGAGTGCAGTTTAGAGAAAAGATATAAATTTGAAAAATGAATTGAAGCCATATGTTTAAACTGGGTCTTGGGCTTCATAGCAAACAACAGTTAGCGTAAATCCGTCTTTTCTAATGTTGTCATGGATATGGGGCAGAGAAAAGAAACTGACTGGAAAATGTATTTTTTCAGGGCCTGCAGAAAGATATCAGCAGTAACAGAGAGAAGATGGCAGCTCTGGACAAGACTGGGACCCACTTGAAGTACTTCAGCCAGAAACAGGATGTGATCTTGATCAAGAACCTGCTGCTCAGTGTCCAGCACAGATGGGAAAAGGTGGTGTCCAGGTCAGCAGAGAGGACAAGACAACTGGACCATGGATTTAAACAAGCCAGACAGGTAAGAGGCAGACATTTTAAATTATAAGGATATATGTAAGGCTCAAGGTGTAGGAAAGTATATGTAAGGCTTGTTGTGATTCAAATCAGTGCCAGTGAATATATTCCTATACTTTTGTGTCTGACTCACTCTTTTGTTGAATTAATGAATTTTGCTTATATTTTAGTTCCATGAAGTTTGGCAGGAGCTCAATGACTGGTTGAACCAGAGTGAGGCAATGTTGGACACAGAACAAACAATTTCCAATGATCCTGTTAAAATCAAGGAACAGATAAATAAACACAAGGTTAGTTAGTTAGTTAGCTGAAAATGAAAAGACTGTGTCTTATTAATTTAGGTTAATTAAATTTTTAAAAGCTAACATTATAACTTAAAAAAACAAAACACTCACAACACAATTTTTAACCACTTTTTAGAAATGTTATTGCTGAAATAAAATGTATCCAGCATTTTTATTTTATTTTCTTAAACAGGAATTCCAACGTACCTTGGGTGCCAAGCAGCCGATCTATGACACAGTGCAGAGGATGGGGAGAGTTTTGAAGGAGAAGAGCTCAGAGGCTGATGAACCTGTGCTTCAGAACCTCCTCCACGAGGTGAAGAACAAGTGGAACAGTGTGTGTGGGAAGTCTGTAGAAAGGTAGGCTATTGTTTCTGTTATGTAGCACATGCAAGAAATACTTTTTTGTCATGCAAATGGAGGGAGATACTGAAAGTTTTAAGTTTGTAATAAAAATGTCTCAGTGGAGCTTTAAATGCCAAATTAACTTGTGATTGATGCATTCAATTAATTGATGATCATTTCAGTCCCACTGAATTGATTTGTCTTATCTGCTTAGGCATAGATTACAATGTTACAAGGCTGGTGAACTTCAAGCAAAGTTCAGTATGGTTTCTCTAGGTGTTGTATTGTTCATTATGTTGCATTGGCACCATGATCATAATATCACCTGTAGTATTTATATGTTTCATAAAAATACACAAGATGATTTGCTTCAAGAGTGATTGTTTTGAATTATATTAAAGAATTACAGTTTACACTCATTATTTTTGTAATTTGTAATTATTCTTGATTTGGGACCGTTGAAGTGAAATGGCACAAATATTATTTTGTGTTACTGTTTCAGTATATTTAAAATGTTCTGTAAGCATATCATGAGTAGTAAAAAGCTTTCTGGCAATTGATCAAGTTAAATTACTCTAGTTGTTTTTAAACATGATTCACTGAACACTAGACAAATAATATTGGGTGCAACAAAATTTCAGTAAAGATTGTAACTTTCATAACATATATATACATTTTGTTTCTAAAATAAACATTCAGCCTAATATAATAAATTTTAACTCTCCAGACAAAGAAGACTTGAAGAAGCTTTACTGTTTTCTGGTCACCTGCGTGATGCTCTGTCAGCCTTACTGGACTGGCTGTACAAAGTGGAGCCCACGCTGACAGAGGAGCAGATGGTGCATGGAGACATGGACACTGTCATAGCTCTGCTGGAGGAACACAAGGTAGGGAACAAACAGCTTGGAAACCATTGTTTTCTAGTGCTAAATGTGGTATTGTGCAGAATTTAATCATTATTTATGAAATATGAATCTAGGACCCCATTCCCAGAGATTAGATCGATCCAAACTAGATCGACCTAACTCCCTGGGGGTTTATGCTAAATAGCTGTCAGCTGAGTGAGCACGAAAGTTAATTACCCCCTTACAGCTTGTAGTAGGCGGGACGGACATTTAAGCCAGATTATCTGACAGTAATCTAGTGAGACTCCCCACGGGGATAGATCGATCTAAAATCTATGGAAATACGCCCTAGGTCTGTCAGTTAATGAAGAAAATACTCTTGCAAGGAAAATCCACTGTTTGTCATTACAACAATATAAAGAAAGCATCAAAGAATAAGAGGTAATAATTTAAAGATGATAGTTCCCTTTGCTGATGACAAAATATGATATGTAGATGTGAGCTAATTTTAGTATTGCATGTATTACAGGCATTTCAACAAGAACTGGGTAAGAGGTCCAGCAGTGTAGGCTCTGTACAGAAATCTGGTAAAGATCTGATTGAGAACTCAGAGGAGGATGCAGGAGATCTACAGAATGACCTGATAGAACTGAAGACGCGCTGGGATAGGGTGTGCAAACTCAGTGTAGACAAGCAGAAGAGGCTAGATGAGGCTATGAAAAAGGTAACAAGTTTGGCAGTTTTGTGGAAAGTTAATTATATAATTTACAGATTAAGGTTATAATTTTTCTTTTGCTAAATGGAATGCAGATAGAAGTTTAATGCAGTAATTGGCTTATGTAGGTTGAAAAGGAGGTTTTTTTGTTTGTTTGTTTATTAATGCTTATGCATTGTAAAGGTGTGACATCTATCTTTTGAGTTATGTTTTTAACCAAAGTTAGTGAACAAATGGTCCCATGTTTGTTGTGCCTGCTCTCTGTTGCATTGACCTGTGGAATAAACAATTCTTCTGTGTAAATAGGCTGAAGACTTCCACAAAAGAGCACAGCAACTGTTGGAGTGGATGGCAGATGCTGAAATGCACCTTCGATATCATTCTCACATTGCTGATGACGAGGAAGAGTTGAGTCAACAGCTTGAAGACATGAAGGTATGATGGTAGTTCTCATAATTTTTCATCATCATAACAATTGGATTGCCAATAATTTGAATGAAATTACCATAAAAACTTTTTCATGGATCGTTTAAGAGCGGGGTTAGCAAACTTGTTTACTGAGGTAGCCAATAAAGTGAATAATTGACTTCTGTATCACTTATGTATCTCTAAATGTGAACTGTTTGTGATTCCTGATTTTTAACTTTTTGAATTCTGATGTATTTGCTTTTTCTTTTTATAGAGTTTACAAGCTGAGTTAGTGAAGCAAGAAGAGAACTTGAAGACTACCCTAGCATTGGGAGGAGATATCTTAAAACAGAGTCACCCAGTTGCTGTGATGCCAGTCAAACACTGGATCACCATATTACAGGCTAGGTGGGAGGAGGTGAGAGGATCTATTTTGTTATCAAATATTAAAATAAGAGACATATAAGGTATCTTTCACGGATGCTATTGAAGGGAGTAGATTTTAATCAATTTTCATTACTTTTTTTCCTCCCAACAGATCTCTACGTGGGCCAATCAACGTGAACGTCGTCTGACAGATGCCCTGTCTGAGCTGCATAACAGCATGGCATTGCTAGACAAACTGATGACCTGGCTGCAGACGGCAGAAAGTCACCTGACCTACCAGGAGCAGGAGCCACTGCCAGTGGACATGGAGGAGATAGAAAAGTTGACCAAAGAACATGAGGTAAGTTTAAAATAACCATTAAGTTAAGAGTATTTTTGGTTTAAAAGTTTGTAGGTGTTTGATGCATATTTTTATAGAAAAATGACAAAAATCATTGCAAGTTTTGTTTCCTAAGTGATTTCTTCATTTAACAAAGATTATCCCTACACATTGTTTATTAATTGCTATATATTATCTTACGTAGGAGTTTGAGAATGACATGACCAGCAGACAGCCAGACTATGACTGTCTCACCAAGACACAGAAGAGGAGGCCATCTTTAGACAGCAGCTCAGGCCTCCTCAGTCCTTTTGAGAGAGGGTCCCCCAAGAGAAGCTCAACACCAAGGCAAATGTGAGTTACCAACCAGCAGGTTACACATGTTTAATGGTACCAGAGAATTATCCAGTAGAATATATTGCTTAGCAGTAACATTCATAACTTATACGATGTACAAAGTGAAATGTGTTTGGTTATTTGGAGATGATTTGAGTAACCAGTTTAAGTGAATTATGCATAAAACCATGTGAGTTCTGTTTTTTTGTGTGTATATTGACATGATACAATTTTCTTAATGCATTCACACAGTATGGGAAAAATGGTTAAGTTTCATAATCATCGAGAATTCGATAACTGTCATTGTTCTATCCAGAGATTGAAGCAGTAAGATGCTGTGTGCAGTTTACACTTGTGTTCTTGTTGTTTGCTCTTTCTTCTTCCATGCACATAAGTGTCCAAATTTAAATCTTCATAGATGGCCATTTTGGTGGTACCATGGTTGATATACCATTGAATTAAGTTGTATTCTCTACGTAACTTCAGTTGCGCTGTTCAGTTTTAAGTGTTTTGCTCTGACTCAGATTTCTTGATATTGTTTATGGTCACAATATTAATTTTTTCCTTTGAGCAGCTGTAAAGTTACTAGATTTGGAAACAGTTTGTGAATGTGATGTTTGTGAAATAAAGGTGTGAAGTATGAAAATATGTATTTGCAACATAATAATAGATAAATCAATCTGGAGACGTAATGAAGCTTAATCAGTTTAAAGATCGTTAGATAAGGAAAAATAGTACTACAGATGTAAACTGTGAAGAGAATAATGCTCCCTTTAAAAAAAAAAGAAAGATAGAAAGCAAAAAATGAAAAAATTGTTTCTTTTACAAAAAATGAAACTTGATTTCCCCTCAATCCAGGAAATATGATGCCAGGGGTCGTGCAGGTAGCACCCCCACCCCTACTGCAGAGCCCCAGTTTAAGAACCCCAGGGTGACGGCTCTGTTTAACAAGTGGCGCCATGTGTGGCTGATGGCCATGGACAGGAGGAGGAAGCTGCAGGATGCTCAAGATTACTTCAAAGAAGTATGTTACCCAATAAACAATGGAAAATTGTTTGAGGAAATTGAGTGTTTTCGTACAAAAATCATACCGAATTTTTGGACAAAGAAGCAATATAAACATCCTTTGTACATTTAAGAGGTCTACAAAATAGTAGTTAGAGAATATTTAATTGCTTATAACTTTTCAAGCTGTTAGCCTTTGATTAAATTTTTACATCAGAAATATTTTCATGTATTGGTTTACAATCTAAATTTATCAATTATCTCAGATGGAAAGACTAAAAGACTTCAACTTTGAGACATGGCGAAAGAGGTACATGAAATGGATGAATCACAACAAGTCCCGTATCATGGATTTTTTCCGCAAGCAAGATAAGGATAGAGATGGAAAAGTGACACGTCAGGAATTCATTGATGGCATTCTCATTTCAAGTATGAGTACCATTTCGGTTGTTTGTAATTTTTAAACCATGTTGCTCAACATTTTATTGAAAGGTACAATATCAGTAAACATGACCAAACGGCTGAGCTATAGTAATGATGTGTTGTTCATTTTAAGTATTTTTATAATCAACTTTGTCGTTTTTCAGAATTCCCTACTTCTCGTCTAGAAATGGAAGCAGTGGCTAACATATTTGATCACGATAAAGATGGCTTCATTGACTACAGAGAATTTGTAGCTGCTCTGAGACCAGACAATAAGGTAGACATGCTAAATAAATACTGTTTTGATAGAAACTTTAGTTCCATTTATGCTGTAACAGTTCTCTTTTTAACTTAAAAATGTGTACAGAAGAATGTTTTTGGGAAAATATTTATAAGGGGAAATAGTCTGGCTTTGTCAAGGCCTTAAATGTTTACAAAATATTTGAATCACATTTTAAAGATACTTCAAACTTTTTATTATAACTTTTAACTTTTATTATAACATTCAGAAAGTCTTGCGAAAAAAGCCAGGCCAGTATCTGCAACATCATTTTCATTTGGTGGGTGGCCACTTATTTACCATCATAAGTGGCAGGATATTTTGTCTGCTTACCTCATGTCTGCTCAAGCTGTTAAAGATAAAAAAGGCTTTTATATTCAATATCTCATTGACTCCTGAAAAGAATGATTATCTGCTTTCACTTTGAAAAGTGCTTTATCCACTTAATCTTGTGTATTCACCTTTCAGCTGGAAAAATATCAATGTTACCAATCAAATTGGAAAATTATTGAAATATTTATTGTACCTTTAATTTTTTTGCCACACTTTGCTTGACAGATATATTTTTGCCATATAAAAGCCAATATGTAAGTGGTTGGCATTGAAATTAGCTTGTTTTATTAAAACCCCAATGATTTATATCAGAATTATCAAACGCCCTCAATCATCGTAACATGATGTCACTTCCTGCCTTACCGTTGTATATATGGTCCTTGATAACAGAAATATTTTTAAAGGGCAATCCCCATTATATGGTATCAGTAAATACCACTACCTTCTTCCCAGTCACCATCAGATATGACCATGATTCAGTTTATCTATTGTGCAGTTTATTAAAAAATGAAACATTTCTAACGTTCAACAAAAGATCAAAACTTTGTTAGAGAGACATTGAAAGTTATATCTTTGTATTGAAAATCTCTTAGACTTCTGTTCACTGCTTTATGTTGACTTTAAACAGAAGTGAAAGTGGCTTATGTGTAAGAATTGGAATATTTACCCTTGTAAATACCAAAGTGACAGTTTTAAAAATGATGTATTTTTTCATTAGGCTGCAAAACCAGAACAGACAGACAATGAACGCATTCTGGATGAAGTCAAGAGGCAGGTGAACAAGTGCAGATGTCAGAAGAAATTCCATATTCACAAAATTGGAGAAGGGAAATATAGGGTACGGCCCCTATGCTTGGACAAAAAAGTTTTAACTGCATGTTTTTTTCCAAAAAAAAGGCTTTAAATTCTTAAGAAGGAAAGAATTTATTATTGCCAAAAAATTTTAAAGAGGTGTCTTTTAGCAGTGACAGAATCATAAATACCATTGTATATTACTGATTACTATTGTGCTCATTCCTATGATGATATTTAGAAGTCGAGCTACATATAATTCATTTTACAATGTGTTTTTTAACTTCAAAGCGTCACTTTTTATTAATGTTACAGTTTGGTGACTCCCAGAAGCTGCGCTTGGTCCGCATTTTGCGCAGCACTGTCATGGTCCGAGTTGGTGGGGGCTGGATCGCGCTGGATGAATTTTTAGTAAAGAATGATCCCTGTAGAGGTCAGTGATTATTGCATTGTGCCACATTAAGCTGGGGATTGCACAGGGCAAAATGAAATTACATAAAGAGAAGTTGGTACATGAAGTTGTAAAGTAATGTCTGTTGAAGATTGAGAACAAACCTATGAAATTGGTAAATTGAGGGGCTGATCTTCATGGAACATGCATTGAATAGTTTAGATGGCTTTTGGTGAATTGAGGAGAAATGCTGAGATGTCATATTGCTTATACATGTAGGACTATATTTAATTTGATTCCTCTCTTAACCTTTTGCTTCCCAAGTTGGACTATGGAAGGGTGAACGTCTGCGAATGAAACGACAGCACACTCCCATCTCTAACAGAAAGAGGTGTATGTCTGTCACTGAATAGCATGGAATTTTCACAGTCCGTGTCATTCCCCTGTCATTTTCCATTGCTTATTGGTAAATGATGGCTATTAATTCAAGTAAACATGTGCTTACACAGCTTGTACAACAGTCCAGCAATGTTCGCTGAAACTTGAATGGCCTTTGTGGGATGACAAAAAAAGCTGAGAAAGTAACCTGCTATGCAGAAACCATTCTTGTCATTGTTTTATTTACTAAGGAACTAGATATATGCATCTAGGAGAATGCCCATGTAGCACTAACAACTGTTTCTTTATACCCATCATGTTTTCTGTTAGTGACTCTTGATATTTGTCAAAAATGTAAATATATGTAGTGGAAGCAAAGGGTTGCTTGATACAGTTTCTTTCTTAGATATGTATCAGGTCATATTTTCTCTTCAATGTATCTTTAATACTCAGTGTTATTATTTAGTAATGATCTTAGTTTAGTTTAGCCTGCTCTTTCATTGTTAAATGTTACAAGTACAAAAATTCCAATTGTGCATGTTTTTTTCATTNGTGGAAGCAAAGGGTTGCTTGATACAGTTTCTTTCTTAGATATGTATCAGGTCATATTTTCTCTTCAATGTATCTTTAATACTCAGTGTTATTATTTAGTAATGATCTTAGTTTAGTTTAGCCTGCTCTTTCATTGTTAAATGTTACAAGTACAAAAATTCCAATTGTGCATGTTTTTTTTCATTCTGCATGAATTGATAGTATGCCACTTGACATTTGTGCTGCATGGAAATTTGGTCAGTTTGAATTACACAAATAGATACAAAATTGTTTTGCAACAACTTGAATAGTATTGGTAAATGCATGTAGGTTAGGCAGGTTTTGTATTCTGCACTCTGCCCTATACAGTAAACGTGTACTACAACATAACAGATGTGAGTGTCAGATATGTAAAATACTGTTACTGGTTCAAATTTACATACAATTTAAACCTTTTCCACTTCAGCCAAGGGTCGTACCAATGTAGAACTGCGTGAACAGTTTATTTTGGCCCAAGGTGTCAGTCAGTCTATGGCCGGCTTTGTCTCCAAGAGTTCTGGTAGCTCTAGTGGTGGCACAGCCTCTGCAAGCAGTCGGTCTGCCAGCACAACAAGTGGGCCTGTCTCTGTGGCAAGGGTAAATACCAACTTTCCATATCAGATTCAGAAGAACCAATTATGTATGAGACATTCTATTTTTTAAAATACTAATAATGCCCACTGCTGTCATATTGTGAACTTTATAGAAGAGCGACTACAAGTTATGAAAAGATATGAAGTGGGATATTGTAAATTCTTTATGTATTTTCCAGAGACCTCCCCTGCCAGGTTGGAGACAGCAGCAGCCAGTAGCCTTTAGTCCAGATCGTGAAGTGTCCTTGTATATGTCTCAGAGTCCTCGTGCTAGAGCAGCCACTAGGGACACATTAAGTCCAGGTGAGTAGGACTACTATTTTTTTCTGACTGAGTAACATAATTGACACTTACAAAGAAACTTGTTACAGAACTACAAATGTTGGCAGTTCTATAATGTATATAATTAAAATTTTCATACAATTTTTGGTAATCTGAAAGATGTTTAACATAAATGTATATGATACTTTAATCATTACATACAACAGTTTAACATAAATGTATATGATACTTTAATCATTACATACAACATCTTTCTTTTCCAGGTGCCGCTAGTTTTGCCAGTAGTCGCACCAGTAGTCGTCCATCCAGTCGCGCTGGTAGCGACATATCAGAGCCATATGGCGAGGACCCAGAGATGTACACCACTATGCAGACAGAGACCAGGAATGTTGGGGGCAGAAATGTGACCACCACAACATATCAGACACATGTTGTAAGGGACCGTACTGCTGACCCTAGACGGACCACACCTTCTAAAATCCCAACACCATCCAAGATCCCAACACCCACTTCTAAAATTCCAACACCTACTTCCAAGATTCCAGTAGGCAAACGTAGAGGCAGTCAGCAGTAATGTTTAAGCTTACAGCTTTTAAATCATCCAAAGAGGCTTACAGTGCCTGAAACATTGTCACAAAAGCTTCTAGCACCGCTTTGATTGTTGTGGAGCCTACAGTGACTTTCTCATAAAACTATGATGTGACTTGTTGGTGAGTTATCCATTGATGAAGACCAGAATTCCTGGCCTGTGTGTGACAGAGTAAAGATTATTCAGCATTTATATTAAGGAAGCCTGTTTTAACTTTACTCTGGTGTCTGTTATAGGCATCCTGATGACTGTGATTTTTTATATCATGACAAAAAATGTACATGCACGAACATGTAGATCTGAAATTGTCCCAAACATACTCAAATAAATGCATAATCATGGGGAAATGAAAGATATAAGAACAAATCTTTAAATTTGAAATAAAAATTTATCACATACCTCAGTTAAAACATAATCTGATAAAACTAACTGGGTTTGGGTAGTTTTAAGAAATAATATATGGGTCATCCAGTTGTATCTTACATGTAGCTAGAAAGACTAGTTGTCTGTGCGTTTAGTTCATCAAGTTATTTTTTGTTACTCAAGACCTGCCATCTTTTTTGATGAAAGCCAATGTGTTGTTTTTAAAGTAAACATATCATTTAATGCAACTTAGTTTTTGAATTTAGGTTTATTTATCTATCTACTTAACTCAATGTGTATGAAATGCACATCATACATTTTTGTGAGATGTATTCATTTATGTATATATGCTGCTTTTGGTTGGGTCTAACTGTGCAAGTAAGTGTATATAATAATGCTAAGTTTTCATACCAATGATAAAAATCACGCTCTTTTGTGTATATGTATACTGCATTATATTGCATTATGTAGCTGCAAGCTTTAATTGCAGATGATGGGAAGATGAATAAAATGAATTTGAAGAATATCAATTTTCTTTTTTTATAAGCACTAGTCTGTTTATAAAGTGAAAGTTTACAAATGATCCTCCTTCGTGATCACGTGTCTTGCTCATATTTTACAGGACCTTGAACAGCAAATTATGAAATCTATATAATAGGTCATAAAAACTATACAACTGGAAGGAAAACTTTTCTCAAATTCACAGACCTTCGTTTAATAAAGCAAATGGGTTAATGCTTTTCTCTTTCATTTGATAATATGTTTATTTTGCAGTCATGAAAATTATCAGTACAATTTTGTCCATGGTGTCATTTTGTTTTTAGAACAAAAGACCTTAATTATTATGCTGAAAAATTGTCAGAGGCTACTTTTCGTAAGTTGACTCAGATAAATTGGAACATGTGAAAGGTTTAACCTCTATGTCTTTCTAAGAATGTATACCACAACTCCAACCAATGTTACACATTAGTATGATTGCTGCAGAGCATGTAAAATTCTTGGCAAAATGACAAACATTATATCAAAAACACAACACCTGAATAACATCTAAATTTAAAACCATTACTTCCAAACCTTAGGCTTACATCAAAGACAAGAACAATAATGTTGTATAATATATTCAAACAATTTCGTGATCGACATTCCAGGCAAATGGTGGAGCATAAAAAGATATACATTCATGTTCACATACTGATCCAAAATTCTGAAACATCAATTATGAAATGGAACATCAGTGATCTTTGTGAGCGTTCTTTGAAAAGCATAAAAAGCATCACTGACAGTTGATAAGAGAACATGTCATGGACAGTTAAAGTAGGGTATTATGCTGCCATACTCATCATTATGCTATCACGTTTACATGGCAAATTTTTGACACGCCTATAAAGATCATCACACAATATATGCATTGTAGCTATACAATAAAAATAACTTCAAACACAGCCTTTTCATCCCTTTCCTATCATTTTGTTGTAAATACTTAAAAAACCATCACAATTACATGTTGGAATATTGTTCAAGTAATTTGTTTTCAGTTTTCTGTGTATTTACAGCACTGAGCATTCTTTTTTACTTTGCTCATTTCAAATTGCATATCACAGTTATACCAAAGTAAATTGATGGACATACTTCTCCAACAATATCAAAGTACTTTAAATCACTATATTCTACTCCTTCTGAAGCTAAGCGTCTGTTGGCAAAGTTATCAATAGTTTATTCCAAACTATTTAAGCAAAAATCAACATATGCATAGACCTGTGCCATGTAGGCTTCTCTATGAACTCTGAAGTGCTGAACATGAGGTGAGTCCTCCCAGCACATGGCCATCACAATTACTCCTAACTTTTTCCTATGTTTTATAATTTCCTCCACATATCTGTAGTTTACCAATTCATCTGCCTTGGAATATAAATAAAGCTGTGGCCATCTGGATTTGTCATTCTTCATTACATCCCAGTAGTCGCCGAAACTAGTATCACTTGACCATCTAAATAAAGAAGTTATTCTCTCAATAAATACTTTGAGAAATATAGTGATTAACACTAAGAGTCCCATGAATTGTCTCCACATGAATCCTTTATGTTGCATGGTCAACATAAATGCTCTTCTGGCAACAAAGGGACTTCTATGTGATGGGGCGCTGTCAAACACTGTTCCTCTCACATTGAGAGAATCATACTGACAATCACTGTTCAGTATCTCAGCTATGTAGCGGTACACAAAGCCACCACCATTGCTAAATACATGAAAGAATATTGGGTTGTCCTCAAGACTCAAATCAGATAACAACTCCAATAACTTCAAAGCTATTGGCCTTAATTTGTGTTGATTGAAAAACACGTCCTCCACTGATGCTGTATACCTAATGGTTATGAATCTGAAAACAAAAGAAGTAAATAGTATTAACTTTGCAATATCATTCATTTTTGTACCAAAACTGAGCAATAAATAGCAAAAATTTGATATTAAGATTAAAAAAACTGTATCAATGTCTTGCTACCTCACCCTATTTATATGGGCGTATTCATATCGGTATTTAACGTGACAGTGCACAGGTGCTATATATTTTATATATGCTATATAAAGATAGCCTCGCGGACAACCGGTTTATATAGGGTGAGCTGGGCAGGGAGAGCTACCTGCATTGTTTGAATATGCAGGGTTTTTAATTAAACCACCGTTGCACTTTAGAGACCTTTCATTTTCCAACTTACCCGCGCTTTTCATAAATTGCACTGTATTTAGCCAAGGTCTTGTCATGACATCCAACCCATCCTAACATAATAACAACTGGCTCTTTCTCTAATTCTTTTTGTTCATCAAGATACTCTAAATTCTCTTCACTTGCATCTTGATCTTCAGCAACAGACGTTGGAGAAGGAAAAGTGACATGGTATTCGATGTCTTCTTCCGCCATCTTGCAATAAGGACGCTGTTGTGTGTGGCATGTTCCAGTACTACCTTAACTAATGTGCATTTGTTTTTACTCTTTAATTCTCATAAGACCATCATAATAATTTTATTTGAATAAAATTTCATGATTTTTTTATAATTGTTTTGGTACCAAATTGAAATTATGAACCATATTTTTTATTGTAAATCATTTTTTTCATTATAAGTGGAATAAAAACCACGGAACTAATAAAAAGTTAGCTTAAAGCAAAATACAAGGAGTTTTTTAATTGGTCAAAGCAAGCCTATCACCAACTTCGTAACAAAAGGAAAGTTTTCACCGATTTGGGTTTTATTTATTTATTTTATTCATCTGATTTATCTGTCTAGGAATTATATCGTTGACTAGCTGATATACTTCCATGATCTGGAAGAGGACACAAATTGAAATTATCATTCAGGAATGAAAAGAAAAATAGAAATGTGTTTAGCAAACAAAATAACCAGTGTGCTGTGTGCTGGTGTCTTATTTTGTTAACTGGGGAAATGTTCATTCATAATCTTGACCGAGGGTCGTGCACCGGAATGATTGGTACAGACAAGTAAGTAATTATAAAATGATAGTAATAGTATTAGTAATGCACACACAGAATGTTCTATGATAACAATGCAGTGCAGCACAAAGTCTCTTTCACACACGCACACACACACACACAACCACCATCACCAAGCATTTTTCTTCGCCTATAGCCCTGCTACATGTACAAGTACTTTATTGCTCTCAAGAATATAGGTGTAACAGTGCAGTATGCATGCACATAGTGTATATTGTAGAGGGTTCTCAAAAGAAACTGAAATGCAGCTTAACAACTCCAAGGCAGACCTGTACATTAAAGATAAGGCATTGAATTTTTTCATGTAATATCTTGATTATGTTTGATATTTAATGTATATATATATATATATATAATTTCTCAAGGCAGATTGTATGCACCGCTACCTTCCTTCTGCAATGACACTTAAACTAGGAGACTACAAATGAATCATGCCACATGAAAGGATATGCATGTGATGGATGACTCTAAGTCAGAATCAGAAAGAGAAGGTATGTATATATCTCAGTTTCATCTGATGTATTAAATTTGCCAGTCATAGCATTACACTTCAAAGAGTCCTATTCACATTTTTTTTTTTTTTTGCCTTGGTTGACCAGGAAATAATTACAGTATCATATAGATATAAGGGATGTAATACTTATGACAACACATATTTGATATTTAGCAGCTGTTCTCGCATGTATTTATGCATTTCATTTGTCAAATGGTTCTTAATTCTGTGCTTTACTTAACTACAGTTGTCTGGAGTAAAGGGGAGCTATGCAAAGCTCCATACAGTAAGGATAACAAGTTGTACACAGCCAAGGTTACTTCTATCAAGAGGAATGGAAGAACAACACTGGCCTGTGTCCACTTCATTGGCTATGACTCGGTTGAAGATGAGGACATTCCAATATCTAAACTCCACAAAATTCCATCAAAGAAAAAAGTTCCTTTGAGTAAGTCAGGTAAAAGTGGTAAGTGCTTTTTTTCTGATAGATTTTTTTATGAAAGAATCTAAACCTCTGGCAGTCTTTATACTTGAACTGTACTGTTATGGCACATATCCCTCTCTCCAAATTTAATTTTGATAAATTTATTTATCAATTCAGTGAGCACTTGTGATATATGGCATGGACATTTAATGTGGAGACACATTATGTCACATTAATTATATTATAAGGGTAAGGAGGATATTTGTAATGAAAAGTACAGCTTATTTGTATGATTTTGGTTTAGTTTTTAAAACTGCAGTTAAATGCATTAAATTGTGTATCATTGTGTGTAAATAATTGATTGACATAAATTATACAAAATTTATTTAGGGGTAGAGGACCAGGATATTGAGAGTAGTAGTACACTTGACTCTGGGTTCTTTAGTCCACTGAAAGGAAATGAAGAAGAGCGAAGACTGAGGTAAATGTTATGTATGGATGCAGTAATACATGCTGCTCTCGTGTCAGCATACAAAATACAGGAATGGCTTTTTTGTCTTTTTACACAATAGCTTATTAAAAGTCCTTATGTATAGTTACAAGAGATGGCATTTAATATTAAATCTGGTAATTAACCCGTAGTTTCTGAAATACATCACCAAACTTTCATGCAAAATACCATCAGCTCAAAGGAAATGTTGGAATATGTACTTGTACAAAGTGTTATCAAGATGTTGAGCAAAAGGCAACTTTTTTAGAATCCTTTAGAATATGTATGTATATATGTTTCTTCATTTTTACCACCCTCGAAGAAATAATGTGATTTTCCCGTGTTTTGTCAATATATTTATGAACACGTAGAAAATTAACAAATATTGAATGTTTATGCACATCGTTGTAGAAGTTTTCAGTAATAAGAGATGCATACAAACTTACTGAGTATACTGAACATAAAAAATTTCTTCCCAGCTTACTATAAACAATAATCTCTACACCAGTAGACAGAGGATTCAGTATCTGTATGTGTATTCTGTTAAATTTTATAGAGAGAAGTTTGCTGCTCTGGATGCCGAAGAGGAAGAGCAGAACACCCTGTCTACTCCTTCAAAGAGGAGACAGAATTGGACATCTCTCAGCAGTCCCTACACTTTAAATGTATCTTTATCACAAAAACAGAGGAAAAAAGCACAGAAGACAAGGGTAGCCCCATATCTTGAATCTACAGGAAACAAAGGTTCAGGTAGAAGAAGGAAAGGAGTTGTGGCTGCAGGAGGAGAACCTGTCATGAAAAATCGGCAAGTTTCTCAAGGATTGTTATTATATTTATGTTTTCAGTAACATTTTAAATGCTTCTTTCTCTTTTATGACTGGTAAATGTTGTTAGTCTAAAAAAATTATGTTTCATCTATTTTTTTCTTTTTTTTTTTTTTTTGCAAAATTTGTCATTACATTTCCTCTTTGCAGGAAGTCATCAAAACCCTCAGATTCAACAGAAAACCTCATAAAGCTGCACGATCCCCATCATACAACAGAAAAAAACTTTGATCAGTTCAATGAAGATGACAGTGTTATGGATGATATGACAAATGATGGTTTTGAAATGAAAGGTAGATGTTTTCACTTTGTATATTAAATAATAATGTAAGTATTGCATCCTCTGTCTATTCACAATTTCTTTCTGACATTTACAAATGTTTCCACTATAATTTTGTTTGGGTGGTTTTCATGAAATTAACAAATTTAGTATAGTTATTTAACTATTATGAAATTAGATTTAAGGAATGCCACCTCATTTACTGGATGATGGTTCAGTTTTATATTTAGTGATAACCATTAAGATGTAACATTCTAGGTTTCTCTGAAGAAGATTTGGAGAAGCCTCATTTCACATACCCTCCTCTTGGAGCCAAGGAAGATTACTCTCTGTCTGATTCTGGAGATCCAGATGCTGTCAAGGTGAGCATGTGTTCAAAATAGAATACCAAAGTGTTTTTAGTTGGGAGTCGTTATCATTCCATCTGTTTTGTTTTAATACTGGTTATCACAGCTCTCTTCAAGAAAGTAAAACCATGTTTCTGATGGTTGGATATAAATGTCAGTAATTTAAAACTAATATTACATTCTTAACAGGCACCCATTTCTTTTGTCATTGTCAGTTTTAAAAAAGAGTCAGATAGTATATTGCATAAATTTTTCAATTCAGATTCCTGCCACTGTCAATCAATATCTTCGCGAGTATCAGAGAGAGGGGGTCCAGTTTCTTTATACTCACTACAAGGAGAACAGGGGAGCCATACTGGGGGATGACATGGGATTGGGAAAGACTGTACAGGTAAAACAATAAATATATAAATATTTTTATTCAACTTGGTAAAATCTATTATAAATTAAAAAATGAATATTCATAGATAATAAACAGGTTTTGTTCCCATTTTCTTTTTAGGTCATAGCATTCCTCTCTGCTATCCTAAACAAGACTGGCACCAAGGCTGATATACAGAAAAGAAGGCCTAGGTTCATTAGAAGGGTATGCGTGTTAACCACTGTAGTGGTTTTGTATTATTAAAGGTGAACTGGTGAAAATTATGACAAGCTGATAGTGCAGACAGCCTGAAAGTGAAAGATATCTCTGAGATTGCAAATTTTTTTTATGATAATTAATATGTGAACAGTTACTGATTGACAGAGCAATCACCAAAAGCAGAAACTGTTGTCTAGATCAATTCAGTGAAAATACTCAATTTATTTGTGTGTCAGATTACAATAATCCCTGTTGGTTGCTTCTTTCAGATGTCTTCAGAACCTTCTCTGAGTCCAGAGGAGGATGTCTCTCCAGCCTTCCTCATCATAGCTCCAGGAACTGTTCTCTATAACTGGCTAGATGAGCTAGAAACTTGGGGTTACTTTTCAGTAGGGTAAGCACTTTTTCCAGAGTAAATTGCAGTAACTGTTATAGATTTTTCGTCAAGTGCCTTTGTGGTTTATTCTTTTGAAATTTTTTCTCTATTCTGAGTGCTTTTCTTATGTTGACTGATGTGCACTTCATGGCTTTGCTTTAAATATTTAGAAAGTCCCATATAAATCTATGTGTGTATACATTTTTGGTTGCATTATTTTATTTATTTATATATTTTATTTATTTTATTTTTTCTAAGTCTTAGATATTAATTTTAATTTCTCTCATATTGAGTGCTGTTTCTGATGAGCCTCTTTCAGAAAGTTCCATGGATCTGAGAAAGAAAGAACAATGGCTGATCTAAAAAGGGGAAAGTTAGAGCTTGTTATAACAACCTTTGAGACATTTCGAGATAACATAGTAAGAATCATCCTTAATAAAACCTTAGTGCATTACACAGAAATTATTTAAAGGTATTTAGAATTGATAATCCATAGTAAAGTGAATAATTTGTTATTTTGTATTAAAACTTTAAATATTGAGCTTGTTTAAAGAATACTACAGCTTTTTTTTTTTTTTTTTTTTTTTTTTTTTTTTTACTAACTTGCTTAGGACACAGTAAATGATTTTCCTTGGACAGCAGTGTTCGTTGATGAAGTTCATAAAATCAAGGGTTTGAAGGCACGAGTGACATCTGCCCTGAGGAAAGTGAACACAAAAAGAAGGTTTGGATTGACTGGAACTGCCTTACAGAACAACCTGCAGGAGTTCTGGTGTATCTTAGACTGGTAGGCAAGACTGGTATTAATCTCAGGTGCTGGCTTCATAAAAGAACTTAAAAGGGAAAGTTAATATACCAAAGTTGACATTACCTTTTTAACAAAAAAAAAATTAGTCTATACTTGATTTCAGTATATATCACTTGTAGACAACTGACATAATGGAACTATTGGTCTAAAATCTATTTCATTTCTTTCTTTAAAGTTTCTAAATCATAAGAAACAAAATTTCATTTAAGTAAGCTACTGCTGCTTTATCTTTTGTAAAAGGGGCCAAATTGATGTAAGTTTTAAAACTCTTTCTAAAGGTCTTTTGTGAAAAGTGTATGTTAGAATGGTAGATAAGGTTAGAAGACAGTGCATGAGAACATTTCTGGTTATGTTTACTCTTGTAGAAAATTCAGAAAAAAATAGTTTTTATAGAAAATGATATGTTGATGATGATGATGATAATACAACCAGGAAGCCTCATATTTTTTATCAAGCTTGCAATTTTCTTAAATCTGTAGACATCCCAGACATGCTCACCTAAGATATATTATTCTCATTTTATTTACAAGAGAGAGTTGTTACGAGTTATTTTCTTATTTTGTACTTGAACATTGTAGGGCAAACCCTGGCTGCCTAGGCGACCTGCAGACATTTGAAAAAGATTGCATTCTGAAAATTGAGCTAAGCCAGAGACATGATGCTACCAAGAGAGAGCTGGCTGAAGGAAGAAAATGTTAGTTTATCTTAAGTAAACAACATATATGAGTCTGCGTTAACCTTGTGATTTTTAAGTGTATTGTTCTTCTGTATTTCCCTAAATAAATTAAAAAAGGTCTTTCAAGTCATACATACTAGGAAGTGCTAAGCTACAGTAAGGCAGTATTTATGTGCACTAGAATTTGTCTTTGAGTTAAGCATTAGCAGTAGATTTTAAAGCAGCATTATATATTGTATATTACCTTCACAGGTAAACAGAAAGTGGCTGCCATTAAGAATAAGTACATGCTCAGAAGAACCAAAAATCTCTTGTTGGATCAGCTTCCTTCCAAAGGTGAGTTTTTTAAAAATGTTGTCATTGTGCAATGTTTATGTTTATAATACCAAAAAAAAAGAACTATAAAATTGGCTTTGTTAAAAAAAGAAAAAGTAAATATTTCATATCTGTAATTCCAGAGGACCTTGTAGTCTACTGCAAGCTGACTGATATGCAGACAGATATTTACAAGGCAATCTTAAACCAGCCAGATGTTGTTTACATTCTCACACAAGGTGACCCGTGTGAATGCAGCAGTGGAAGAACCCGGGGACATTGCTGCTATGAAGTAGGCATCTTATAAGCCCATTGTCTAGATAAATGCACAGTTAATTTATAATACATCTTACGCATCAAATAAATTTAAACTTATTATTCATTGTACGAGGAATAAGTTATGTGCCTGCATGGTGTGTGTGTTTAGAGCTATCAAAATGTTTTCAAAAGTGGTTTCTTTATTTGAAGTTAAAATGCAAGGTCAAGGTATGCTTATTACTTTGTTGTGGCCAGTTGAAGAAAATTGTGGTCTTAGAAAAATGCAGATAGGGAATTTATGAATATGGAACATGGTAAAGTGATAACTAAGGAATATTGTTAAGAACATAAACACAAAACACAAAAATCATTATGTACAGACACAGATGTGTCTGTACATATTGCCATCACCTGCGTCTGTCGTCGCCGTCGCCGTCGCCGATCATGTCGCCGTTGCCGTGCACTTTCAGCGTTAACACCATAAGTGGAAGACGGTTTTACTTTTTGGCCTAACATTTACAGAGCTGACTAATATTCATAAAACACAGGTCAAGTTCGAAAATCAGCATGATCGGGCCATTATTGTAGAATTTATGCTGTTTTTTCACTTTTTAGCATATATACAACACTGTTAACACATTTCAAGGAAAACAGATAGGCCTGTTGTCATGAAACTCACAGGAGTAATCAATCTTACTAAAACGCAGATCAAGTTCGAAAATCAGCATGATCGGGCCACTATTTTAGTAGTTATGCTGTTTTTTTCACTTTTGAGCATATGTGCAACACTGTTAACACATTTCAAGGAAAACCGATAGACCTGTTGTCATGAAACTCACAGGAGTAATTAATCTTACTAAAACGCAGGTCAAGTTCGAAAATCAGCATA